TTTTAAAATACTCAATGAGGGCAAGTGAAGACAGACCTATGCAGCATAGTTTTGCTGAACAGTCGTGATGCTTTTACAAGTTCCAGTCAGGAGGAGTGACTTTGAACAAACATATGGCACGACATTCCACCTCAATGTCGTTGATAGTATAATAATGATCGACTGTGTTTTAAGAACAGGCTCGAGCACGTTAGAGAGTTGAACTTCACGAATATAGAGAAAAAATAATGTACAAATTGTGACGATAAATTTCCGCTTGTCCTTGTCTCAGACCAGCAGTTTTAACTTAAATTTGGTGATTAACTTGCAAAGACCTACATTGAGTGATTGTTAAATACAGCTCAGTTTATTTACTGAAATAAATCAAGATGGGGAAAAGTTGTCAGCTAAGATACATCACTGAAATGTGAAATCAATCAGCACAAGGAAGAGGACTTGTATTCCAACCGCAAGCCAACCGTTCCATTATAATGTAATAATTGGTTGCCTTTCAGCCATACTCGTTCTAAACTAAATCGGCCAAGTAATCGGAGCTCACATCATTCGTCTATTTCCCCGTTAAAACTTACGCGTGTGTTTGATTTTTAAACCGAAAGAAACTGGCTTTTATTCAGTCAGCTTCAGTTGAAGTGTTTTGAATCATCTCATTCCCCGAAATTTGTAATTTAACACTAAAGAAGAATATCAATTTTTTTTCTTAGAAAAGTCCGAGTCGTTTCAGACTGTGTGGGCGAGAAATTTTCCATTTCCTCACTTCTGGGCTGATTGCGCTGAGTTTATTATTCCCTATCGAAGTGAGCATGGTTTATCCGAAATTTTGGCGCTTCAGAATGAACTGGAAAAAAAAAAATCTCATCAGCGAGTTCAATTGATCTTCAAGAGTCACTGGCGGCTTCTGTCACGTACCTCTACCTCAAAAATTTTAAAGCACTTTGCGTTATTTTGAATCATTTAATAGAGGCACATATCTCTGATAAAGCTTTTTCCCCAAGGTTTTTATCAAAAGTTAATAAAATGAAAAGAAAAGTAACATATAGCTATAAAGAAAGAAATCAAAGTAGGATTCGAGAATCCTATTGATCTGGGAAAAGCTACCTCAGCTGACATAAAGGTTATTTTGACGTTTCGTCTCTGTTCCAAGACTTGATGTTTTTAAGATTTCAGTTAGTGTTATCAATCATTCGATTTCAAATGCAGCTGAAATTGCTGACCTCAGCGCGCACCATATTTGTTTAAAATTACGCGATCTCTTCGCGTAATGGAACAGTTCCGGTACCACGCCTTTTCGTTTTCACATTTGATCAATGGCTACTCGTTCGCTAAAGCTCGAATAGCCAATAAAATGATGCGATTCCTGTTAACGTGTACTGTAATTTTCGGCAGAGAATAAGATGCAACCCATAAATGAGATGAAAGTTAGTGATCCCAACGAAGCCGGCGTGTTACAAGTACTTAAATTATACAAATATACATCCCCTATTGTTTATACTGGTACCTTCTTTATTTTGTGAAACTTACCAGTTTCTTCGTGAGCGGATTTTTACGCGTGTGAAGCCGTTGCTCAGTTCCTCCAGCAAGTAAAAATTGAAGTTAAGCAAAGCTGCTTTTAATTATAATTCGTGGAAAAAGCTTTTGTTTCAAATGATGAAGTCAAATCACGGTAATTCTCAGAAACTACGGAAATTGCGGATGCGTAGCTGTTTCCGAGAATTTATGTTTTGCTGTGCTAAATCCTGCCGTGGTAAACTGGTACCTTATGGGCCCGGGGCAAGCTTTTTCGCGGAAAGTTTAAGTAATTAAATTACTTAAAATTAAATTGCTTAAACTTTCCGCGAAAAAGCTTGCCCCGGGCCCATAAGGTACCAGTTTACCACGGCAGGATTTAGAGGCCGTAATTAAAAAATGGAAACAAAGCCGAATGGCCGCACAAGTGTTAAATCACCTAATCAAAGTGCTCCAAACATTTCAGCATATTCAGGATATCCTTGATTCATCTTGCGCGCACTGAAAGAATGGCGAGCGTTTTTGATAATAACAGCAATAGCGCCGGTGTCCTGGCGGATTTGGACCCCCCTACATTTGGAACCCCCGGTCCAAATCCGCTAGCGGATACGGACCCCCCAACAGAACTGAGTGAAAACATCATCCTTAACGTTCTCGCAGAAATAGATAATACTTTACGTTTCAGTGCGTACTAAAGTATGTTTTTAATTCAAAATATGCCTATCGCCCATGCATACGAACTGGCAGCTAGAAATGAGCCGTCGGATGTTTCTTTTGACCAAGAAAATGTGCAAGCATTTAGTTCAATGTTCCTTTTTGAACGTAGTCGAAAACCGCTAGATTCAGTAAGAGACAAACTTATGACACTAATTTAATTTGTTATTGTTCAATGCCCAAGTGTTGGTACCAGTGCGTACTAAAGTATGTTTTTAATTCAAAATATGCCTATCGCCCATGCATACGAACTGGCAGCTAGAAATGAGCCGTCGGATGTTTCTTTTGACCAAGGGAAAATGTGCAAGCATTTAGTTCAATGTTCGGAGAAAGGTCGTTTTTGAACCTTTTCCGCGATAGTCGAAAACCGCTAGATTCAGTAAGAGACAAACTTATGACACTAATTTAATTTGTTATTGTTCAATGCCCAAGTGTTGGGACGACATGGTACAGTGCGAGTTTGTTATTTCAGATCCCTCAACAGTTAATAATCGTTAAAATTCGAAAATAAGATTGAGATCGATGAAATAGTCTCCACTTTTGTTAAGACGTAGACATTAATGTTGATTTGCATCTGAAAATAAGCTGAGAGTGCCAATAGTTCAGAATAGAAACATTTTTTCTTATCATAGGCTTTACGAACGACTTGTAGTAGGAGTTGTTACTTCGTTCTTGTTCAGAAACTGTTTAATGTTATTTAATTAAAAAATCAGACTGAGTTATTTTTGTGACTGGACGCAATAGTCTGCACTATTGTTATGACGTTTCGTATCGATGTTGATTCGCATCAGAAGAAGCAGAGATTTATTATTATAATTTCAATTTCTTTATCGAGGAATGTTGTGTTGTGATTGAAAAAAACATCGACAGAAAGCTTGCAAATAGAATTAGTTACCGAATATGATACAAACGATGCTTAAAAGGAAAGTTTGGTCCAAATCTGCGAAGTGGGGTCCATATCCGCTGGTGGATTTGGACCGGGGAGGTCCAAATCCGCCGTGACACCGGATTTCTCTAAGCTTACATATGTATGGTGTCGTAAATGATCTCGCGACAAACAATCACACGGGTCAGTTCGATGGTCACTGTGTGTTACGAAAAATTGTCTAATAAGTAAAGTCCCAGACCATTCTAATAGAACATTCTAGAACCTGAAGTCATCTAGACGTGACCTCCTGGTAAAAAGAACATTCTGGAACGTTCTATTTCTTACGTAATTATTCAAATTTAGAAACCCTGTTAATCTACTAAATTTAGTTCTTTAGAGAAGTTTCTAGATCCTTATACTTTATGTATATAAGAGCGACAGTTCCATCGAACAGAGAGAGAGATTTGCGAGGAAGCTTAGTGCTATAAAAACAAGAAGTCAGCTACGCGGAAATAAAACAGTTTGTTGTTGTTACCGACGATCCTGAGTTTTGTCTAGGAACAACCCTGCTCTACATCGACACTCGTAACACTGTGTATTCTTTAAATCACTAAAAACCCACGGTCTTATACAATCAAAAAACCTAATTTCCGTGCTACTGTCAAGAACTTATCGACTAGCACCTTGTAACGCTTCCGTCACGGCAATGGGGATAAGCAAAAAGTTCAAACGGTTGACTATGTCAAACTAAATGCACGGGAAGACATATGGGGCGCCATACTGGACATTATTGCAAACCTTTGATATATATGCAGTATGGCGCCCCATAAAGACAGGTTAAACGTAAGTTCAAGTTTCCGTGTCTCGAGTCACAGGCGTCTCTATTTGTGACTACGTTACAGTATTATCTCGTTTCGGGTCCTAAACCAGGCATCTATAGCTAAGTGTTCGCTCGGTTTGTTAACACTTTAGAATCGGCCGAGCGAAAGATTATGTCCAGCTGGTTTTGCTGAGATGAAAACGCCAAGAGACTGAGCAGCGAAGTGCTTAGAATGACAACAACTTTATTCTTGTTACTTGCAAGCGACCAACAAGCCGGATGGCAACGTTCAATGTATATCCACCGCATGGGCGAATAAGCGAACTGAGTAGCAGGCCCTAAAGATTCGAGAAATTTCAAACGTTTTGGTAAAAAGCTTAAAAATCGTGCCAAGTCCTGAATCGTAAGGGCCTATTTACACGGTACGACTTTGTCGCATGCGACAAGCTTACGACAGGCTTACGACACGAATTGTTTCGTGTAAATCAAACCTACAACTCGCTTACGACTCTTAAGTCATGTCGTAGGCCTGTCGTAAGCTTGTCGCATGCGACAAAGTCGTGCCGTGTAAATAGGCCTTAACAGAGATAACAATCGCAGAAATCTTGACTCACATTGTAAGGCTCTTCAAAGACGACTAACACCCGAAAAATCAGCAAAAAGAGCAAACTATTGGGAGAATCTCACCTGGACTATGTGTGTATTTACATTGAAAAGGTTCGAGTCCCTTCCGCCTTCTTGAAGATCTCCGTTCTTATTCTAAAAATTTTGGATAAGGACGGACAAGCAGAAGTCACTCGGAAAACTTCTTGTGTTGATGAGGTTCGTCAAAGTACTTTTGTATCTTTGTAACTCCTTTTCTTTAATTTCTTCAGAAAATTTATTTTAATAAACTATTTTAAATTACAGAACTTTATGCAATGAGGTTCAAGAAATACATTCATGTTCTAAAATATTTTATTTTCCAAAATCATTCATCTCAAACCGATTTAACCTACAAGTCCATGCATTTCACAGTCTACAAATTAACCTTTTAGAACTACAAATGTTCGAAACTGATCTTTAAAGATCGATCTTTAACAATGCACGCCGAGAGTCATGTAAAATACAGGCTCCAAGGATCAAGAAGCTGCACATTAACAATAACCGCTTTTATTCAGTTATCGATAATCGGCGTTCGATGAGTAAATAATGTGTAAAATATGTAAAATTCAAACTCTTAGGATCCATTAGTTTCTTCAAAAATCGACATGTAAGATATGAGACCTACGTAAGCTATAACAGACCTATGACAAATTCAGTTCATTTTAAAGCATGCACTAAAACCCTTAATGATGTATGGTGGAAATGCTAAGTCCGATGAGATATTATTTCAGCTCTATATATTTCTATTTTTTCATTGCCTCTGCCGGGATTCTCAACAACCACTTTAAGACTTTCTCAATTTTTCATTTTAATTGAGTCATTATCTGAGAGAACTTGTTAATAATATCTGACACATCGTCGTCAAAGCGATGCCTACTAGCATAATAAGTAGCGTAAGTACCAGAAAATTCCAAATACCTGCCCCTCCGTCTTTGTGGGGCAGTATATCTTGCAATTTTTTCTAGCACAAATCGGCATTCATCACATTCCTTGAAACGATCAACAAGATTAGTAGTCGGTTTTCCATTACTATAATGAGTGGGGCACAAATCTGGCATGTCTTTTTTTTCTTCATCCCACAACCACATACAACATTCCGCCAAGCCAATGAATTGTGGATATACCTCTTTTAGTAATCCTTCTAACAATTCAATTCTTTGCGTTAAGAAATACTGCAGTTTATCCTTGTCAATATTTTGAAACTGAACGGTATCAGAAAGAGTTTCGAGGCTCAAACCCTTAAGCAGATCATCGCAGTCTTGGCGTACTTTCTCTAAATTGTACAACTCGGCGAGCGCTAGAATCTTCATGACGTTTTCCTTTGTTTTTGGTGTAAGTGCCCCTAAGGCACGGGTTTATCCCTTGTTTTGATTTAGTAATCGTTTAATTAATAACCTGTAAAAGTCACACTAGGTGCCTCGTCACGCGTTCCGTAAGTGGTATCGCATTTCCAAACAGAAAGGATCTATTGTGCAATTCAATAATTCGATCGATTTCGCAAGCACTCGTGGTTTAATAGAAAGAAATTGTCTGTCGTTTTTATCGAAGGAAGGAAAGGTCCTTTTTGTGTCAACTCTCGCCAGATCCGGCAACAATGTAAGTTTAATTTACCTCGAGTGTTTCTATAGCTAATTTCTTGTCCCTAATTTTGTGAATCAATTATTTTTAGCTTCACGGTCAAATACGACATTAAATAAAGGAGGCGTTCCATGAAAGAAATTGGGACGATATTTGTTGTGTCGATCAGTGAGATTCGTACGGTCCAGCTAGCGGCGATCAAGCGTCGCTATAGTGAAGATTGGAGGAATTCAAGATATTAGCGGGAGTTTGTCGACTGCATACAATAGCCATGGCGCAGGCAAATCCTACGATGGAAGAAGTCACGAGCGAACAGAACGAAGACCATCAAGTCGGCGTTGAAACGACTGAAAGGGACAGAAGAGAAAGAATCCCTACCGAAAAGGGCGAGTCACTTCGCCTGGAAAGGCTTGTTGAGGAGCGAAAGGCCGCAGGAGTCGCTCTGAGGAGGCAGATAACGAAGGTAAACTCTTTACTCGAATCGATAAAAGAATTAGACGCAAGAGTCCTAGAGCAAGAGCGTGACAGTCTAGACTTGTGTAGGGATAGGATGAATGACGCTCATCACAATTATTACAAGGAATTGCATGACACTAAGGAAGCAGATGAAGCGTACGAGTGGTTTGATATTCGGGATCGCGAACATTTCCAATGTCGCATTAGAATTAACGAAGCCTTGCTTAGTGTGGAAAGACAAACAAGCGATAAAATGTCTCTGGTTTCGTCAAAATTATCCAAGCGTTCTTCCTCCTCTTCAGTAAGATCTAGAAGAGCAAAGGCAGCGGCCAAGGCAGCGTGTCTTCAATTAGAAATGGACTTTCTAGAAAGGGAAGCAGAGTATAAGAAGCTAGTAATGCAAAAGGAGTTAGCTAAGGCAAAGGCTGAGGAAGAAACCATGCGCAAAATCGAAGAAGAAGAAAGGCAGGAGGATTTCCCCCAGATCCCGAAGCATGAAACACCAATTCTAGACGTCAAACCCAAGCTATCGCCCAAAGAGGAACCTAGTGAAACGAAACCTTTGCAAGATAACGGGATCTTAAACCCAAAGGCTCCGCCCTTTGAACCCCCAAATGGCCCAGTTGTACGCCAAGGCACGCAAGCTGGTGAATCACCATCACGTGAATCAAAGCCGGAGATTTCCGACAGAACAGACGAGTTAACCTCGGTGGTGAAGCTTGTCGCCGAACAACAAAGAATGAGTCTGCTCCCAGCACAGCAGCCCCCGGTTTTCTCTGGAAACCACTTCGATTACGCAGCATTCATCAGTGCCTTCGAAAGTTTAATAGAGTGCCGAGTGAGCGATCCAAAGCAGAGGCTCTATTATTTAAACCAGTTCACATCTGGGGACGCTAAGGAATCAATTCAAGGCTTCATTAACCTCGACTCTCCAGATTCCTATGATAAGGCTAGAAAGGTATTAAAGGAAAGATTCGGCCATCCTTATCGCGTTGCACAGGCCTACAAGGATAAGCTGAACGCTTGGCCTCCTATGAAAGAAGGGGACGGCGCGCGTTTGCAACAGTTTGCTGATTTCCTGGTGCTTTGCGAACAAGCCATGAATACGTTAAAGTACATGGAAGGCCTTAACTCCGAGGACACTCTTAGAAGGATAACTGCAAAGCTGCCAAGTAACATGGGAGTGAAATGGTGCCGTTTTGCCAATAAGATGTTAAAATTAGAAGAAAGACTTTCTACGTTTCATGACGTTGTCAAATTTGTAACACAAGAAGCAGCCTTGGCAACCGACCCAGTATTCTCACCTGAAGCCCTCAAGGAGGCAAGGAAAGATGAGTTCACTTGCAGTAGCAGCAGTGACAACAACACCAACAGGAACACAACCTGGCGAAACAATGGAAGAAAAGGCAAGAGTACAAGTAGCTTCTTGACAAGTGCCACACCTCACGATGATCAACCGCCACCAGGTTCTTCATGTCCATTCTGCAACAGTCAGCATCACGATCTGGAGAAGTGCTCAAGTTTCAAGAAGAAGACTGTTAAAGAAAGAAGAGCATTTATCCAAGAAGCTAGAATATGTTTCGGTTGTCTCTGCTACGGCCACATGTCAAGAAGATGTCGAAACCGGAAGGTGTGTAAGACATGTAGTATGCCCCACCCGACCATCCTTCATGATGAAAGCAAAATTTCTCCCAAGCAAGGTAGTGAAGACCAAGCAAGAGTAGTTCAGGCAGCTGAAGCAACTAGCAGCTGTACAAGTACCTGTAATGCTACTGGAGTCACCGATGCCATCACAAACTCTATGATTGTTCCGGTTCGAATGTACCACCAAGACAACCTCGAAAGACAAGTTGTAATTTATGCGCTGCTCGACCCAGCTAGTAACGGAACTTTCGTTAAGGAAAGCATACTCGAAGAACTGCAAGTTGATGGAGTCGAGACTCAATTGAAGCTAAACACAATGCATGGTTCAGAAGTAGTTCCTACTCGTAGAGTAAGCGGTCTTATCGTGGAAAGAATGGATAGAGCGGTCTACATCAAGCTTCCCAAGACGTACTCAAGGAACGAAATACCATCGAGAAGAAACGAGATCCCAAGGCCAGAGTCGGCAGCAAAATGGCCACACCTAAGTCATTTAGCCAACAAGATTTACCCGTACCAAAACGATCTGCAAGTGGGACTTTTGATCGGCTCAAACTGTCCAAACGCCATAAAGCCGAAGCAGGTCGTTCCTGGTAGAAGCAGCGATCCTTATGCCATCCGTACCCTCCTTGGTTGGGGCATCATTGGTCCAGTGACAGGAAGTACAACCACAGAAGATTCGGATGTCTTATGTCACAGAGTTGCAGTGAAGGAGATCGGTAGCGAAGAATTACCTTCCCATAGTTTTGTTGTTGAGACACACGTAAAAGAGATCATCTCTCCAGAAGCAGTTAAGAGAATGTTCGAGCGAGATTTCAATGAAGGGAAGCACGCGGCTCAACAAACCCTTTCCATGGATGATCGAAGATTCATGGCAAAGGTTAAAGAAGGAATTACCCATCGTTCAGATGGACACTATGAACTGCCATTGCCACTACGAAATGAATCGTTAGCCCTGCCGAATAACGAGAAGCTTGCAGTCCATCGCCTCCAGCAGTTGAAACTGAGATTTCGAAGAGATGAGAAATACCAAGAAGACTACACGGCATTCATGAATGACATGATTAAGAAGGGATATGCTGAGAAGATACCAAAGGACGAAGTTAGGAAAGATGGAAAGACATGGTACCTTCCTCACCATGGTGTCTTCCACCCTCAGAAACCAGACAAGATCCGCGTAGTCTTCGATTGCTCCGCGGAGTACAAAGGGGAGGCTCTTAACAAGCATCTTCTGCAAGGCCCAGATCTTACCAACAAGCTTGTTGGAGTGCTATCGAGGTTCAGAAGGGAGCCAGTTGCCTTCATGGCAGATATAGAAGCAATGTTTCTGCAGGTCCACGTCACTGAACATTGTAGAGATCTGTTACGCTTCTTGTGGTGGGAGGATGGCGATGTAAACAAGGAGCCCACGATATACCGGATGACCGTTCATCTCTTTGGAGCTGGTTCGTCTCCTGGTTGTTGTAACTTTGCGCTAAAGAAGACCGCTGATGACCATGAGCAAGAGTTGGGCCTCGAACCAGCCGAGTTCCTGAGGAAAGATTTCTACGTTGACGACGGTCTGAAATCTGTACCTTCTACAAGTCAAGCAAAGGAGCTCATACGCAAGACTAAAGAGATGTGTCGGCGCGGAGGATTTAACCTGCATAAATTTACAGGCAACAAAAGAGAAGTTATCGAGTCCATACCAGTGGAAGATCGTGCGAAAGGCATAAAGGAGCTGAATCTCGAGAAGGACGAACTGCCTATGGAAAGAGCGCTTGGTGTGAGTTGGTGTATTGAGTCAGACGCTTTCAAGTTCCGGATCGTGATGCAAGATCGCCCTTTAACGCGAAGAGGAATTCTGTCCACTGTTAGCAGTGTGTACGATCCGTTGGGGTTTCTGGCACCTCTAATCTTGACAGGAAAAGGCCTTCTGCAAGATCTGTGCAGAGGTAAAGTGGAATGGGACGACCCTATCCTCGAGAACATAAGATCACGTTGGCTGAAATGGAGGGATGAGTTACACCACTTAGAAGATCTCTCCGTTCGAAGATGCTTTAAACCAGAAGGTTTCGGAACGGTGATATCAACGCAGCTTCATCACTTCTCAGACGCAAGCACGACTGGGTATGGCCAGTGTTCATACGTTCGTTTGGTAGACGACAAAGGCCAGATCCACTGTTCCCTGATTATGGGCAAAGCAAGAGTAGCTCCTTTAAAGATGGTCACCATACCACGTCTGGAACTCACAGCAGCTGTGGTGTCAGTGAGGGTCAGCGAGATGCTCCGTCAGGAGCTCCAGTATGAAAGTGTAGAAGAAATCTTCTGGACTGACAGTAAAGTCGTGTTGGGCTACATAAAGAACGACTCGAAGAGGTTCCACGTGTTCGTAGCCAACCGTGTTCAACAAATAAGGGACCAAACCTCACCTAGCCAATGGAGACACGTCGAAACGAAGTGTAACCCAGCCGATGATGCATCGCGTGGTATCACTGCCAAGGAACTCGTTGAAAGTTCAAGATGGATTTCAGGGCCAGAGTTCCTTTGGACGCCCGAAGACCAGTGGCCACAACCCCTCGAGGCTCAAGACCTCGTTACGCCATCAGACGATCCAGAGGTGAAGAATTTGACTTCTTATGCAACAAGTACGCAAGAGCCATGGAACCTTGTTGAGAGTTTAAACTACTTCTCGGACTGGCATAGGGCGTGTAGAGCCGTTGCTATCTGTCTACGCTACAAGCAAAAACTCCGTCAACTGGCGTCCTCCAAGAAAGAAAGTTGTGCTAAACCAACAAAACGTCAGCAAAGGCCTGCCCTGACAGTGGAAGAGATTTTATCAGCTGAAAGGGAAATCTTCAAAGCAGCCCAGAGGGTCGCCTTTTCAGGGGAGATGGGTCTGTTAAAGCCGTTTCAAGAAGGACAAGATAGATCATCCGCGCAGCAGAAGAAGAGAGCCATGAAGGCGACGAGCTCGTTGTACCGCCTCGACCCATTCATTGACCATGATGGAGTGCTACGAGTTGGTGGTCGGATCCAACGAGGCAATTTTACAGATGAAACAAAGTTCCCAGTCATCCTTCCGAGAAAGGGCCACGTTACAGGTCTGATCATTAAGCACTACCATGAGAAGGTTCAACATCAAGGTCGTGGAATGTCCTTAAAGGAGATCCGAGCCAATGGATTCTGGGTTATCGGCGGAACATCAGCTGTAGCCTCCAAAATTGCAAATTGTGTCACCTGCCGGAAGTTACGAGGTGCAGTCCAGGAGCAGAAAATGTCCGACCTTCCGGAGGATCGTCTGGAACCGGCACCCCCCTTCACCTACTGCGCTGTCGACTACTGTGGACCATGGTATATTAAGGAGGGGCGCAAGGAGGTAAAGAAGTATGTTGCCCTCTTCACGTGCATGGCATCAAGAGCCGTACATCTTGAAGTCTCGAACTCCTTGGAGACTGACTCGTTCCTCAACGCCCTGCGTCGTTTCATCTGCAGAAGGGGTCCTGTACGTCAGCTGCGCAGTGATCAAGGAACGAATTTCATCGGAGCAAAACGGGAGCTCCGCGAAGCGTTGCAGTCTATGGATCAAGGCAAGATCAGCACTGAGATGTTGAAAGAGAATTGTGATTGGATAACCTTTAAGATGAATTTCCCATCAGCCAGCCATGCAGGAGGAGTATGGGAGCGCCAAATCAGGACCATTCGCAGTGTACTATCAGCCCTCCTGGAGAAGAGTGCAAGTTGCCTGGACGGAGAGTCCTTTCACACGCTGATTTGTGAAACCGAAGCGATCGTGAACAGCCGTCCCCTGACAGTGGATAATCTAAGCGATTCAGGGTCACTATCTCCACTGACGCCAAATCATATCCTCACAATGAAAGCAAAGCCAGTTCTACCTCCGCCTGGCGTGTTTCAAAGAGAAGACCTGTACTCAAGGAAACGTTGGCGACGAGTCCAGCATTTATCATGCGAATTCTGGGACCGTTGGAGGAAGGAATTTCTTCATAGCTTACAAGAGAGGTCCAAGTGGACGAGACCACGCCGTAACATGCAAGTTGGCGACGTAGTTATCGTTAAAGACGACAACAAGGCGAGGAATCGGTGGAGCCTTGCTCGTGTGATAGAAACGTACCCCAACAAGGCCGATGGACTAGTGCGTAGTGTCAAGGTAGCGATTGGAGACCCTGATATCTCCAGCACTGGAAAGAGAGTGCACCCCCCATCAGTTTTGGAAAGACCCATTCAAAAGCTTGTCCTGCTGCTGCCAAGAGAGGAAAGACTGGGATTCCCGCATGGGGAGCCATTCAACGAACACATTCAAAAGGAGGACTAGACACGGACATGTCAGTGAACTCTGAACTTGTTACTTTAATTATGTTTCGTTTTGTTTGAAATACGGTGATTTCAAGGGGAGCCATGTAAGTGCCCCTAAGGCACGGGTTTATCCCTTGTTTTGATTTAGTAATCGTTTAATTAATAACCTGTAAAAGTCACACTAGGTGCCTCGTCACGCGTTCCGTAAGTGGTATCGCATTTCCAAACAGAACGGATCTATTGTGCAATTCAATAATTCGATCGATTTCGCAAGCACTCGTGGTTTAATAGAAAGAAATTGTCTGTCGTTTTTATCGAAGGAAGGAAAGGTCCTTTTTGTGTCAACTCTCGCCAGATCCGGCAACAATGTAAGTTTAATTTACCTCGAGTGTTTCTATAGCTAATTTCTTGTCCCTAATTTTGTGAATCAATTATTTTTAGCTTCACGGTCAAATACGACATTAAATAAAGGAGGCGTTCCATGAAAGAAATTGGGACGATATTTGTTGTGTCGATCAGTGAGATTCGTACGGTCCAGCTAGCGGCGATCAAGCGTCGCTATATTTGGCTCCTCATCAAGGAACTTAACACACGGTTTGAAAATCTGTTCTGTTACTTGGTACTCATCACTTAAGAGCAGAAGATGTTCCACATTCTCCACTAGGATCAAAAAGCATGGTTAAAGATATAACACTCAATTAAAAGGTATGTATGGTGGACTACTGTCTATGAACTGCCGGAACAGAGACCACAACCGCACTGAAAACAATTGTTATTACATACCGGTAGGTACCTATCCTAGCATTATACAGGAGGTTACATTCAACGAGCTGCACACTACACAATAACTGGCGATTGATGAGTAAATAATGGGTAAAATATATGCAATTCAAGCTATTCGACCACAGAGTAAGAGAAAGACTGAGTGCGTTGGGAAATTCTCAAACCATTTAGAAATAACTGATAAAGCTAACACCTTGGCTTTGCTTAGTCACAGCTTTAATGCATTATTCTCAGGTTGTAGATTGTATTACGTTCAGGGAATTTCGATGATAAAGAGTTCGGAGCTAACCCATGTAGGCATTTTAATGCCATGGTGGCTTTTTGTTTGGTCCGCTGGCGGTCGAGATTTTTCTACCCCAAAATTTCTAACAATTGATCAGCATCAACGTCATAGCTTGAGAATCATCATAACGCGAGCTGCTTTATTCTGCAATTTTTGAAGCTTGTCTTTTAAATTACCGCACAGGTTCCTCAACCAGTGCTACAATAGTCTAAGCGAGGTTATATTAAAGCTTGGTCTATAAGATGCAAGGTTGCTTGGGGAATCAGGTGCCTAAGAAGTCTAAGGAGAGTCCGTTAGCACCTTACTTGTGATTTGCAGTTCTGTTTTGGAGTGGTGGGGTCCATACATTTTTATCAGGAAGTCCAACACCTCATTGGGTTTCTTTCCAGGTAGCGGAATCTCATTAGCAGCTGCCTCCTTAAACTGAGATTTGAACATGGCCTTGAACACTGGTGAGCTCATGCTTAATATCAGACGATGGACATGAAACTGCTCATTTTCCACAACAAGGATCACATCACTGTCCTCCCATGGCTCAGCGAAACAATGCCTGACTTTCTCTTTTTCTTGTGCCTCTTGAACTGTCACGTCAGATAAGACTGAGTTAAATGCTGATTAAACATAAAGCACTTGACTCGGAATAGCAAATGCAGTTCGTTTGTGGGAGAATTTAAATTTAGCGGTCTACTTTTTACGCGCCAACAAGCCTCTCGATAGGTCACCCACTACATACCGCAGGTACAGAAGATCTGAAATTGGATACAGGGGTCATTTTCCTTCCACAGCTTGTTGTACGAAATCGAACCTGCTGAATTTTATGCAACATAAAACTGTGGAATCGAAACATTATCTCCATGACAGATCTAGAAATTTTTGCCAAAAAAGGGAATGTCGTGTCAGAGGAACTATCCACGCAACATGTCTTCTAGAACCGATCTCGTAATGACCTATTACTTCTTACGGAAGTTCCTGCCTCCATATTGAATTCCGTTTTATGGACTTTATAAAATCAATTCAGTCGATAGGAAACGACTTAACAACGGAACCCGGATGCAAAGATTTCATTTAGGCCGACTTAGAGTTTACAAAAGTGACACAAACATATCATGTGACTGATATGTCACATATCACTTGGTTAGGAGAGGTAACAACTGATTTAAATCATTGACGCAAAAGGAAAAGGCAGCTTTATCCTAGGCTTTCCACCAGAAAAGCACCTACCGAGCAAGGCTCTAAGGTCTAGCGGGTAAAAAGATATTGACAAATGATCGAGTCGGTCCAATCTATGCGGCGTGATGCTTTTAAAAATTAAAGGTCAAGAAGAGTGACACAAACAGACAGCACGACATTCGGAAAGATTTCCGTATAGCCCCAAACTATTCCAAAATATAGCATTAGCCCCGAAGGTAAAAATTGTTTTCTTTCATTAAATAGCTTTATACATAATGAAGGATGCGGCCTTACGGAAATCTTACCCGACATTCCACCTCAATGTCACATTACCGATTAATGATAGTGTTTTATGCAGGCTCGGGCTGAAATGAAATTCTATCTTGTTCTCGACTATACGTTGCCTAGCACGTGACCAAAATCTACCCAGGCGGAAATCCAAAATGACGGTGGCAGTCTGGGCTCTCGTTACCGTTCCTATAAGAGATTTTTAACTCTTATGTTTTAACTCTTTGATCACATATTATACGGAGACAATAATATTGAGAGATCAAATTACATATCTGTTGGTAACAGAAAGTATTCGAGAGCACAGAAGCGGAATACTCATTAGACTTTCTATTGATCTGCAAAATATTTGTAACAACAAATGTACATTTACGTACAATTGCGAGAAGGCAATTTACCTGCCATTTCACACTTGTCACGAACCTCTCGAGTTCTCGAAGACCATGGAAATCAGCTGAGACGGCGTAATTTCATACTTACACCCCATAATATTCGAATTTGTTTAAACCATAGAGTTATAACTGATTGTATTGTGTGGTCGTCCGAATGAGGGAACTATTAAAAAGAACTTCATTCGGTGATAACCTGACTTGTGTTACCAACAAGCACCTGCGCGGAAGTCATCATCATATCAACCACCTAACTCTGAAAAAGGTTTGCTTTCTTATAACCGAATACTATAACTAAAAAATGGTCGAGATTCGATCGATCGCGTTCGATTCCAGTTGGATTTACCAGTTGGATTTACCAGTTGGTCGAAAATAATTGATTTTAAGTGATTGTGAACGTAATTCAACCATGGTTTGAGCGTATTATACGATAAAAGAACAATTATCCAGAGAAATAAGCTATTTTCGTCTAATTAAGACATCTGCATGCAACAGTATCTCAGTATGTTTTCAAGAGGCCTGAGCAGGGTCCTGAATGATTATCTAAGCTAGTCACATGCTGTAACGTAGGCTGAAATTGAAAGGAACTTAATACCTGAACTTTCGCTTATTTTTGTCGCTGAGGCGGTGTTCGAGGCCATAAAACTTGAGGTCGTGATACCACGAAGAAAGCACACCAAGTTAGCTGATTAAAAAAGTGTTGTGATAAGGGCGAGATTACGCTTAGGTTTCAGTGGAATTCTGGGAACTGAGCGCTACATTACTTCCGGTTAGTGTTGGGAGTCTGGTATAGGCAGAGTTGTGATGTCATTCTCAGAATGAAAGGTTTGTGTTTTAGCTCGTTATATTTATATGTTACCAAGTCTAGCACTCACCAAAAATATCCCACCCAACCCCTTAATTGCAAAAGACTGATGATTCGCCCCCGTTAGAGATCTTTTTCGATGTAAATAGCATCCTTCTCGGCTGTCTGATCCCACTGTACGGCACCGCAGTACGGTGGCCCACAACTGTCTTTCACGGCAAAACAAAAAGTCACGGCACTACAAAATTAACTCACGGCAAAACAAAATTAACTCACGGCAAAACGAAGAAAACGAGTTGGTCAGCGGTTGGTCAGCGGTTCTTATTTGCATTTGAAATTGAAAGTCGTGTAACAGTAAATAAACGAAATGGCGACCTTTGTTGCCAAGGATATTGGTGGGGTGTAAAAGAAGCCAACGATAATCTTATAAGAGTTTATATTTATTCGTTTTAGTTTCAACAAGCGGCGCCAGCGACTGACAGACGTGCGAGGATTCACAACGAAATAAGAGAACAACCTTCGTTTTTCGTAAAGTTGTAATTTACAGTCCTTGAACTTGAAAACAATCCGAAGATTCATTAAAATTATCACTTACTCCGAAGCGCTCAGAGTTTACAGGTGTTCAAAAGCTTTTTCTGTTATGGCGTGAGATTGGGGACAAAATCGATCACTACATTTCGTATCGTGTGTTTTTCTATGTGAAGCAACAGGTGCCGGCGACTGACGAAATTACAGGTTAACACCTAAACAAATAATTTTGGCTCCCGATTTTTAGCGAATTTTTAAAAAACAATTTTCTTTTAAGTTTCAAGACAATTTGAAGATTAAAAATAAATATTACGTACTAAAATGCGAAAGTTATACACCACAAAATTGATAAATAGGCCTGAATGAAATTCTATCTTGTTCTCGACTATACGATGCCTAGCACGTGGCCAAAATCTACCCAGGCGGAAATCCAAAATGACGGTGGCAGTCTGGGCTTAGTTAGCAAGCCCTTCAGTGTGACGATTGCGGCTTTTGGTAGCATCGTATCTGCGGGACTGGTATCGACCAAGCCAGCTACCGTTTAGCAATTATCAGAGTAAGAATAGATTGGTTGTGCGTTGCATGTTCTCTTGCGGCATCTAACCCAAGTAACCAGGTCCCCGCTGCTGAGAGCACAAGAACCGACTCACTTAGCACATGGGCCAGTTCGTACAGATTAGTTTTCTTTAGTTTTTGCTCGCGTTTAGGCAAGTTATAATAATATTATTATTATTATTCTAGTTTCAAAGGAATAGTTTATTTTATCACGATGAAAAAAAAAACCAGATACGTAATAAGTATTTTTTTTTCATAACGAACTTACCTTAAGCTAGCATTTGAATTCGTTTTCAAGGGGCGGGTGTCACTTGGACAACCCCCACGTCCTCGCGTGTGATTAGGTTTAGTTGCTAGCAATTAATAAATATGTTTGTATTAATGCGTGTCTGAATTGACCGCAACGTCACAATCTTGCTTGGCGACCATGTGATGATTCTTGAGCACGTGCTGTATTCAAGATGGCGGCGTTTTCCAATGTTCCAAACATAGTGATGTGAACCTTCGTTCGAAACAGAATGCTTCCACAGGTAAAACAACAACAGTTAGAACCATACTATAACTGCTATTACTATTTTTTTTTTTTTTTTTATTTTCGTGTTCTATTTTAGGATTACTATCTCCGCGATATCAAACGAGAGCGAGACGAACAACCTAAGTTTCACGAGTCAACATTTTACGACTTTATTCCTTGCGATTTACTCAAGATGTTGTTTTTCTTCAAGTTTAAACACTCGATAAAATTTCGGGCGACATGACTTGGGATTTTGGGCGACATGAATACGAATTTCGGGCAACATGACTCTGGTTTCGGGCGACTTGACCGTAAACCGTTGAAATTGAGAGAACTTATTTCTGGTAACACCTGCTGACCACAAAATAAGGCTTTGGTGGAAGGGTGAGAGGTGTGGTTTTCTAGAATCCATTGGGATCATCTTGATGGTCTTTTTTATCTTCTTGTCGTAGAAAATTTTAGATTTTGTGGTTTTAGCTACTTGCCCGTGAGATTAAAATCTGATTCAAATTACTGGAAATCATCAAATTTGATAAAAATTGAGCCATCAAATTTTTCAAAGGATTAGAAAAGGTCATTATACTCTGAACATAATACCTTGGAGTTATAAGATCAAACTTACCCTACTTCTTCCAAGCTGAGTGAGATTAAAAAGAGTTTGCCAGGCAGCATCTGGCAATTTTGCTTGCAATTTAAAATAGAGCAAGACCCAATCAGGCATACGCATACTCTTTCAAGAGCTGTTGATAAGCGGTTGGTAAGTTCCATGTGCATCCATAACTAAATTGATCACTTCTGATATGGCTTTTGAGACCTTTGCTTTCTGTTCATCACTGCCATACAAAAAACTGTTGCCTAATATACAGGCCAGGGTCTCGTGATACTTTTCCAACACACAATCTAACTCAGCCTCGCGCCACGTGATTCCGATCCAAGATTTATTGTTTTTTTTCTAAATTTTCACTTGGGCGCAGGCACAGACACGTTAGGTGAAACATGAATTATTAGGTGAACCTTTAACGTTTATGAAAACCAACGACAATGGACGGAAGGTTCCTTGCTCAGCTGTATGTGGCGCGCACAAGGATACAACATATGACGTTACGCAATTTATATGCAAATGAATCCTAAAGCGTTACCGTTCACGGATACAACAACCGCTGAAACCTTGAAATTTATTTGAAGTAATACTTCTCATTTATAATGAGACTGAGTTTCATGATACCCAGAAATACAAGAGTATTTAAATACAGCACTATTTTGCCACAAATTTTAAATTACAGTTGAAGAGGCTACATGCATTTGTAATGTTTTGGCGGCATTCATCCTGAACGCAAATCTTTTTCTCCAATATTTCACTGCTTTAATCTACTAATTTTTTTTTACATAATTCAAGAGCACGTTTAATTCTTCGTGACCTGTTGATTGATCTTCATGGCATGTCCCGTTTTAATGAACCAAATGGACTGCTTAGGAATGCAAGTGTTTACGTAATTCTCTAAATTGATGACAAACGATAGCGCCTTCGTAGAATGCATGCTGCGAATTTTTGGGGGGGCCTAAGGCCCCTCATGTTTACAAATTTAATTTTAACCCCGTTTACAATCCATGTCACATCTAAAAACTCTTTCCTCTTCAAATTTACCTTTTATGGCTACATACTTCACAAATTTCTCCTAATTCTGTTGTAAAATAAGCCCCTAACAGTGGAGCATAAGCCTTATTTTAATTATTTCCGAATGATCAGGAGCGACTCCGTGAAAACCATGCATGAATACCATGATGCTCAAAATTCAAGTTATCAAGTGTTCCAGAATAATGAAAATTTCTTCTTAAAATAAATGTTCATGCGATGTAGTTCGAAAAAATGTACACCGAATCTTAGTAAGTTGTTAACTTATGTTACATTGGCGCCACATTTCTTAATGTTTCATTTATAAAGCCATTAACTGAGAGTATCTCTGAATTATATCTGGCAAACACTTGTCAAAACGATGACGATTGGAGATAGCATTGCCATAAGTGTTTTGGAAATTATAGTATGGTGTATTGTTAGTATAATAGCCTTTAATTCTTGGGAAAGTGGATGAAGCCAAACGACCCAGCATTTTTTTACAATCATTACATCCCTTGATACATTTATCAAGATTGAAATCTACTTTTCCTCTGCTGAAATGAGTAGGACACCATTCAAGGGACCGGTTATTCTCATGCCACAACCACAAACAACATTCCAGGAGGCCTATGAATTGTGGATACAATTTCTCCAGATAATCTTCCAGCACTTTTATCCTCTGCGTCAGAAAATGCTGCAGTTTATCCTTCTCAACATTTTCAAACTGGACGGTTTCAGAAAGAGTCCCCAGCGTCATACCCCTGAGCAGTTCGTCGCAATCCTGACGCACTTTCTCTAGGTCATAAAACTCTGCAAGCGCTCGAATCTTCATGACATTTTCCTTAGTTTTAGGTTCGTCTTCAAGGAACTCTACACAAGGTTGGAAGATGTGTTCTGTTACTTGATACTCGTCACTTAACTGCATAAGTTGTTCCACGTTTTCCACTAAGATTTAATATTTTGTAAATATCGAGAAAGTTAGTTGACTGATTGCCCACAGAATCAGTATCGATTAATATTGTGGTACATGCACACCTAAGAGTAAATAATGCAAGTGGGGACATTGAATTTTTTTTTCCCACGACTGTATAATCACTCGAAACCTTCCTGGACGGATTCAAAGTCCTTCAAAGGGCTTCGCTAAGGCCCAGACGTAGTCAAGAGGTTTGCAAAACGTTTAAAATTCTCTCGTCCTGACCCCACTACCCCAGTGTTTGGATGACGGGATAAGGCTATGGAAAAGAAGGATTCTTCAAAATATCGACTAAGTAGCTTTTAAAGAAGAATTCTCCAAATGGAAATACAAAATGTTATTTTTTGTAATAACTTTTAACTTTTGTACTATTTTATTTGAATGTCATTTTTGATAACGGTATTCCAAGGAGCAAATGCAAATGAGAAAAGATGCGTGACTTTCAGGATTTGTTGAATTATACTCTTCCCTTGTTAAATAAATCATAGCTGTCTACGAAGTTCTCTCGTAGATGGGTCATTTTTCTCAAAACAAAAAAGATAATTATCCTAATAATTCTTACTTGTGATTTCCACTTTCTTTTTTGTGTACTGGGGTCCATAAATTTTCATCAAAAAGTCCAAGACTCCCTTTACATTTTTCCCAGGTAGTGGAATCTCGTTGGCGGTTGCCTCTTTAAGCTGAGATTTGAACATCGCTTTGAACACTGGTGAGTTCATACTCAGTATCAAGCGATGAACATGAAAGTTTTCATTCTCCACAACTAGAATCACATCACTGTCTTCCCACGGCTCAGAGAAATGATGCTTTGCTTTCTCTCTCTTCTCGTCACTTGAATCAGCTCCTGCTTACGAAGAAACCATATTAATTAGAGACTTCTCACCACACAGGGAAACAGTGATACACTTTCCCGTCTGCTATGCTCTTCATGGGCAAAAAATATTAATCATTTGAGGCAACCTGTTAAGAATTTAGAGTAGGGTCATCCCCGCCGATGATAGACCAGCTAAAAGCGAAGCCTGGCCGGAAGTACAGAATTCTATTCACAGAAAACTCGGAGCCCACAAAAATAGAGCATGAACGTGACTGATCAATTTACAAACCTCTATCACTGAAGGAGCAAACATATGACCTCTGATAAAGAATATGGCAGTTATATCATTCACTGATGGATAGGAACGGCTCCTACCGAAAGTAGCTTTTAGGACTGACTGGAAACAAAGCTATCATTCGAAACATTTGCGTGACATTTATATCAATCGCAGAAATGCCTCTGCTAAATTTAGCCCTGTTAAAATGCTAATTAGGCCTTCGTGTCTGTGCCAAGAGCTTTAAAAACATGTCAGTTTTATATCAGAGTATCGATGAAGTCACTCTTCCGGCTGATCTTGAGTCTTTCTAAATATAATACGACACCCAACGACTATGGAATATGGTCCGTTGGTTCACATTCATTCCGCCATCTTCCTTATTTTATCGCCCGTAAGTGTTTAGATTAAAAGCGTACAGGACTCCGTAGCATCCCACTTTGTCGTTCCCCGTATTTTCTTCGCTACTATACATAGTCAAGTAAAATTTTTCATGATATTCTGATTTTTCATTGATATTCAGTGCGCCCATCTACAGGCACTCTGGTCTCAAAACGAAAACAATTCGAGTGCTTTGTTGTATCGGATTTCAAAATTAGAGGGAGGTGAAGGCTTAAACAGTGCTAGAGTACTTTCCAACATCTCTCGCGTTCAGGATAGCTTGAAAAATCTCTTCAACAATATATAACTTACCCTTTTCAACGATTTCCTCATCGTTTGTTATGCTTTTGATAGCATTTAACTCAGCGATCTCAACGGTTTCTGCTCCTTCGCCAGAATTATTAGAAGCCATCTTATGAAATTGAATGAGTTCGCTTTTTGTAACAGAATGTTGTAAATCGAGAAGCGGTGTACGAAGAACTGAGTTCGGGCGAAATAAGTCAAGGGCACTCTTATCAAACGTTTCCTATCGATTAAAGTACTGGAAACACAAAGGCTGACTCTAAGACACTAACCGTATTGAAATTCGTCCTTGATTATAAGGGAATTGAAAGTGTGCGAGCCGCTGTGAACGTAGTGCTGACGTCACAGTTCCTCCGAGAGATAGAGAAGGCTTGGGCCAAAGGAACAATCCTTTCATGACTTTTATGGTCTTTCAAAGTGGATGCTTTCTTGAAGATGTTTCTTCAGTATTCAATCGTCATGACTTTGAGGTTTGGTTAATTTGACAATGAGGCAGACCAATCTTTGCGTCGTTTTATTAGCTTTTTCAAGTCCAGAAAGACCTTAAGCTCACATGATGTTTTCTCATGAAAACACACTACTGGTCTGACATACACAAACAAGTTAGAGTTAGGCCATGATTTGAAAGACGATTTCTCTCGCTCAGAAGTCGCCGAGAGCCCACCCTACAATCTTCAAACCCTTCAAACTTGCCGCATCACAATAACACAGATACATTTTTTTACTTCTCTTATGGCAACCTTGAAGCTACCTTAACCTTAAAGATAGCCCTATGAATCTCACCTTAAGAGAGACGAGAATTCGATTCATTTTCTTACGAGTCCACACATACCAACATAGATCACGGGAGATACTTTTCAGGAGGGGAGAGGGCAGGAATTTAACATTATAAGTTATAATGGCTAATTGTAAAGTTACTTTGTCTTTGTTTCTTCTTTATTTGGGGAGAGGGTAGCCCTACTCACCATTTATTTATACTTACAAAGATAATCCCGGTTAGGACCAAGTTAGCTGTAGGCCTTGTTGTTCATTTTTCCTTTGGGCTTGATTTGAGAAGCTTTCTCTAAGCTTATGGGGATCAGCAACAAGCTCAAATGATCGACGGGGTCAAATAAATGTTTAGGAAGACGAATTTGCCTAAACAGAAGTTCAAAATACTCGTGGCTCGAGATAACCATGCGTAGCAAGCGGGAGTTGTATCAGACACAGGTTATCTCGTTTCGGTTCCTTCAACAAGGCATTGGGAGTTGAGTGTTCGCTCGTTGAGAAATCATTACGGCATCTATGCCTCGGTGTAAGCTTTCTCTTTTCACGACGACAAACTAAGCCAAGCAGTCAGGCAAAAATGTACGCAAAGTAGGTAGCTACATAGAAGCGGGCTGATAGACTGTTGTTTAATGTTCATGACAATAAACACCAACGATTTTAGTGGGGGTATGCGTGTTCTATTACAACGGTTGTATAATAAATTATTTAAAACGATGACCTAACTATGTTCCAAGGTCTCTTTGTTAAACATAGTCGTTTGACGGTTTAGTGCCTCAAACTAAGCTAATTTCGGCTAAAATGCAATTGGTTTCGATACTTTCATCTCCAGTAAGACATCAATTAAGCTCAGTTTACAATTGGTATTATGAGAGTGTACTTTCATTCGTCTTCCATATTTCGTAGAATACCCATCTGGATCAAATAAGTCAAGGAGCCAATATATCATGATTATATAGGGTTTTTATAGAGTTAAGAACATAATTACAAACCTTGAAGCGGATCTGATGTTTCTATGCTGTTCAACCTTTTCAACGCGCCATTGCTCTTCATACTAAGACGCTTTATTATCTTAGTCAAATGTAACGAATTTAAATAGCTGGGTTACTTCATTTTGGTAAAATGAACATAACACTAGACACTTCACCTTCAACCTCTCTTTCTCCACCCAGAAGTTCACATGGATGCGAGAGAACCGTCACGGAAATGTGACAAAAAACATGGCGGGTACATGAACCTGTGATGTACTAGCATTCCATTCCAGAGGCTGTAAAAATCAGCTTTGAAACTCTTATAATGGTAGCCAATTTACGTTATCAACTCAGTTGATAATACTGAATCGTTTTGTTATACTCTCCCACCGACCCAGCACCACAGTTTCTTTAGAAATTTACCCCCTTTATTCGGCTTTAAACATCACCCTCGTAACTCCATGGCAACGAAACCGGGTATAAGCAAGGACAGTTATAGGCCACACGGTTCCAATAATTTTTAATCAAAACCCCAAACTGTAAACCCTACTATGAATGCAAAACTACAATGGAAATGTGGTCAAAGACACAAGGGAAAAACGGTGTAGTTAGATGATCAAAGGATACTTTTCGTGGTAAGATGGAACAAAGACGTCTTCTTTTCTGAATTGGACAGGGCAAGACAGCTTGGTTAACTGTTGTTCGTACATTAGTAAAGAATCCGGCTTATTGTAACTGTTACCCTGGAAATAAAAAATATATATATATACATATATAGTCTTAAAGTACAATAAGGCTGATTTTTCGTTATGATATTACTTTGGGCAAGATACAACATGACCAATTGCTTCAAAGGTGGTAGAAGAGAGTCTAGGGGTGCAAGGGTTAAATTTTCCATAACGACACTTAAGCATCTTTGTTCTCTGTTAATCTGAGTTCAAACCTTCTACTGTTCTTCTTTCAGCAGTCAGTTGGTTTGACAGTTGGGACAGCCTCGTTCCCAGGGTCTATGTTCTTCCCAGAAACGAGGCTGCAGTAATAAGTCTTAACTACTTTTTTCCTGAAATGGTTTGATGCTACTCTGGTTTACAGAGTTAATGGATGTAACCGAAGAAGTTACAATTCATAGACCCAACGTTGTGTCCTGTTTGTGCTATTTGTCTCCTATTTACAAGGTTCGTAATTAACAGGCTAGAAGGTGCTCATTCCACCGTCAATGAGTTGCGTTTGTTATTTCTTAACAAAAAAGAAGCACACAGTACATGCAACAAAGAAGCTATGTCTAATGTAAACAAAAGAGTGCAAGGTTTAGTTTTAGTGCTGAGAGTTTTCCCTGAGGATATACACACAATTACCAGTACAGATTTCATGATGTAAAATAATGAAATTTACAAACCTGGGTGAAATATTTCCCACTAGGTGACAGCACCTTCATCGACATATCCAGAATCAGTCTTAAGAATTCCCACAAGGAACCTTTCGAAACAGCAGATGAAAACATTAGGATCTCTTACTAAAATTTACACTTCAACTTAACATTTATCAGTATTACACCATAAAAAGAAAACAAGCAAAGTACAAAATATCAAGGCAGCTTGTTGTCAAGTCCCTGTGCCCAAGTATTTTGAAATAAATTGCTCCTTCCTTCTCATAAAAGCAGATATACACAAAGACCTCTAAGGTAAGAAATTTTAGACATGCCATTTCATAGAAAATTTGCATAGATGACCGACTCATTTAGCTAGTTTAGAAGTTACCCCATGACATTGGGTCAAGTTGTCTGCACAGTTTCTAGGTGCATAGACCCATTTAACTATTTGCCAGTGGAGAGAGCCTGTGAGAGGGCAACGTGTCTTGCCTATTAGCACCAAGCAACCCCTACCCACACTCATGCTCAGACCTCTTGATCAGCACGGTGAATCTCTCAATCCAATAAACCCTAACATAGGTATTCATATTATCCACACTGATATTTCCACATTTACCGTGTCAATGACAAGGAGAATTCATTTGACAATCAGGAGCTTCTTAAGTAGGTGATCATTTTCATAACTCTCACAATCTTTACATATGATTCAAGGGTTATACTTTGGGGAGAAATTAGAGGCCAATCACAATAGGGTGTTAAAGGGTTAAGAAAAAAAAGGTCAAGACACATCCTATCTTAATGGAGAATGTGACCAGCTTGCCTACACACTCAATAATTGTTACCAAGAAAGAAATGGGATTCCCTTATCTTAGCATACCTATTGGCTCCTTTGTGACAGGAATTGCTGTCAAATCATTGATGACATAATCAAATGTTCTGCCTTCCTCTATACACCGCTCTAAATATTTCACGCAATCACCAATGTGTACCTATGAAAATGTACTGACCAATTATCATCATTAATGACTACTGTTCAGTATATAATTAATACATATGAATAACAATAAACTTTGAGTTTGTGATTTTAGAAGTTAATTGGACCACTATTAGTGTCATTGAGATGAGACCATTCTGTTTACAAAGCACATCACATGTCCAAAACCAAATTTATACACATTATCCCTCAGGCCCTAGTTGTTTGAAGGTCAGATAACTCCATCCAAAGGATAAATCTCTATCCGGTGGATAACACTATACCTTTTGCCATCACTTATCTGCCGGATAGCAATTTATTGGTTGGATAGCATTATCTACCCTTTATAAAACTGGGCCCAAATCCATTCAAGGCAGCACAAGAAGGGTGTACTGAAGACAAAAAAAGATAATTTCTGAAGAAAATTAGCACGGGACAATAGGATGAGGCTGAGTCCTCCTCATGTCAAACACTATTTCTTGAAATGGTAGTAAGTACCACAAATGGCCTCATGAATTACATAAATTTCTAAGCTCAACCTGTGGTGCAACAAACCTTGTGATGTTCACCAGAGAGATTGTCTAAAGCATTTCCACATATCCCTCGTAAATACTTTATAGCACAGTTTATCACATCTTCATCAATCTTACATAGTTTAAAAAATGGATAAATTAAGGATCAAGCATATGGTAATACAACTTTAAGCAAATTGAAAATTTCCTGTTGATGCAGCCAGCTTAGACACATGAACTAACAGCTTAAAACTGTACATATAATTTCTATTGTTGTATATTTTTATGAAGTTCCTAGTTGTTTGCTAAGCACACTTAAAAATTTCAGATCAATAATGTTAATTCAAGCAAATTGTAGCACATTTTTCAGATGTTCTTGTGGCCAAAGCTGCACCCCTAATTTATTACAAAAATATTGGGAAAAAATGTGTGGCTTAATCAGCTGCATTCATGGTGTAACATTTTAGAAAGAAAAGAAAGCAACATGCTTGTTTTGGAACTTCCCTACAGGGAAAACATGTTTCCTAATAAGAAAAAAATTACAAAATACAATTTACAAAGTTGCTTGGATTACTCAAAGGATACATCAACCATTGTGACAAACTCAGGGGAGCATTGCAGGAGTTCATTTAGAATTCCACCATCCCCTCCCCCAAGAATAAGAATGGTTTTGTCCTTAAAGACTTCTCTGCCACTTCCTGTTATTGTCTTAGTATAGATGAAGTCACTTTCAGCAAGATCTGTGCAAAGAAGCTAGTATTATTAATGGTCATCACAATTCTGTGTACAATGTAAGAGCAAGTTGAGTATTTTCTTCTGTCAATAATGTTTCCCTGTTTTATGTTGTTTTCATCTGATGACAATCTATGTGTGCCTAGAGAGTTGTCAGATCATCCCTTGAAATAATGATTATGTATGATTACAAAGAGAGCTGCAACCAAAGCTTTAAAGCCTTAGTTTGCAGGTCTAAAATACTTACTTATGTCATCATCTAGAATAAGTATATTCCCAAACTGCTGGGAGTGAAGAATTTTGATGTTTTGGTAGGGAGAATTGGTTTCAAATTCTAATCTAAATCAAAGAGGAAAGAAACACATTAGAAACTAAAAAAAAAACAATTTCTTAACAATCAGTTTGAGAAGGCTGGTATCCATAAAGGCCCAGTATCAAAATAAAAATAATAATATTTTGAAACTAAAATTACATTTTAAAAATCTAATTTATATCATTAACTAGAAAAAAATCTCTTAAAATTAGAACACCATAGGAAACTCTTTTACAAGCAGCGTGCTCTGCCTTTTTTTTCCCTTCTCCATATATTTTTAATGCTTTTCCCACTTTTCATTGAATCATAATGCAGGGTGTAGCTGTATAATCAATTTGTGGAAGATGTAGTCAAAAGTGATATACTCCACATTACAAATTCCAGCCACCATCCCTAACTGAGCACTGTAATTAGGTTTTTGTACCTGTCAAAGTCATACTGGATCAGAAGATCATCTACAGTTGGATAATAGGTGTTCACTTTAGCTCCTCGATTTATCGGTGGCAAATGCAGTGACTTCTCAGCTGAGAGAACTTTGCAGATCTCCTTTTCTATACTTTTTAAAGTCTGAAGTTCCAAATAAAAGAGAATATTCATGTTAGTCTCCAACTTGGAAGATCATGAACACCTGAGATGTTTAAAGAATGTTTATCATGTTGACCAATATAGAAGGCACTCATAATTTCCAAAGACTAAACTACATGTACATGCAAGTGGCATTGAATTTCCTATACCCCTAAACAGTAGTGAGCATATTTGGTATACTTCACAAAAGTCAGTTCATCTAACATCACATTTTGTGCCAAAAATTGTCCTTCTTGTCAGGGAAAGAATGTGGCATTAAACATCATCACCTAAGGAATCTTTACAAGATTTCTTCCAGAAAAGGGAAAAAAAGGATTACCTTTGTAAGTACAGTTCTACTAGAGATGGGAGTTTATTCAACCCTTATTCCTAAGAGTGACTGACTTCTAATTTCTCCTTACATGATCACCCTTACATTATAACCCTTGAACCAAACACTAAGATCACAAGAATAAAGGAAATGATCACCAAATTGTAAAGAAGCTCTTGATTGTTAGCCAAATTCTCCTTGTAAGCACCATGGGAAATGTATAGAGAACAGTACAGAGAAATTATAAATATTGGTGTTAGGGTGTGAAGGTTTGAAGCAACCCAGTAACACAGTGACTTAGTGGGTCAAGACTTACTTAGTTGAAAAATATTCATTTATTCTTAGTTGAAGATTGAATAGATCATGTGATAAAATCTTACATCCTTAGACAATATTTCTTCTTTCCCACATTGCATTACATCCAAGGTTATCAAACCAGTGGAGAAACTTCGCAGAATCCAATGTCTATAGAAAATAAAAATATTGGGAAAATATAAGTTTAATGTAATATATGAAAATCAGAAAACCCAAAAAACTAGACTGAAATATTAATGGTATGTTTTGTGTTCCAAAAAACAAGCCCACTAAGTAAATAAATAATATTAATAACATTTTAAACAATGAGTGACATTTATAACAGATGGTTAAGTCAGTTAAGTTCACATGATGGTCCTTCCTAACCTGGTCTAAAAATTAAGTAAAATAAACTGTTAATAAATACAAGTTTATGAGAAAAGAAAGAGGAAATTTAAGTCAATGTCAAAATGTTTAGTAGTAGCGATTTTCAGTATCATAGTTCTTTGGATACCTCATAAAAACCTCTTCAGCGAAGAGATATCTCCTAGGGACTGGAAGCACTGGAATGGAACGTTCTGAAATTTTCCTGCTCTTAGAAGTGATAAGATCATAGTTCCATTTTGAGGCTTTTTAAAGTGTCCATTACTACCCTTGACATTGATAGCATATAAAAGGAAAAATATTCCAGTCAATGAACATTAGAGATTTTGCAAAAGATATCTTCAATATAGAAAGCCAACCTAATTTGGCGAATAACATTCAATTTAATGCACGAGTTGTCCTTTAAATTTCGTAAGCTTGAATAACACTCTAGGGCATGGTTGATTAGGCACGTTTTGGCTTTAGTCAGAATGATTCGTTTTTGTCACTCACTTTTAGACATAGAGGGACTTTATTTAATAACTTTAACTATTGCACTTAGGTATCCTCCTACTATGATTTTTACCTATTCCCCCTCTCCCCACGGCCCCCTTCCACCAATTTTGCAAAGTATTTGTTCATCGCGCGACCAACCAAGACATTTAGGATCACACACACCAAGCCCATGCGACCGATTCTTTAGTTACAGTGATTAAAACTCCACGAAGAGGAATCTATGCCAAGGGTAAGCTTCATAACCTGGCATTTTGCAGTTTAACCCAACTTCCTGAAAGTTTATATAGTTAACTTTCCTTACCCCCCATTTTCTCCAACGAAGATAAACAAACAGCTCTTGCCATCTTCCAGTTCAGTTGATATAACAGGACCACTGGCATATTTTCTTAAAATTTCGAACAGTCGGCCCCTTAGGACATCGTCTTTTAGGTCAGCATCGGGCGATTGAAAGTCAAAAATACTATGTTTCGCCATACTCAGCAGCGTGCAAAAATCCGATCTTTTTCGGCACGAGCACTAAGTCTTGCGATCTGATTCGAGTAGCTGATCGCGGTATTAGCGCGGTTTGTCCTGGAACGAGGCTCGAAACCTCGTTCAAAACGTGTTTTAGTTGTGTCGTGGGTAGCGTGGAAGGTTTGGGCATGAATTACTGCTATTTTGTCGAAAATGCCCGACGTTTTGAGCTGTAAGGAAGAAAATGAGACGCGTAGAAAACGAAAAGATTCTAAAACGACCGGGAAATGTAACATTGCCGCAGAAAACGGTGAACTTTTGAATGGACTTTCGGCAGCACCCGACGAAAAACCGCCGGTGACGGCTACGAGAGACGAATTTGGCTCACAACTGAAAATAATCCAGATAAATGATCAAGTTCGAGAGCTACAGACAATTTTGAGAGACAAGTAGGTTCTTATTTTCTTGGTTAAATCTGCCAACAGGATCGATGCAAATCTATCTTCGACGTCTAAAAATTAGTTAAACTTAAATGAATTCACGAGTGATTGCATGGCCATTACGAGATGCTTTCAAGCTATCATTAAATTCACAGCTGAGTCAAGTTCAAGATCGAGAGTTGAATTAAGGTGCCTTTCCAGATGACCCTTTTATTGAGGAGCTGGCTAGATGTGTGTGTGTGTGTGTGTGTGTGTGTGTGTGCCTTTTTTTTACCTGTCTCTCTTTCATTGAATACATAAAATCACGTCATACTTCATTGACCTTGGGCGCATTGGGTTGGTAGGGATAGAGGCTACGTTTTCGATGTGATATGCTCCACATAGAAAAAGGAGGAAACTTCTTATTTTTCCATTACTACAAAGATTATCCTCTTGTGCTCCAATTTGCTTATTTCTAAATTTGTATTTTTGGCTCAGCATAACATTAACTTTTGACTAACCAGTGGTCTACCTTCTGACATCCCCCATTTTCAATACGTTTAACTGAAAGGTGATGTTTGCAAATCCTCATTGCTTACTACCTTTTGTCTTTGTAGAGAAACAGAGAGAGGAGACTTTGTCTTTTATGCTGATCGCCTTGTGAGTGAATTAACACACTGCGTCAATGTAAGACTTAGCCTGGTTTTCATCTTTCAGTAGTTAATAGTTAAAACTGATTTTTATTCTTACCCAGATAAGACTGGTGGTAGAGGAAGGTCTGAACCAGCTTCCATATGAAACCTGCACAGTGAAGACACCCACTGGTAAGATCTTTTTTTCTTCTTTGGAAGTGTCAATAATTTAAAGATTTAGACATTTGGACTATTTTTTCATATCTATAGCTTGAAATTCAAATTATAATAGACTGAACTTATAGCAACAAAGGTCCTCTACAATTCCCTTAACTTTATTCTTTTATCTCCACAGGAGCCTCATATGAAGGGTTAGCTTTTCAGAGAGGAAACTGTGGTGTCAGCATTATGCGAAGTGGTTAGTGTGAAATTAGGAAAAAATTATAAACAACAATGTATCATTTATTTGTTCAGCAAATAAATAGACACAAACTGACTGAAATTTTTGTATGCTCAGGGTTTTTACAGCTATGTTTTATAAATTAGTTTTTTCTTGTTATGTCCATGTATGACTTGTACAGTGTATTATCGCATCGCTTGCATTGCTTGTGGGCAATAAGAGGGGAATCTTGTGTTCTGATTGGCTACCTAAGAGGGCAAGATAGACCCATCATGCCTGCTCAGGATTGCCCACTTTGATCCCGCACAAGCAAACAATTGCAGTGTTGGGGATGAAGTTGCAAAAAGTGGTAGAAAACAGTCAAAACAAAGAAAATGTTGATGACTCTGGAGGGTTTATTGTGTTCCAAACACACTAATGCAGTTGGCTTTCTTTCCTGCTCTTGAAATAAAAGTATCATTCTTGATTCTTGATAAAGTGAAATCTTTTTGCTAAATACTAAATTCTTTTTGACCAAGCTTGTTCAGTCAAGATGGCTGCATGTTAGCCTTGTTCCTTTTCTGACTCAACTTCCTCATGGTCTATAAAAATGCAAATAAAGAACTTAGCTAATATCTGGCCAATTTGACCTCACACTTGGTCAATAACACATACATATTGTGATTTAACCAAATTGAGTTACTTGTACAAAATTGTTTGTTCTCTTTCTGTCTTTCATTCAAGTAAAGGTATTGCAGTTATATCAGGCTATTCATTGTTTACTTTGCATACAACTGAGAAATATGGAAAGACCTCATCCATGAAATACTTTTTCCTTATTACTATAACTATATTATTATTCCTTTCCCAAGAAAAGATAATGCTCTTCATGTTTAAATGAAAAGTAGCCCAGGCCATGAAATTTAACCAGATTATTTCTTCATGGTAGGCAGAGGATTTTTCAATCTCTAGTTCCTTGAATTAGAAAAACATCCTGAATAACATGATTAAGTTTCCATTTACTCATCAAAAAGATTACAACTGAAGAATATCTGAATGAGTGTTGCATTTAGTTCTTTTAATCGAATAACTAATATTGTGTCCATGAAGAAGTAAAATTTTTTTTTTTTGGAATCAAACAAATTTCAATCCAAGGCTTTCCTGAAGTACCCCTGCTTGTTGTCTTGTTATCTTTATATTCTATGAATTTTACTCACCAACTTAAGATTAGCTTTTGATTTTTAGACAAATTCTCCTTCTCAACACCTTAGGAAATGTATAGAGAACAGTACGGAGAATAAGCATAGTCATCTCATGTTAGGGTATGAAAGGTTAAAAAGACGCTATTATTAATAGTACCAGCTGTAAAGCCTATATAGAATGCTTACATTATAGATTTATCCATGGATCTCTTTTTGTCAAACTTTTTTCCATAGGTGAAGCAATGGAGAAAGGATTACGTGATTGTTGCAGATCAATAAGAATAGGAAAGATTTTGATTAAATTCAATGAAGAATCCAAGACACCTATGGTAATGCAGTTGATTAGACCTAGAGCACAGTTTGTCATAGTTAAATTAATTTGGTTTGATGTCACCCGGTTAGTTAATCTTTGTTAAAGATTAAATTATTGGTACCTTGTAGTTCTTTAACTAGATAAAGCAAAAAACCATTAAAACAAGTTTTGAAAGTTACCATAATGGTAATGGTAAAGTTAAAGAATCCAATCCTACTGACACGTTGACCAACTGTCAGCCGACACAGTGGCCACTGTTTATCTGTCTAACATACTAGATGTGTCAGTGGTGTATTGGTGGTGTGTCGGTGACTTTGTTTGGGCCTTATTTATGTAAAGCAATGCTAACCCTTCCTTTTCCACACTTATCTGTAATGTCTTCTTTGGAAAACTTTCACTGACAACATGAAAATGAATAATTATTATGTTGGACATTGACTTTTTCAAACTTGGTGGATCCCAAAGGAGCCTTTTTTTTCGGAGATGAAGCCCTCTACGAATATAAGGCATCATCCAGTGCCAGTGGCAACAGCTTCTTCATGAGGCAAAGTCTTTTAATGACCAGAAGGAGTCCACCCAGCTGCTTCTGACATTCCTATGTGATGGTTTTTACAGTTAGTACAAATGGCTTTTTAGTTTGGCTCAGTTTCTGGAGACTTTGGCTGTTCTGAGGCTCTCACCACTACATGAGCTGCACATAGCTAAACAGTGCATTCTATTGTGACCAGCTTACCAACATGTAACATGCTAACTCCCAACCCTTAAAAAAAAACACTAGGAGAAGACCTAGGTATTAGTGTTTCATTCTCAAAATGGCAGTGATTTAGATTTCTTTTCTTATGAGGGTGGTCTTATGCATTCAATCTTACCAACATGTAGGTAGTGTGTTGGCCAATGCAGTGGTAGTGTGTTGGCTGACATGTTGGTAGTGTGTCAGCCAATGCATTGGCAGTTTGTTGGCCAATGCATTGGTAGTTTGTTGGCCAATGCTGGTAGTGTGTTGGTAGTGTGTCGGCCGACACTTCAGATTCTTTACCTTTATCATGATAATGACTATGAATTTGTTTTCCACTTCTACAAAATTGCTATTTTATGCAATATCAAGTCTCATTGCATTTACTGGTATTAACTTAAAGTTGACCCTTTAACTCCCATGAGTGACTGAGGGGGAATTTCTCCTTTTAATATTGAGCAGACAAATAATGAGAATGAAGAAAAATATCCATGAGATGGTCATAAGTTGATCCAATACCAGATTCTCAGAACTAACATCATATAGCAGACGGTAAGAATTAAATGAGATCTTGGGAATAAAAGGGATAATTCACATTTATTTTGCATCCTCTTTATACAAGGTTTATTATGCAAAGTTCCCTCCTGGTATTGATCAAAGAAAAGTTCTTCTTATGTATCCTCTCCTAAGTGAGTACACAAGTTTCATTCTTCTTTAATTATTACAAAGAAAATACTACATGGGCTTGCACAGAGAAGGAATTTCTCTTCAAGTGTTCAACTCAATAGCTCTCAAGTGAGGGCATTACACTAGTGAGAAATTCAGTTGATCACTCAAAGAGAAATTCCACATCTACAAACCATTTATTACTTTGTTTATCATACAAACACCATAAGCCTTCACTGACAAGGAAAGTAGACTTAATTCATTAATCAACCAGACAGAGGCGCATGAAAGGCAAGCAACTTGTCAGCAGCTAATTGGCAAATAATTATTGTAACTTTCCTCATGTACTGTTACAGCTTTTCTCAGGGCCAGAAATCCTTGAAAAGACTGGCAGTTTAGTATGCATTTTTATATTTGCTTAATCATTGTTTGATTCTTTTGTTACACAAGTCACAAACATTCAGTCAGTTCTTGCCAAATGAGAAGGTTCCACTAATAAGCTGTAATATCTTTTATGACAGTGTAGAATTTCACAGTTGAAATGTAGTTTTCACTCCGTTGTGAAATTGAATATTAATTGGTTTGTGTTCATCTAGAGCAATTCTTTTTTCAACTGAACTTAGATAAAGGAGAGACATTGTTTCATGACAGAAATTTATGAGAAGGGGTGATGATAGTCCTTTGATCTTTTTCAGCAGATTCAGGAGCTACTGTAATAACAGCCATCAAGGTTCTTCTTGATCATGGTGTTAAACAGGAAAACATTCTTCTTTTAAATGTATTTGCCACCCCAAAAGGTGAGTATGTTTGATGAATGATTGGCTTCAATGAATTTAGATTCCAATCTAAGGTGCTGCTCATCTATCAGCCTTAGACATCTTTCACAGTGCTTTGAAAAGAAGCAGATTAGATGGCAGATATTTTAACTCAAAAGAGTACAAGAGTTTTAACTAATATATGAATTAATTAATTTCTGTTTGACCTTTCCTCTACATGAAATCTAGTACCCATAGTTTTTCCTTGGACATGATCTGGACCAACAGACATTAATTAAAATTACCCTTTAAAAGAGTCTTGATATGCCATAGTGTATGATGCAGTTTGATCGACAAAATTCTCTAAATGCAATGAACAATGGAACTTCTCTTATTGTTTTACACCATCCAGATTTTTTACGGGTATGATTTTTTTCTGTAGGTGTGAAGCAGCTACTGAAAAACTTTCCATCTGTTACCATTCTGACGTCAGAGGTGCACTCAGACTGCCCCTCATATTTTGGACAGAGATATTTTGGAACAGATTAATGTTGCAGTAGACCTAGAAATGCACTTTCCTTGAAGCTCTAGTCTCCTCTTTGCCATTGATTCCACAACAGTTGTTTGTGAATCATAAATTTTTCTTTTATTTTGGTTTTAAGGACTCATCCTAAATGTACATGTATGTGTAGTGGATGAAAGCAAAATGAGTACTGCAGAAAGAAGCAGTTCTATAGACTGTTGACCCCGTAAATCCCTAAATTGGTTTTGATTAATTTGTATTTAAACATGTATTTACAAGTATGGAAACTCTCAACCAAAAGCAACTAAATCTACCTATTGAACTCAAACATTAAAAATTCTATTTTCATATTACATAAACTACATTATACTCCTGCTCTATTCTGCAGGCTCGATGACAGAAAGAATACTAGGCTTGAGAGTGTCAGAAATAGAAATTGACCCTCTGGTATGTACTCTGTGGGCAGTATTTCCCAAACTTTAAGGAACAAACTTTAAGTAAAATTAACCCCTTGACCCCAAAGAGCGACTGGCATCTTATTTTTCCTTACACTGTCACCTTTGAGTCACATGTTAGTGTCACAAAAAAATTTAATAAAGAAAATGATCATTAACTAAAGAACCTCCTGATTAAAGAAATTCTCCATGTCAACACCATAGAAAATATGTGGAGAACAGTAAGCATACTGATGTCAGAGTGAACAGGGTTTATTCTATCTGCTTCACATTCTCACTTTAGGAGTTAGTGATATCAAATCATCTATGAATTACAGTAGGTGATCAGAGGTGGCTAATATTCTTACTAATGAAAACTAGTTTCACTATATTTTCAAACCCTTTCCCCAAGTAATAGCCCTATGGTCTCCTTGTAAATTTTTTTTAAATAATTGTCAGAATACTTCTGCAGTTACATTGCATGTGACTAATTGAGACAATTTTCTCGTGATAGGCTTGTTTACTTTTTGAATGGTCTTTTCTTAGTCTTGTCATTTTTTTCCATTTAGTTGGGATCGAAATATATTTAAGGACCTATTGCACCTGAAATGATTAAAACATATTGCAGTTATGTTGGTGTCTTAACCACACTTGTGAACACTAGGGTGAACTGACTGGGCAATTGATTTTTTCTTATTCCCAAAAATTTTCTTAATTTTTAATGGTAGCCATTTTAAAGTGAGTATAAAAATTTATAGTAATTTTTATTCATTCCACATGAAGACAAATTAGAAATGGTTGCTTTTGATCCATAAAATTTGACAATAAAATACAAATCATTTAGTTACTTGAGTTGACTCATAAAGTACAATCAATTGATTTTAAGCTAAGAATGAACACTTTTTGCCTTAACGCTAGCCTCATTTGTGTCCATTCAAACACTTCTACATTGTTTGATTTGCAACATTTTATACCAGTTAATTACTTTTGTTTATTACTTTTTTTTTGTGTTTTTCATTTGCTTGTCTTGATCTCCTTTGACTAGTTTATTGCTTTCATTATCCAGACTAAAAAACATCAACAACACATGCACACTCAACTAGAGGCATATAAAGTGCCTTTTGATGTAATTGATGTTGCACAAGATTCTGACGCTTTGATTCACACCAGTAACTTTTCTCTCCCACATTCCCCTTATTTAAAGGAGAAGTGACAATTAAGTAAAATCCGATGAGGGTCAACATGAAAGTTGAAAGAAAAGTGTAACACTGAACAGGTTAACAAGCTACTAATATTAAACTTTATATCTTTAATTTATATGTATGTGGATTTGTGCAATCTTTAATTTATGTTTATGTGGATTTGTGCAATCATCTGCGAATGATTGCTTATGATGACTCTTCAAAAAATGAGTATCACAATTTTACATATTGCAAAACGAAATTTATTTAGCTATAAAATAACAATTATAAAACTATATTATGACAAAGTTGATCAATTCTCTGAGTATCAAAACTGATTCAGTAATGAATTTATTAAACCTTTTTGTAATGAGGACAGAGCCCACTGTGACCATCAGATCATAGTTACCTAGAAGACTGCAACCTGGATCAATTAAAATCAAAATTCAAAGGATGACAGACTGCAGTCTAACAAAACAATTATCCCAACTTTAAGTGTACAATGTAAGACGTTGTACTTCTACTAAATTTGCTGACATCATACACGGGTCACTGGCATTTACACTACAATTACATTAAAAGAGTACTGGTGGTGTTACAATTAGAAAAACCCTAAATTTTAAGAATAAATGTTAACCCGTAAACTCCCAAGATCTCAGTAATAGTACTCCTCACTGTCTGCCAAATGATTCTCATTATGTTAGTTTGGAGAATTTGGTATTTTTCTTTATTCTCATCACCTGTCTGCATGATATTGTATAGGTATAGTAAGGAGAAATTCTGTCTTGGTCACTCATGGGAGTTAAATGGTTAACAGCCCTTGTGCATGTTTGCATCAGAGTGACCAACAACCCCTCTCCAAGCCTTACTTCAAAGTGCAGACTGGGGAAATGTAACATCTAACAGTAAGTTTTCTCAGACCACTGAGACCAAATGAATAATTACATGAAAATGAAATAATGGAGCAAGGCAAAGAAAAAACTCAGTGCCATCAAGACTTCACATGAACTTTCAGCAGAGGGCTTAATCAAATACATGGCCCATAAAAGTATCCACTAAACAAACTTGAAGGGACTTCACCACAGAGTCAAATAGTGCAGGCTCTAGAAGTTTCTAAGTCAAACATAAATATCTACAACTGATATGTAAATCTTCAGAGTGTACTCTTCAGTGTATAAAAGAAGTAAAGTTAGACTGTGGGTGGAGCCTTCAATCATAGTGAAAATTATTGACCCCTTCCCAACACTAAACATGAGTTAACAAGCCAAGACCAATAGCAGGAAACAAAATTAGACTTTTGAACTGAACCTAAAATAAAAAAAGTTGAATGCGGTGACTGACGCATTGGTATCAGAGTCGGATAGTATGAGCTGAGCTGGCCAATTTAACAAAGATGAATTTTACCAGAATGTTTCCAAATTGGACCATTAAACTTCAAATGCAGAACTTGAACTTAGCAATTCCCTGACAATCAGCCAGCCTAGTTTTAGCCAGAAACCCAGTTACATAGATAGGGAGGCATCCTGGATTACTAAGCTCACAAGTTTATCATATAGTAATAATCACTTTTAAACCAACCACAACGAACCCTGTCATGCCAACATCATGGGAATCTTAAACTGTAACATTTCCTACATGCAAAGTATGGTACATCTACTCTTTCAGAAAATGAGAGCAATAAAAATGGTAGTTTTCCTTAACAAGGTATTTAAAAGAGATACAAGTCCTTTGTCACAGTTGTCTGATGAAAAAATATATCTGGACATTAATTATCTGAGCCATGTGAATACTACTTGTCCTCCTTTTCAACCTTTTTTCGACCATACTGTAAAATTTTTATTTCAGTTTCAGGAATTCTCCTAGATTTTCTCCTTCAATGGCAGCTTCAAATTCTTCAAAGCCCTGGATGAAAAAGACAAAGGTTATCATTAGAATTTAGAGGTTGAAGTTACAAATTTAAGGTAAGCTTACTTTAACAAATTGGCTGTTTTCTGGTCTTTTGAGGATTTTGTAAAAAAAGATTTTTGAAATACTACCGAATAATTACCAGATTTTATCCATTCTTAATCAGACTTTTGTTCATTAAGTTTTGCCATTTTATAGAAGACTAGTTTAATTGTAATGATCCCCATGCTGTTTTAAATTGGTGAAGGGATTTCAAAGTTCCTAGAGCACATACGAATCCTGGCAAATCACCCCTCCCCTGCCTCCCCCCCTTCTCCCCTTCTTAGTACCATGGAATGGTACTAACCATCTAAATACCGAACATTATATAGATCTCTCTTGATATATAGGGCAACTTTCAATTGAGTGTAAATCAACCCTTTCTCTTCCAAGTTCTCAGTTACTACGTAATTCTCCTTACCACCTGCGATATTTGTAATTATTCTCATCACTTGTCTGCTTGATATGATATTAATATTGTAAGGAGAAATTCTGTCTTGGTCACTTATGGGAGTAATCAAGGGGTTTTATAGTAATCTGGCTGGGGTTGCATTTGTTTTGCTTCACTTTGCTCACTGATTTGTCTTGAAAACTCTCACCCTGCACTTTGGGTTTATCCTGATTTCCCCTGTGATTATTTACTCAGGATTAGTTTTGTTTCTGTAACAATAATTCAACCCTTGGACCCCTAAGAGTAATTAGTGTCCAATTTCTCCTTAAAATATTACCCCCAAATCATACATTTAGGTAATGAGAATAGAGAAAATGGTCACCAACTAAAGAAGCTCTTAATTGTTAAACAAATTCTCTTTGACAGCACCTTAGGAAAGTATAGGGAATTCTATGTAGATAATGCATAATGAAGTTAGAGTGTTAAGGGTTAAAATTCATTCAACTTACCCCACAGTACTCATCACCATTGGCAATCTGAGGAGCTAGAGCTTCTTCATCTCCCACAAGTTCCCTCATTCTATCCAAAGCATCAGAATCTTGTGCAACATCAATTACATCAAAAGGCACTTTATGTGCCTCTAGTTGAGTGCGCATGTGTTGTTGACGTTTTTTAGTCTGGATAACAAAAGCAATAAACTAATCAAAGGAGATCACGACAAGCAAAGAAAAAATGCAAAGAAATAAATAAATAAAATTAATTAACTGTTATAAAAAATGTTCTTTTGAAAATCTGTTATATATACAATTTTATAAGTCAACATAAACCTTGATCTAACATTTGAGTTTCAGTTCAGGTATGCTATAATTCTAAACCCTTTAACCCCTAGGAGTGACTGCCTCCTACTTTCTCCTTGTAACCCTTAAATCAAAAATATATGTCATGAGAATGAAGGAGATGATCGCCAATTTGAAGAAGGTCTCGACTGTCAAACAAATTCTCCTTGTCAGTACCATAAGAAATGTAAAGAGAACTGTATGGAGAATATGCATTCTGATATTAGGTGTAAAGGGTTAATGGAAAATCCCAAAAGTCAAAGTCACTACTTGAAACTTTCCAAAGGAAAACTAACTTCGTGAAAGATGAGTTTCAATTTTGATGTTGGCAAGACATAAATTCTCCATCATTTATAACTTTGCTGCAACTGTACTTGAAGGCCAAGAGATCCCTCCAGTGTTACCTTATTTAGCAGAATGATCAATATTGTTCTTACATCTTCACAGAAGTTTGACCACCAATCACTTAACACTTTTCAAACAATTTAGGATTTTTAAAACCTTATGAAACCCATCATTAATGCTGGATTTAAATAACACTTCATTCATCCACTAATTTTTGAATGTTCTATTTTTAACAAATTTCTTCAAGCTGGTCTTACCGCAAATTTTGCAATAGCATGACAGACTACAACAAAATCCCGACAGTAAAGGTCTTGTACCCTTGTCTTTAATATATGTAATCTGTGTAGTTTTTTGTTTTTTTTTATTTCTTGTAGACAATGTAACATTTAAGATGCCAGAAATTTTACAAACTTTAGTTTGTCCTTCTAATGTGAAAAACGTCAAACTTGTTTATGTGGTAGTGTCAACATTATGTTTTGATCTGAAAATGAAATTCTTTAACTCTTTCTCTAGCAGTATTGGAAAACAATTTCCAATTGCCAAAAGAAATAGCCATTCAATATCACCTTGTCTCAAATTTCAAAACCATTGGAATGCTCAATCCATATTTGACTTATACCTTAATCAATGGTATTGAGCTTATTTCTAAGTACTTAAGTGAATTAACTTAATCGGCACATCTGAAATATGTGCTACATGTAGTCATCAGAAGCTCATTTAAATCACGAAATAGTTTAGTGAAATTTACATAAATACACAAACACAATGTGATATGTTAAAAGAAAGCTCTGAGTATTTTGACGTTCTGAATGATCCTGCCTGGTTGTATAACTGTACAAACATGCTGTACAAGTCTTACAACCACACAGACCGGATCGCTGAGAAAATAAACTATAACATATTTTTCTAGCTACACATAGGTTTCCGTTTCAAAGAAAAATGAATAAGAAGCTACTAAGCCCTCATTTTCGCGAAAAGAATCCAGTGTAATCATTATTAGAAATTTTACAGTCATGATCGTGTCTCTTTTAAAGCAGGATCGTTCCTTGAAGCACAAATGAATTATTCATTTTAAGCATTGTGAATTGATCTTGAAAATTCTTGTCTTAAACTTTAGCATTTTATGACACCTGAAAACTGGCATCGTTTGTTTAAATCGTCTCATACTCACCTCCTTGTTTCCTGAGATATCGGAGACGAATAAGGTAACTTTTCCACTCATAATTCAAGCGAAAGTGCTCTTCAGATTGAGTGAAATGAAAGAGAAGCGTAACCCTAGCCTCAACTAACAGACTACACCCCCTGCAGCTCCTGGCAGGCGTACTGCTTGGACGGGGAAAACTGGTTACAACAGTCACCGTTTCATCACCTCATTAAGCACATCGTGCGTGATGTGATCCTCTCAGAAAGAAGACCATATTACTAGACCATATTAAGATCTGAATTGATAAGTAATAAGCGAATAGCCTTCGCTGGCAAAGGACTTGTGGTTGCAGGTAGATTTGTGACCTGTCAAGGCGGAAACTATTGTGTGACAAAGGGTTGATTTGCATCGAGACAAGATCTTGAATTGCAAAGTGTTTCCTCGAGCCCGAGTGAGCAGTTGAGGTTGTAGCGCCTTATTCGAGGAAGAATTTGACATATTGTACCGACGCTTTTCACCGAAGATGGCAGACAAGATTAAATTTTACTTCTCTTCTGTCTCTAGTAATTTAGAGGTGAGTTTGGCGAGAAATTCTCCTACCTTTTATTCGAAACTTTAGCTTTAACCATGTAGGTGTGGTTTGCCTGTAGAGTGATAAATTGACGACTCATCTGCAACGACAGATTCTTTCTTTCGTTCAGGTTACCTGTAGTTAATATTTTATCTCGAAGCAAAAAACTAACCGTAAGCTGTATTTGTATACAACGATTGTATTTCCCGGTGGTTAGAAAGTTATAAGTGATATGGAGGGTGCAAATTAAAATTGTCTCCAACTAGAATCTATGAAAGTGAATTTAAATGTATTTTCTCCTGAGTGCACCTTTATAGATTATAGGTACTCAGTAACGTGTCTCGACGTGACGTTAATTGGTCTGTTTGATAAGAATGGCCTCAGGTGAACGAGAATAACTGGAGCGTTTAATAACTAAGGACGCAAGGCGAGGACCTTCGGTCCGCATAGTCAGTATATTTTATGCATCATACATACGATTAATCAACATCCTCCTTTGTATAATGGACAAATACTTCTTTTTCTATTTTGCTTCATGATAATCCATTTAAAATGTGTAAGATGCTAGACATGATTTAATAGCTCGTCCATGATTACAATGTTGTATGGGAAATATCTTTTGTGATTAAGATAGTGGTATTAGTTTTCAATTGATATCTACACTATATAGAAGCATGTTCAGGCACATAAGAACAACAACAACAACAGCATTCATATGAATTATTCACAATTTAATATGTTTTCGCTAGAAGTTGATTTTTCTAAGTAAGGTTTCAGGAAGATTATTCAAGACATGTAAATATTAGACCTCTGAGGATAACTAAATGTGATCAAGTTGACCATCCGTATTTTTTTCTCTATTTATATGTACTTGCCAAATGAACATTATTTAGAGATTTGATATCTTGTATTCACATACATAAACTTGCAATCTTTCAGACAGGGATGACTGTAGGATCTCATTGTTGGTCCCAAGATAAAAGTAAAAAGTGTTTAGTTGGAGATGAACTTTATTCGCTTGTCTCACAATGGATTCACCTTGGAAGTTGATTGCAACATTTCAACTTGCAATACTGCTAGTCTTCATCAGGCAGTGAAGTCAATTGTTTATGTGTCACCATTTGTAGCACATTGGTTTGCTGCTATTGGTGCATTTCGATCCTCATTATTATTCCGATACAGAATATACAGGCAATTAATGAGGACCTATGAGGGAACACCATCTAACAACTGGAATAATAATGAGGATTGAAATGCACCAATGGCAGCGAGCCAATGTGCTAAAAATAATGACACGTAAACTATCAACCTCATCACCCAATGAAAACTAGCAGTATTGCAGTCAAAACGTCACAATCAACATCCAAAGTGAGACAAATGAATAAAGTTCATCTCCTATCTAACACCACGATGAACAGTTAACACTTATTTTATTACAGTGTTCATCTGGTTATGAGAAGGGGAGACTGAAATGAGAATCAATTATGACATATTCTAAATAGCAATTTTGTCACGTAAGCAACAAAAGTTTCATGCAATTGGAAGCAAGTGATGTGAGAGTTATCGTGTGTGAGTCAGTGTGACCTTGAAATCTGGAATTTACAAATTTTGATCAAAGATTTTCCGAATTTTTTTTGCTGAAAATACTTCTTTCCTTGCCATAATCCATTCCTTGGATGTAAATAGAGGATTTTTATCAAAAATGCATTTGTGAATTTTCATTCAGGGGCACCCAGGGATTCTTGCATTTGTTTGGCTGTAGCATATTGCATTGTATGGGCATGTATTTAAGGCCTTTTGTTTCCACTACTATTAACTGATGCACATCTGTATGTACTTTTCTTAATGGATTTATTTCTTAGTTATATGGATTCAATATTGCCATGTACACATTAGGTCCATAACTGAGTACAGATGGTATTAAGGTGGGATAAATGTTGCCACTGAATAACACCTTACTAACTTTGAAGTCTGTACAATGTATGTGGCCAAACAGGCATTTGGTTAAATGTAATTTGTTGATTGCATAGTGTGATCATCCACTGGCAGGTGAAGATAAAGGTAAAAGCACCATTGTTGGTGGGGATTGGGATTTTTTAAACAGTCATCCACAGTCACTAACAGTGGTCCTTTTTTAAGATTTTCCTCATCTAGGTAACCACACTGCACAATCCACTGCTACTACCCTGGTCCCAGTAGTTCAAAAGATGGTTAGCTATAACCCAGGATTAAAATTTTAAATTTTCCTTGATTTCTCTTGAAATAGAGCATGTAAAGGGGCCTACATTTTGAGGGGATTTTACCTCAGGGTAAGACCAAACTGCAAAGCTACAAAAATAAATAAGAAATTGTTGGCTAACCTCTGGTTAGCTTAATCTTGCTTTGAACAACTTGGCTCTGGGTCCTAAATCCTCTTACATAATGTAGAACTTATTTGTTTTGTACATAAAAGAGAAGGTAGAAATGATGATGTCATATAAATTTAGTGTTACTAGAATTTCACATACTGTTCTTTTTTTTCTTTTTTTTTTTTTTCCAAATATCATTTATTCACATGACTTTCAAATAATATGGATTGTGGCTACAAAACTCTCTCTCTATTATATGTTGAATTTACTCTAGATGAAGAAACAACAACAAAAGATTGAAATGATCCTGGACAGCAAGAAAATTGATTATGAGAAAATAGATATCAGCAGCTCTGAGAAATTAAAGAATGAAATGAGAGAGATCATGGGTGATCCAAGAGGTCTGCCTCCACGATTGGCAAAAGGTGATCAATACCTTGGGGTAAGTTAAAGGATGATGTATTGCTGCTCATTGTTAACCTATCAACTCCCAAGATCTCATTAGTAATTCTCCTTACTGTATGCTTGAAGTTCATGTGATGTTGGTTTGGAGAATTTGGTGTTGGATCAATTTATAATTCCCTAATCAATATTTTTCCTTATTCTCATTGCTTGTCTGTGTGATATTGTGTTGATATTGTAAGAATAAATTCTGTCTTGGTCACTTATGGGAGTTAAAGGTTAAAGACGCATGTACTGATTCTGCAAATGCATTCACATGGTCAGTGTGGCACTTGTGATCTCATGATGAGTAGCACAATCACCATACCCACTTCTGTAACATGTATGGAAAATGTGAAAATTGCTAGTTTGGGACAAAATCACTTCTTTAGGTCTGTTTTAAATTCACATTTACTATTACAACTGATTTATTTCAAACTATTTTATTTTTGTCACATTTGATTCAAATTTGTATTTACCCATAATCCCTTGTGGGTGTGGCCTTTTTCACAAATAATCAATTTCGAGTTCACTGACACAGTAAAAAGTAGAAATAATAACATTTTGTATTACATGGAGGCTAGTATCTCCCTAGTGAGATCAACTGGCACTCTAAAAACTGACTTTCTGCCTCTTTTTACAACTTGAAGATCACATCACCATTTTTCTATTGGAAATTCAGCTCTCTTTTAGCGATTCTTTTCATTATATTTTAGATTCCTTAGCCTATTCTTTTCCTGCTTTTTCCTCCTCCACTCTTTGATCCTCGCAAGCTTTTCTTCCTTTTTGTTAACCATACCTCTTGTCAAGCGCACTTGAAGCGATATTTACGGATGGCTAAATCTCAGAAAAATTATTGAGCTTGAAGACTCCCGACATAGCGCTTTTGGTGGCATTTGTGGCGAGACTCCGTTCTCAATATGGCGTCAACATGGTAAAAAGCGTAGCGACTTGGTCAAAAGTGAATATTTTGGCCGTTTCTAAAGATATGGACCCGAAAACTTGGAAATGACAAGAGAAACTTATGAGCATTGAAGTGTAATCGATTTTGAAACCCGACTTTGCCGTGTTTGAAGTATAGTGGCGAAGGAGCAGGTAAGTTGATGAAAAATATTATTGCGTAATCAGGTTTTACAAAACCGTAGCGACTGTTTTACACTGATATTTCTCCGTTTATAGTCAATCCTTTAGACTGATTTTTCGCTATTTTAGAACACCAAGTATGAGCATTTGGTTAAAGTGTTTTTGTTCCCACAGGATTCCAGTTCAGTCATTCTGCGGACAACAACTTGGTGTACTTCCAAATTCTGAAACCCAGCGTTACACAAAGGATACTTAAGAATGATAAATCTTTTCTATGCGTTTTAATAAACTTGAAATGTCAAAGTTTTGCTCAAATGTAGTGTTTATTGTGTGTTATCATTAGGTGTAATTTGTTTGCTCAAACGAGCTTTCTTTCAGTGAAAAATGTATTTAAAAAATTTTACCACTGAGATTGTGTTACGCGTTACAACCAAAATTGGCTCGATTTCTCATCTTTCACGGGTATTTTCTCAAAGACAGCAATGTGGTTTTCTGATTTTTTGCTTTTACTATAATCAATAAGAACAACTTTACCTGTAAGCAAAGATTTGGCTTCAATGAAAATGTAAAACAGAAGAAATCATTGAAAGTTTGCAGTCAACCCCCTATGGGCATGGTGATTGTGCTACTCATCCATACATGTAAGTACACACTTAACATACAGGAATTTAGAGCCTGGAAATTACACTGAAATCTTTGAAGTCAATTGAAGCTTGTCATCCAGTCACAGTAGTCATTTTCTTATCCACTAGAACCATTTTCTCTGGAATAATTTCAAATGATTGGCAAAATTATCAAACTTGTGCTTTTGAATGCAAGTGCAGAATGACATAGAGTGAAGCGAAAAGTGTGATGTAGCTCTGTCAGCGATAAACTAAAACATACATTAATAAATTTCTAGAGGAGAGATTTAAGGCAAGTAATGTCAACAATTTTTATGCCCATCTTTGTAGGGTTTTGATGAGTTTGATGCTGCAGTGGAAAATGAGCAACTCATGGAATTTTTGAAACTAAAGTAAAGCTTATTGAACAGTCAGTTGTGTAGCTCAATGTCACAGATTAAGTTAATGTAAAATTTCTGGCCAAAGAAAAAATCATCCTTTTAAGTAACAAAAATTGGAATAATAAAACCAATGTTTAAATGTGAGGTGAAGTATGACTCTTTTTTAGTAGGTACAAGTTTTCCATTAAACTCTTGTTTAGCTACATGGAGTGTTGTTAGCTGGAAGCATACATGATGAAGAGGGTACAAAATTTTATTTGTTTTATCTCTAACAAACTGGGAAGTCCATCCCTACAAAATGGAACCACTGAAACTTGGCAATCAAATTTACTTATAATCGAAGCCTATTGTTCATGCATGAACATCACATCGTCCAACTTCAGAATCAGAAGTGACAATGCAATGATTTCAGTGCAAAAAGGTACTTTTACAAATTAGCATGTTTTTCCAGCTGGCTCTGTTCATTTACTCAGAAATGCTGCTGCTGTTGAAATCAATTATAGATCTATTAAATATACCCTGAGACAAAAGGTGTCTGGAGCAAAACCAAGCTAAGTTCACCAGCTTGTAGCTTAAAAATTGCTTGTTTATTTGAGTTTTTTTAATAACGATAAGTGTATAAGTAAGTGTTTAAAGAGAACAGTATTATTGTAATGAGTTTATTGATTAAAAATTATTTCCGAAGCAAGCCAATTACTTTTAACACAGTCTTTAACACCATTGTTTTGACATCCGTTTAACCTGTGCACAGTGAGAGAAACCCTCCCCTTTAACATATCTTTTCGTACGATTTTCATCGATTATAAACGAACGCTATCAATCCGGAGTTTTGAAACAAGAATTCGCGCCAGCGCAATAACAAAATGTAACAACACTACCAAGCGCATTTCCAGAGCCAGACTAACCGCGCCTTTATGCGGTATTTCAATACATGAAAAGACCCTGGGGACGAGTTTGGAATGCATGGTTACTTCGACAGTAGAAAACACGGGCTGCCATAGCCTTGTCGGGGATATAGTCAACTAATAGTTGCTCTTCAAGGTTCAGTGTTTGTGTTTTGGCCTTTGAAGGGTTGATCATATGGTGGATTCAAATTGTGCGTCATCGTTATCGTTGTGATCAAGTTTCTCGCGATCATTCGTGGATATTTCCTGTCTGCCTCTTTGATCTTCCTCTTCTTGAATGGTCGCCTTGCAAAACCAGAACGACAAGAAATAGAAAATAAAGGCGGTTCCTGAAAGACAGAACATGAAGACAAACTATAACATGACAGATAACAGCGAGAAACACTTTTTGTGAGAGATGTAAATTAGACTGCAACATCTCAAAAGTATTGCCATTATTAAATGTGCGGAAAAGTTTTGGTCTCTTAGACTACGACAACTAGTCTGCTTCTCTTATATGTCAGGCAGATATAATGGATATAACTTATCTTAAATGTAACTTAAGTGCGGCTTGGTCTGAAGGATCACCGTGAGCGCTCAGAGAGTCTCGCAAATTTAAGCAAATCTAACGTTCTTAAACACGAGAGGTCTATAACTGTCTAGACTTATCCGGTTTGCGTAGCATGAAGCGCTAAGGAGTGCCTCTCCTTAGGGAAGGGATGCTAATCAATCGCAGTTTTCCTCTCAACATTCCTGATGCTTTCCGTCGGTTTTCTCTCACAGTTCCCGTTAATTAGTCATACTCCTTTGTGGAGAGGGGTACCAAGAATATAACACAAAGACCCGGACGGGGTCCTTACCCAGAGGCTAGTACGCTAACCGTTAAGATAACGCGTCTTTAGACAGACATACGAAGCTAACCTGTGAAGCTTAAACCCGCGTATCCAAGCCTGTCAGTCAGCTTGTCAATCTCGTAAAATTGACAGTTGCCTCTACTTCCGCAGCTCTCTCCCCATTGAACACACGTTCCATCGAAAATAGCGCCGAAAAGAATCGGTCCCGGTAAGAATCCGAGACAGCGCTGGATTATAAACTGGAAACCGAGTGCGTATGCTCTCTGGTTGTAAGGGACACACCTAGAATGGAATAGTCCCATATTTAGGTCGAGTTTGCCGTACATTAGTTAAAACTGTCGAAACAACGAGGAGGTATCTTAATTTGTAAAGTTTCTGTAACAACCCTCGTTTTGACAGTCGTGTAAATATTGTCATCCGTATCCGATCAAGGTTTCGTCAGAATTGGTAGAGTACGTGGGAATTAATAATTTTGAATGATTATTTCTGGATAAATAAGTTGAAAGAAGAATTTTATGGTTATTAAGAACTTAAACCTGAAAGTGTGCTTCCATTCCTTAGTTAGTTAGTGATTACTTTGGTTTTTGGTTTTACGACAATCAATCGTAAAGTGAATGTTCCATGTGTTCTTAGGTGACTCACCTTAGCACAACTGTCTTGTTCGCTACAGCCGTGATAAATACTGAAAACAACACCACGATAAGGAAGACGACAAATGCAATGTAGGTCATACAGCCGGACGTCTTTCCACAGTAGCCCTTTACAGCTGAACCTACGCTTGAATTGCTTTGTGGTTGAATACAACTACAGTTTGTAAAAGTCTAAGGAATGAGAAAAGAAAAATTCAGTCATATGCCATGATATTATATTCACACTTAGACTTAAAACTTTGGTTCCGCAACATATACAACACCTTCACATCCTGGTCAGAATTTCAAAAGGCCCGCATACATCGATTATTTGGTGAAAACACTTTATTAAATCAAGGCTTTGGTTTTGGTTTACCTCGCTCTGTGATTGGTCGAGAGAACTCGCACCGCCATCTCAACGAATCAGATGCAAAAATAACACTAATCTACTCTTGGCTCTTGGTCACTCGCGTTTTCCTGTGTTTCCGGTAGATTGCTTAAATTTACTTCGGGTTCTTATTGGCTGATGATGTCAACTTGAGCTATAATTGGCATTTGCGAAAACTTTCCTGATGATCTAATACCTCCTCTCGCGGTAAAATTAATCGTCTCGCAAGAGTGTTGATAAGAAAAAAAACCTGAATCCTGGCTTCAGACTTTTTAGATTTTTGATCCCGTGGTCGTGGGAACTTCAGATTTTCTCTTTGTCCCTCGCTCGTGACAACTGAAAAACATATCTTTATTATCCGAAAGAAGAGTAAAAAATTCATCATCTTTCTTGATTCATGTACCTCATTCTTCATATTTTTACATCCAGCAAGACAGGGTGAGAAATACGCAAGGTTGTCTTCTCCACAAACAGGATTGATGGTAGCTAGTGAGCAGCTACAGTTCAGATTGCATGCCACCTGCACTCCATTCAATCCAGTAGCACTAAAATAAGATTCAGAAAATAAGAAAATATACAGACAGAATTTTAAATTTTTCTGACCATTATCGCCTAAAAACTTAAACCTCTATCCTCCGGTATAGCCCAAGCTGTGAGCTACAGACTGCAGCGTGGAAGGTCGTGGGTTCGAGCCCCAGACCTGACCAACAATTACATCTTAAAATGACTTAGGAGAATGTTCTGTCTTTGCTATGACATCTGCAAATGGTTAAACGTTCTAGTCTTCTTGGATAAGGACGAGATAATGTTGGCCTCGTCTCCTGCATCTTCTCAATCTCTGCATTGGTTAGCAGGGGAAGATTTAAGAACCCATTCAATTCTCGCGAAAAAGTAGGGTCGTAACTCCTGGTGTTGTAGTCTGGGATTGGTTTCAAAAATTCCAAAATTGGGGGGACCTGAAAAATTTCCTTTCAAAAAAGTTGTGATTAACCCTTTCAATGCAGTCTGGCTGAAGTCCCCCGCAAAGTATTGAAAAGCGCATTAAAACATACTCAAATGGGAAATGCGGTATTTAATTGCATCATTATCATTACCATCGTTATGTACATAACTTGTTCCTAAAGTAAATTTGCGGTTATCTAACATCCCCTCCGAGAGGAATAGTGATAGTTGTTTCTTCGTTCTGTAGGAACCGGAATAAACTGTGGCACAAAAGGGTCATTTGGTTGGTAAGACTCGTACCTTCTTTTTGATATTATCTAACCTGTTTTTATAAGGAGTTGTTATTCCTGCTACATCCGGTACACCACATCCAGGAATGAACCACGCAGAGCTTCCTATGACAGTAAACATTGAGGCGATAACTAAGAATCTTGCAGCCATTTTTAAAGACGTCTTCAGGTCAAATCGTCTGACGAGTACTCCACCCAAAAGCACACCACCTTAAAAAATAATAATAATAAACATAATAATTGTGTCATGTACGTCTGCGTATGCACGTATGCGTGGTCTAGGAGAAATTGGGACCTCGATTGGTTTTAATCTTGGACTAATTAATTGCGAGGATGGTGGGTGTTTTCCGAGCAGCTAAGGAAAACCGACACAAACTCGGATCGGATAATTTTTCGACGCTTAATCAGCTATTTACCGAATAGTCTGTGAAAAGTTTGACGTTATAGAGGATATTACATGGCCGCGCGGGGATATGAATTTTATCTTCGAGTGCTGAAAGTATCGCATTTTCGAGACAGCAAAATAATGCGATTAAAGTGGTCACCTATCGCAAAATACCTGTCACAAAAATGTTATGAAACTCGGATATAATTTGGCAGCTCATCGAGAAAGTCACCGGTAACTGGAATGTAGGTTGTGTCGCCCCATTGCCTTGTCGCCCCAGGTTATGTCGCCCCAACCGAAGTTTTTCTTTCGATCGATCGATCGATAAATCTTACAGCAGTGTCATGTTTATAAGTCGATCGTTCGCGTAAATCGATCGGAGAATCTTACAAACTTTTACTTGATAAGCGAAGTTACGCGTTGGGGCGACGCAACTTTGATGTTGGGGCGACACAACTCCGATGTTGGGGCGACGTAACTTCGGTTGGGGCGACATAACCTGGGGCGACAAGGCAATGGGGCGACAAGGCAATGGGGCGACACAACCTGACACCGGTAACTGTACCGTCTTCTCACCTCGAAGCCATTTTGTGAATGAAATTTCAAAAGAACCGGCCGCGCGCCTGAGCGGGAAATTCTCTTGTAATTGGCTAATCATGTTAGTAGCCATGGTGACACCAATATCCTCACACGTGATAGATACAAATAGTATCTTCACTGCGCGCGATGAAGATATGATTTTTTAGTAAAAGGAATTCGAAAAATCCTGGTATTTCATCAGTATCTATTTAATAAAATGTTCTCTTGCATACCTACCCACCGTGCCTGGCACAAGAATTACCCCAATGATCACTCCTGAAAAGAAAGCGCTGAGCCCAAACTTCAACTGAAGAATTTTTGCAATGAAAGACGCTATTCCGGCGCCAAATAGTGCACCAGATGCTATGGCTAGCGTGTTAAAAATAAAAACAGGTGACTTGATCAGCTGCACTGTGGCTGGCAAGAGGTCCTTCAGTTTTCCTTTGATTCTCTCGTCTTCCTTCGGCACATAGCCCTCTTTAAGAGCCTGTTCGCGAATACGTCTGGCCCCAGGTAACTCTCTAGGGAACCCAAGAATTAGGCCTGAGATAACGACAAGAATAGAGCCCCCAGCCAGGTACCCCAGCCACCACGCTCCTATCCATTGGGGATCCTCTGGGGTGAGATTTAATCCTTCTGGCTGTCGGGTAAGAAAAGACTTGTTAAGTTTGATCATAAATGAACACTATATCAGATATCTTCTCAATAGAACGAAAAGAAAGTTATGTTTTAACCCGTAGCTTTTGAAACACCTGGTATAAAGGAAAAGGGTAATCGTAGTTTATTTATTATTGAGAAAGGACAAGTAAAAAAGGTATCGTTGGCCGACCAGTAATTTCCCAGGAAGTGGAATAGCAGACCCTCCTTAAGTTGCCTTACGCTGATTACAAGAGACGAACCCTTTATCTAGCTTGGTCAGACAGGAAATAACTGATTTTACATGCCTGTGTGATGTCAATGTAAATGTTCAGCAGTGATCCACCCAAGACGAAACCTAACCCAGGCCCCAACAAAGTCATAGAGAAAAAGACCGCGAGATACACTGGTGACGACTTTGGGTGTACGTTCTCATCAAGATAAGCAGGTCCCAGGGTGAACAGCGATGTTGCCCCTGCGCCCATGAGCAATTGAGCCACGAAAAAGATGAAGATGTAGTACCACTGACCACCATAGTCAGCGAAGCAAAATTCTGAGGTGTCATTTCCGCTCAACCGGCAAACGTCGCCGTCGATGAGTCCTCCGGTTGAAGCCAGAGGCTCGTATCGTCCAACAAGGCCTTGTGGAAGGACGAATAATAAGCACCCTATACCTGTGGTATCAAAAATACTTCTCAGTGTATAGATGCTTTACTTGTAAAAGTCATTTTTAACATGAAAGATTTTTCAAGATTGTCATTCACAATTCGTACATATCTTCTCCGTCCTAAATAATCACTGTAGTCTTGTTAAGTTTGTCTTAAAAAGTAAACCAATAAAATTTTAGGGTTTCTGTCCTTCCGATAACATTTTTCTGTATCGTAGACGCAACTCAAATTCTTACAGTCTATTTCCTTTAATACTTTTCATTCCAACTATTTCCTCTTATTTGCTCTGCTATCTGCAAGCTCTAATTTGATTACTAAGGTAATGCATAAGACCCGCTCAAGAGGGCGTGACAAATTGCACGTACATCAAGTCCAAGCTGAAACTTGGTGCGTTGCTTTTATAGAGACAGATCGTAAAAAAGGAGATTTTGAGGACTTACAATGTTCGCACGTTTTTATTGCGAGGAGAAGTAACAAGATATCCTATGTGATCCAATCGTGTCTTTGCCTCCACTAAAAGGACCTTAAACTATATATATGCTTGTCAACTTGAGAATATCAGTGCAGTGCATACTGCATAAAATTCTCTGCTTTACCTGTAATAATGGAGCCGTATCCAAGCCACTTTATCTTATTCCCATATGTTCCGTAAAAGCTAACCAGCGCAGTTAATAAGATTCCTGCGATGTCATTGGATGCTGCAACGAATCCCACCTCAGCGCTTGTGAGCTGAAATCTCTTCTCTAAAGTCAACAGAAACAGATTGGTGAAGCCATTCACTGTCATACCTACAAAGAAAGTAGGGAAACGATAATGAGGCAACACACTGTCCTTTACAATGACACCTTCTACCCAAGAATCTAAGATTGCAATTCGATTATGGCAGTAACAATTTAAACTTACTCTCCAATTTCATATAATTTCTAGCGGTTCTAGCCCATTAGGCCCACAAGGACCTAATCCTATGGGAGAACTCAACAAAGATAGATGCAACAGTTCGAGCAAGTTATCCGCCCTTACCTTGAATAAAAGAGAAAAACGCAATAGCAACGACAAAACATTTGGCGCTCAAAAGGAACTGTAAACACTGTGGCTTGAAGCTCCCCCAGCCGTAACGAAAGTCTTCCTCTTCTGCATCCTGCTCAACGTCGACGTCAACTTGTAATGGAATCTCGTCAGTGTTATCATCATCATTCACCTTGCCGTTCGCTTCACTCATCTTTAAGAAGATAGGTAAAAGAAAAACGTCACCAAAAGTTTAGGATCCGCTGTAAAGAGTGCTCCCTTAATGCCTTCAGGTTAAGCGGAGAAGTCTGTTTTAAAACCTCAAGTATGCTCTGATATTTGATTGGAAGTTTTAAAGTTCTTGTCGTTGCTTGTTTGATGGAATAAAGGAATTTACTGGTTGGTTACGTAACCAGATCAGGGTAAAATCACAGTGCGTGACTGACGTCATGTAGTATTAACTGTATGTGCTTTCTTTGTCCATAATTGTAGCTCTCGTACACCTACAAAACATTCTTTTGTTCTGGCGACAGGCATAATTTTGTTGCGGCAAAGGACAAAGAGACTGGAAAATGTGTTTCAGTCCGCGTAACAAGCGGGGAATATTTGGAAAAAAGAAATTCGAAATGCTTCAAAGAGTACATCTGACCCTCCTACTAACACGTCCGACGCTCATGAAGTGATCTTTAAATGCCAAAGGATTTTACACCAAGCGATCACGTAACCTAAAAATAATATAAATATCTGCGATTTGAGGGCACCTGCTGTTCTGTCACGCAATCAAATCAAGAAAACCTCCAGGGAAAGAGAGAGGCTGTGAAAAGGGAGTGAACGAACATGACATGATTCTAATATTCGTTGACTTGCGTTACACTAAAAATGTCTTAGTCAGCGTCACACTATTTCGTAATCACCTCAAAACTAAACAAAGAACTAAAAACAACAGTAATCAGATTGTTCTTCGAAGCAGCTGGTCGTGCGGCAGAATTAGCTTTATCATACCTCTAAAGTAGTCATGACGGATGACATCTCTGCACGTTGGTGCAAATTACATCATTTTCACGGTGAATTAATGTTAAAATAAATTTCGTGCGCTTTGGAATAATGATTAATCGGCCCTTTGTTTACAACCGGTACTATTCAGCTATGCGTGTGAAATCAGCGAGTCTGAGGTAACGTGCCCAGGCAGGTCACAGACAATTTGCTCTAAATCGAGAGCAAGTAAAATTTCAGACAACGAAAAGTTGTCAAACGACTGTTAAGTACGTGTGCAATATTTCAGTATAACCAAAATATCAAGTCGTGTTCGAGAATCATCAATCCAAAATTGCGTTTGACGAAAACAAGTATTGAACCAGCATATCTGTCAAAAGCTTGAAGACTTTCGTAAGTCGCTCAGGACTTTGTTTGGTGCTCGAAAGCGAAGCAGCCTTTCATCTTACCTTGGATCGCTCTTCCTTTTTAAATAGCACAGTCACCTCAACAGGACAACCGATAGATATAAACTGAAAAGGTCGACAATATTCAATCAACGCTCTGCCAATGAACCGTAACGACCCTCTATTAATTGCTTGCCGCACTCCTCTCTCCCGCGGGTGCACACAGCTCCACTAAGGAGCCGAGATGGAACAGAGATCGGGCAACGTGAAAAATAGGCAGTCTGGGACTGCATGTGGCTACCTATAGCATTGAAGTGAAGAAATACAGGTTGTATGATAACGCTAGAAGGTAGTGTACATAATAAACCACTGATTCGATAGATTACAATCCGAAGTTCTCGTCAAAGATAGCCACTCGTAAAGGCAAGAGTTGAGGGTTCCCTTGTCGAAGGGAGAAAGAAGGGAAGGGGGAGGGGGAGGAGGGGGTTACGGAGGCACACACACTAATTAGGCCAGCCGTGTACGCACGAGTTTTCGAATCCTCAACGTTTCATTAAGCATCTTACCTCTCCGCCCACGGACAGTTGACTGGGGTGTGATTATTGGCAGTACACGGCCCAAAGTCGAAACGATCTGTTTGTAGATGCTTGATTTGACTTCATTAGTTCGATATCCCACAATCTTTATGCGTAATAAGTGGTTGTTACCTGTTGATAACAAGTGAAAATATCAGACTAAAGCGGCACACTTGATACCTTCCTTTCGTCCCCTCCCCCCTCCCGTGGGGAAGAACTTCGTTAGGTCAGGGGTAGAGTAGTACTCATTTCCGATTAAACAATAGAATAATAAATAATAATATGACTATGAAATAAAGAACAAATCGAATAAACAAAATAAGCCGTCAACAACAACAACAACAACAATAACAAGTATTACAATAGCGATAGTAATACTGAAAATATTTTTTATGATACTGATAATAATGATAATCAGAACTAGCTAATTTGGCAGCCATTTACGAATGTTTTGCGGTGGAGCGCGATTTTCAGTTGTTTTTGTTCTTTTTTTCCAATAGACTTCAAACAGTACTACTGATTACCGTTGCCATATACGGTAAAAAGATCGTCTGTTTGTTATCATGTGTCTATTCTCTTAACGACGTTTGAAACATTGAATTACATTCGGCCTCATCGACGGGAATATAATTCCGAGGTTGCGTCTCGCTCACTAAGAAAAGTCGACCGATGTTCCTAGTATTGGTGAACGGCGATTTACATCTTCTGTACTTCAAAAACAAAACGCGAGGGTATTCACGCCGGTGAAAATTAACTCAATCTTGACGTAATTGTCTTGTTTTTTCCAACCCTACCTTAATAGGTCAATTGACGTCATTCAAGTTCGGCCCTGAAAACATGAAAGAGTTACAGTCCACAGGCAAACAAACACTCAGGAAAAAAATTTAAATCTGGATGTTTGTCAAGTCTTTGAATCATTTAATCGGCCCTGATCTTGTGTTGTTTACAAAAAGGCTCGCTGGTAGTCTCCCCTCGGCCACAAGCTTCTGCGAGTCTCTCTTTAAAGTCTCTTGAGTATGTATCCTCGTAGTCGGTATTTTCTTGTCCCTAAAAGAAAAGCTAACATCCTAAGCTCCCATTTCTTGCCACCGGTTCCTGAAAAGACCAACTTGGCCGGTACACTTCCTCACAACAGTCAGAACCAACCTAAGGTTTGTCATTTTTTTCATAAATACTTGATTATCTTGGAACCGACATGGTCAGTCTGAATCTCAAAATTCTTGAAAATACATTTTTGTTTTGGCTAACATTTGATAAACTGTTTCTTTAGCAGTTGTGAGCCCCTTGCAGGGTATATCAAGGCTGCTGGCGAGCAGAACACCAACGTGGGAACAAACAATAGAAGAACCAACAATAAGTGAACAACACCAACAACTACATGAAATATGAACCAACAATAGGTGAACCAACATTAACAGTAGAAGAACCAACAATAGGTGAACCAAGCTCACTACTTCCCTGTTGGTCAAATTGGAGGAGACATTCAGCCAATCATGTTACATTTATGCAAAGAAATCATTATCTTATCAACTGAATCTGCCTGAAGAGAGTGCTAAGGTAGAAAATGGCGGATCCAGTGAGAGGGTTTGGGAATTGGAGGGGGGTGGGAGTCGAACGCCCTCCTCCCTCGATCAGGCTTGTTGGTTTGATTGATACTCGTATGACACGAAACTTCATGCAATGACAGAATCACATATACAGCTCAATGACTATTGATTCAGTATTATTATCGAAACACAAATGATTTTCCGCGAAAAAGACAGTTCTGCTTTATCTGAATTAAAGTTTAAAGACGGTCTACTATAAAACATTCTTGGATCCGCCCTTGACATAACGAAAGAAGTCCGACTCACGTCTATAAGAATTTTTCTGAATTCAAATCGACGCTGAAAGGCCCCATTGAGGTAGGAGTCAACTGACTTCACATTTTCCATGGATAGTTTACATCTCTTTCAGGAAGTAATGTTACTGAATCGGTATATGCAAAATTATTAAATGGTCTTAAATTAAACTTAACATTTGTGCTATTTTATTTTCAGAACTGGCTCAATAATACAAGAGTAAAGTGGCGTAAGGAAGAAAGAACACCGCCGTTCAATGCATCTCGGTTGTCTGGTCACAGTTTTATTTCCATGTGGTCGGCACTTTAGTTACGTGCCATATACAAATGTTATGTTGATGATAACTTATGAACCTGTAGATATTACCAGCCAAGAAATCTCATAATTTGATCGTTTAGATATAAAAATAAATAAAAAATGAATAAATCATTTCGGTTAGTACCAATATTTTATCGATCCAGAGGCAGGTTATCCTTTTCCGAAGAAGAAAAATTCAATTCATAGTAAGAAAATGGTGCCTCTCATGAATAGATTGCATTGCAATGACTCAAATACATGTTTTGATTTGTATTAGTTCTCTGATCTCCTCGGCAGGGAAAATGATACGATTTAGGGGCAAAAAAATCGTAATTAAATCGCTCTGTTGATAGCCAATCAGATTGCAAAGACCAACACTGATTTCAAAATGGAAATGATAAATCGCTTAAAGACGAGCGTAGCGTAGCGTTGTTCGGAAATATGGGAAAGTTCAACGGAATCATAAACGCGTCTGGCTTGATCTTAAGGACAAGAAATCTGCTGCAATAAGAAAGCTGAAACATGATGCACTTTAAGCTTGATGTTTGACAAAACATCTTGAAAATCCTGTTTTTTCGGCAACCTTCTTTTCGTTTGGAAAAGTTTCTGGTGTTCATATGATCAAAGCATACGAGAGACGGTTCGTGTAATTGTTAGTCTTGTACCCAGAGCTTCTAATGCCAAGCGGTAGTTAAACAGTAGAATCTGGGTATGAGATTGGTCCATGCATGTGTTATTTTGAAGTATAATTTAAGGTGTATATGCAATAAGGGCCACTAAGAAAATTAGAGAACTTTAGATGGTATTTCTACTTTCTACCATAATTTTATGGCGTCATTAATTAGGGAGATGAAACGCGAGAACTTGGCACTCAGCGGGCTGATTTCCCGTTTTCAGGTGCCATTCTACTTTGTTAACACCAATCAAAGTGGCCATACTACCCCTGCCTAGGTCTCCTAATTTTTCTTAAATCGTTAAAACTAGTGACGGGGTAGATACGAGAGCCATTACGGACTTTAGGCAGGCAAAAAAACGTCATCTTGGAAATAGAGCTCGTACATTGCTGCGCAAACAGATGATGGTCCCATGTTCGAACGAACGAAACATAGATTGATGTCAACTCACTTTAAGACGATTGGTTAATATTTTAAGGCGTGGCTTTAAGACGTTATCACCTCTCTTCCCTTACGTGTGCCATATACCAGCTAGGATGTCAAGGTCAGGGCTGATGTCATGCAAGTCTTTAACGCGTTAATTGGAAGAGCGCTTTAGTGACGTCATTCCCATTTGTTTTTCACTAAAATAGACGTTAATATACATGATTGGCAGAGAGGAGTTGAAGAGTAGAAAAAGATTGGTTAAATGAAGCGTTAAAACTTAGTTAATGCAGACTCAGCCAGAATTAACATGGCCTTTTATCACGTCTATCAAAGTGGTGCTGGTTCGACCGGTTCTTCTCGAATCATGGATGAGCCATCAGCTTGCCCTGGATGTCTGTACGCCGAACCCGTGACGATTTCTGTTGCCCAAAATGTCACTGATCACAGTTTCCCAAAAGAGATACGCACCGTTATTCGAGTGAACCCAACAAAAGGTTGGTCAAAAATAATATTAAGTGATGTAGCCTGCTGTAATCGTGCATTCATAGCATGGAAAATAGCTTTCGAACTTATACCGAAATGGTAAATCTTCGATTAGGAGAGAGAAGACGAGACTATTCGCGTTTCCGAAATACATGGATAGTCATACAGAATTTTTTTTTAATTTTACCGACGACGAAGGAGGTAAGTGGAAAAAAAAATGAAAAAGAGCAGTTGAATAAGGCTTTTAAAATTCTTAATTTTCTGAAAAAAATCAAATCCTTGATAGATAAAGTTACGAGAAGAACCATACCCATTTCTTAAAAAATGAATAGTTTTCCCTAATTTTTCAAAAGAAGGAAATAATAAAAAGACAAAAAATATATATCATCCACGCGGCCCAAATTATGAATTCCTATCCCTTTTTTACTTCCAAAGTTCTAATCCTGAACGCTTACCAACTTGCAACGTTTCAACTGGATTTCTGCAGATGAAGAGAAAGAATCGACTTGGTAACGTTTGGACACCACATCCATAAGATCATTAGTAGCTTTTTTATGTTCCTGTTGCCAGGGCATGTTAAATGAACTTGTCGGCTGCCAGTACAAATAAAATCGCCAAGCAGCCGACGGGTATTTTCCCGTCAATTTGTCTAAACATTTCTAGAATGGCATCATCATAATTTGTTTTTCTTTTCTCGCATTCAGAGCCTCAAAAAAAGAGGGAAGGGCCAGTAAAAGAACCAGTCAAATGTACAAGAGTTCAATTCACTGTTTATCAAAGATGTGTGTTGGAGAGGACATTTTCTCTGTCACAGTATATTTCAGCTCAGAAACGCCTAGCATTATCTCAAGAACTGGGAATTTCATGTGAAAAAATCCAGGTAGATCTTAGTACTAAATCATTCTGCTCTCGTTTTTAGATGGAAAAACAACACCAAAGATCACTTCTTTCATTGAATACATTATAATAGTTGAAAGATTGTCATGAAAGGAAGTAGTTTGAAGATTCTGTCCAAACTGGACAATTCTCATAGAGTGCGATTTGATGTGTAAAGTAGAATTGCCCTAATGCTTTTCAAGTAATGTGTCACGGTATTGTGCCCATGTTGTGCGTGTCATTTCTTGCTCCTCACCGATCCCAATTAAGTGATTTTCTCAAAAACCTTTTGATTTAAAAAGACATCATGCATTCAAAACATCTCCACTGTCTTCATATTAATTGAAACCATCATTGCATTTACACAGAGGGAGGGAGGGAGGGAGAGTCACTATGAGATCTTGAGAGTAATAAGGAGGTGGAGGAGGCGCAGGTGAAAGGAAATGACGTCATTAGGGCCAATCTCAAAATTTAACCAATCCACATGTTAAGGACTTGCACGACATCAGCCCTTGACCTTGGCATCCTAACTGGTGTACAGCACACGTAAAGGAAGAGAAGTGATTACGTTACATAGCCACGTCCTAGAATGTCAACCAATCATATCTTAGTGCAGGTGACCGGCCATTTCCTGCTTCGTTCGTCTAAACTTAGATTCACAATTATTTGCGCATCATCAGCTCTTAACCTTGGTTTCCAAAACACCAATTATTTTCTTTTAAATTCATTCGCGCATTCCTCCGTCCGCAGGGAAAATCAGCATCTAGGGCAATATTAATTCGAAAATCTTATATTTCTTTTTAAGACTTGGTTCAAGAACAGACGTGTAAAATGGCGGAAAGAAGAGCGGCAGACCGGTGAGGGCTTAGCTCCTGCATCCCTTAGGACTGGTCCCTACTTTACCTATTTGGGTCACGTGCCATATCCTAATAGCAAACTTATGGTGCGTGATGCACGGATGTTGCTTGGTTCTCCACAAGCCTCGTACATCAGCAAATCATAATTCATTTTTAAAAATGGCAGATGAATAATTGATATGCTTTACTTATGCCTTGAGGCAATTATGTATTTGTTTGATTTCTCCACTAATTCTTTAAAATTGACTCATCACTTTCACCGCTCTCACTGGACTTGCTCCTCCACATATTTCAAACATCTTATTATATTACTGTCTTTCGAAGGTATTACGTCTTGTATTCTTGATTCCCAACACTTTTTTAACTTAAATAGAGGATATAGAAAGCCTCATTACAACCCGGAAAAAAGTATTTATAAAACTAACTGTTGTTATTTTTATCATGTTTTTTTCTCGTTGAAACTGTCTTTGTCATATTTATTACCACTTTCATTAGCATCATTATTATTACTATTATTTGTTTGTTTGAAGCATGCTAACTTTATATGTAGAATAACACTAACTTCTTAAAGCACTAAAATCTCATGCTACAATCTCATGCTACATACAAACTTTGCTAGGTTCACAAATTGTAGAATAATCAAACTAGTCACTAAAAAATGACGTCACTTGACGTCACACTCGATCCAGTTCCCAACGGAGCTCGACTGATATATGTCTGGCGAAAGCGGACCGAAGAAGAAGAAGGAGCAACGTTAAAGGAAAACGTACTATTTATGAAATTAAGGCGTTAAGGCATTGTGATTTGCATAGACTTTTTGGGCAAAAATTGCATCACAATTGAGAGGGAAGGGAAGAAAGTTTTGCAGCGTTATTATTAACAACCAGATTTGAGCATTTGATGTTTGCACGGCTAAATTGTTACAGAATTCCAGAAATATATTTTGTGCCCCCAGTCTTCTTCTTGATAAGGAAAAGGTCAACAGTTCAAAATGGACCTTTTTGCAAACTTATTTTCTCGGGAATGAGGCTAAGACTTGTGCTAACGTTAGAGCAAGCCACAAATAAGAATGTTTTATCAGGTTTATTCAGATGCTAAAGTAACTTTTTAATACTAACCTGTTCACCGATCACAGGTCTTCACCCTGATAGTTAATAACCATTATAAATCACTAATTGTTAACAGAGGGGAAAACCGATCTCTCAAGACGAAAATGTTTTTGATCGTTGTTAGCCACGAGCGGTTAATTTTATACGTCTTTTCAGTAACCAGGAATAAGTGCATATTTGAATCTATCACGAATAGTTCAGTATATGTCATACTATAACTTTTGATGAAATCAAAGAGCTCAAAGTTTTAGCATCAAAATTTGTGATTATTCCAGTGTGGACGGTAATTCACTCTCAAAAAGCAAGTTATTATAAGTGATACTTCTGTCGGTAGAATTGGTCTAAACTCCTTTGATTGACGTAGTTGTGGTGTTATATAAGCGCAGCAGATCATATTTAAATGTACTTTACCCCATATAAGTAGTGAAGTTTTTGTTATTTTATAACCCACTCATTGATTTTCCCGTGATTCTCATGGTTACGCAACGTCACGTGGTGCAAAATCATCGGACAGTTATCGCGCAATAACCCCCGTCTACATCGAAAAAAAAAGCCGAAGAAAAGAACCAGCTCAGAAAAATTTTACATAGAAAAAATAACGAACTCGTTTTTATTACTAAAGGCGTATTTCGAAACATGGCTCCCTTTCTTCATTTTTGAGCAGAAGCAGGCTAACACCTTATTCAGACCAAAGCTAAGGCTGTTCAGTTTCTTTAAAGAAATTGCTGAAGTATAAGTTAGTGATTACTTGAACTCTGAATGCGGGGGGGGGGGGGGGGAAGGAGGGGAGGGTCTTCGTGTCGGTTGTCGCCTAGAATTTCATTACTTTGTCGGTAGTCAGGTAAAATTTTATGATCTTCATCGTTTGTCGATAAATCTCGGTTAATGATTAACAATGCAAGTTATATATACGAGTTCGTTAGTACTGGATGTTGTTCTGGAAATGAGCCCGCGCTCTGAACCCGCCTTGAAGGAAGTTTGATGACAGGAAATTCTATAATTATTTGAATGTTCAATTTAAAGTAGTTACCTCCTAAGCTAAAGTGATCTTCTTTCTGATCACAAATATCGGATGTCGGTTAGTATTCACTTTTCGCTAATCAGTAATCTTTTTGCGTTGTGTCGGTAGTCAGTTATATTTAACCCTTTTTCAGTAAGTCGGTTAACCCCTTTCAGACCCTTCTTTGCAAACTTTAGTTTTTCTTTTTGCTGTAGCTGATTTTCTTTCAGTTAAACCTGGTTTAACTGAACATGTTTTGTTGTTGTTGTGAATGGGACTTAAGAGCGTGCCCTCTCTCCAAGCGAAATCCGTTGAACGAATCAGTGGAAAAAACAGTAACCTTCACCAAATCATGGGTCTCAATAGATTCACTTATTGCATTTTTCCCGTTTCTTAACCCTTTAACTCCCAAGATCTCATTATTAATTCTCCTTACTGTCTGCCATATAGTTCTTCTGATGTTAGTTTGGAGAATTTGGTATTGGATCAACCGATAATCCCCTAAATAAGACTTTTCTTTATTTTCATCACTTGTCTGGTTGATATTGCATTGATATTGTAAGGAGAAATTCTCTCTTGGTCACTCATGGGGGTTAAAGGGTTAAGGAGTCCGACTGAACGACTTAAACTGATCATTTATTCCTACAAAAATCCCTATTGATTCTTTTCAGAGAGAAAACATCTTTCTACATCTCTCGAGGAGCTCATCGTGGAATAGTTTTTACCAACAGAATATCAACTGAGAGAAACTTATCCCCGGTACATACCCCTCTTCCAATGATAATTTTTCTAATTTTAGTGAGCGTTCCTGCGGCTCGACTAATTTGAGAACAACAGCTTATTAGTTAGTGGTTCTGTGGTGAAATCTGATGTGTAATGTTTGGCAGCTTGCGGTTTGTGGTTTGTGGCATTCACCATGATGACGTAATGACGATTAAAAAAAAAAAGGGGCAAGCGTAGCATGCAAGAGTTATGTTTTGGCCGGGTAAGTCGAGGTGGGACGTTTTGTGAACATAATGTTTTCATTTTTGTAACAGAAAAAGAGCAGAACTTTCAAAAGAACGAAACTATTGCATTACGTCACCTTAAGAGTAAGGCAAAAAAAACCAAATTTATCTGAACTCACACAGGTATTTTGTGGTCTATTTTCTCTATTGTCGAAATACCTCTAATCAAAAATCAGACTACACAACGCTTACTTGGAGAGAGAGCCGTTGCGTGACGTGACTTGCGTACAGAACAGGAAGAAAATCAAAATTATTCGTCGACAATTAGTTGCCTCAAAAATATGATTCCACGTAATTTTACCACGAAAAGCAAACTGAAACTCTGTTGTATCTCCATTAGATCCTAAGCAGGGATATCTTGCGATCTCCGAATAGTGAAGTTACATTAAACAAGAGAAAACGAGAATATTCCAAAAAAGGGCTCCTTGATTGGTTGTTGCCTCTCTGTGTGTGAAATACGTGATAAGATGCAGGTTACTTACAAGGAATTAACACACGATGGGTTAAGTCCGAGGTAATTAAAAGGGAATTTTATCGTTAGATGAAGTCAAAACGCGGAAGAATTGCGTGGAAAGTTCACCATCAGTAGCTTTTAGTTCCATGTGAATTTTTTTTCAGTGGGGTTGGACAACGCGATCAGAGTACGTGATAAAAGGCAGGTTGTCTATAAAAAAAAAAGTGACACGTGATGGAGCCAAGTCTTATGTGGCAACATGGAATTTGATTGGTTGAATATAATTCAAGCATGTGAAAAATTGCCTAATGTTCATGTAGTGCGGTGATTGGGTATCTTCTGATTGGAATTTTGGACGTTGTTTTCATGGTAGGTGATGGAAAGTAAGTTGTTTGGCGTATGCGCTGTGAGCAAAGGGGCGGAAAAACACGTTTTAACTTTAAAATAATACGAAAAGTTCAATGAGAACGTTCCATATCCCAAAAAATCTCGACTTTCATCGACGTGGCTCTTGCGAAGGTCATTAACCATAAATGGGGTCCAAACTTCTGGTTAATGTTATTCTTTGCGCACAGTGCCAACCCCCTAATTCTATGACATCATTTGCAAGAAAACAACACCCAAACGTTGTGATTGGTGCAGGATATTCAAATGCTGTGATATGGTTGGTGCGAAATACATATCCTTATTCAGCAAATTAATTGGTGCGAGATACATATCCTAATGGTGCGAGCAACATACCACTCTACTCGCTAACAAGTTTCAGTTTTTTATCAAAAAAATTACCCAAAAAGCTGAGAAAGCGTAACCTCTGAGCGCTACTCTTGAAGCCTGAGGTTATCTTCCCCTCTTCTACAAGTTGGGGTGCGTGGAAGATATTTCATCTGACGGTTTGATTAGAAGAACTGAATATCTTCCAGTGGCTGATTCAGGTAAATTACCTACCGGGTTATCTATTAGGCGGTAATAGCACACATTTTCCAGACTACAGAAAGGGAACCGGCTCGATCTTGATGATTTCTTAATTGTAAAAAACTGTGCCGTTAGTTGCTGACCTCTAGGCTGGTGTAGCTATGTGACTTTTTATCTCGACCCCTTACCAAGAGACAGACTCATTTGAATTTGATAGAAAATTATATAGCAGATGACCGTTTACAAGAGTCCCTATGGTTTGATTGAATTGAAAACTAACCGATGGAGAGCTCGTCTGAGCAACAGTGAGGCGCGATTTCTCATCAATTCACCCAACTGTGCCCGAAAAATTTATAACGCTTAGTGTTTAAATGGTGTATCGAACGTAGAAATATTTTGAGAGAGATAAACTTGAAATTAATCTATAACATCCATTTATGATGTGACGTAATGAGGCAATAGCGATTGCCGGCGCTTTACAAGCAGGTGCAAAAAGAGGACCGGTTCGATCTCGCTGCCGAAACACTGATTTCTAACGTTGAATTTTTGCTAAGTGACATTGACTAGCTTCACGCTAAATTCGGTTAGCTTTATGGCTTATATACTTTTATGAATTGGCGGAGAGTTGAGAGATATCTTTGTTTATATGAGCTTATGAGCTCATGTTTACATGTCGCTTGTTACATGGGCACGTAGCAAGAGGGTAGTTTTATATGCTTATAAAGTTCAATTTGGCTTTTTCTTTTTTCTTTTTGCTTTTTTCTAAGTTAACGTTATGAAAAATAGGTGCACGTGTAGAGATCTTACATAAAATACACATAGCACAAAGATAATTGTTTCGGTTAGTCACTTTTCGTAATCATTTTTGATGTTAAAAAGTTACTTGAGTTCACTTATATTTTTTTTAACATTTCTTATTTCGTTCTGAAGGCAATGTAAACACCTAACAACCTACTTGAAAAAACAGAAAATTCAGAAATGTCAAGACTATTTCACTGAGTAAGATTAAAGCATAAACATGGGAGACTATACTGGCAATATTTTCGTCCGCATGACGTGACTTTTACAGCTAACAGTCTATTCCAAGTATTTAAATTAAGAAATTATAAGCTGATTTTATACACTCTTCGAGTAGATTTAAACACATTTTGACTGGGCTAAGTCTTTATCTAAAGATCCACTGAATATACAAACTTGGACGGATGTTTGCTTCTCCTTCGGCCCCATGGTACTCTTATGATATAATACGTTCGCGAGTCTCAGGCTGATTTCACTGACGAATCTTCTTCTTTTTCATTCTTGAATCTCAAATGGCAGGTTTAAGATTGTGTTCTCTAAGTTGAAGAGTGTCGATGTACCATGGTAAATTAAAATGAATGAAAAATGTGTTGTATTAACCCAATGAAATTATTACACGCGTAACGAGCTGTAACCATCTAACGAATGGTGCCAATCGTAAAAAAAATGGAAGAATGGACAAAAAAATCAGAAAAACAAAACAACAAAGCGCAAAAGCAAAAACAAGAGGTTGCTAGGGGTGGCTCTATGACGTTTGTTTTCTATCTAATCTGTTTTCGAAAACTCTCTTTCGAAAATTTTAGTTTAAGCTGCGTAAAATTATAAAACCCACAGAAAAACAAATAGACACAATTACAATTACGTGCGAAGAGCGCATATTTAGATTACATATTTTGAATGATCTAGGATAGGAACACAGAAAATCGAGCATTCTGGAAATGGCAAACATCACGTTATCTTGCAGCTTTGGAATGATTCATCAAAAAAACTTGAATCAGTCTGAGCGTTCCCAACTCGACTATCCCAGACCAGCGACAATTTGCTACGCCGGCCGGGAAGAAAGATGGAATCGACAGACTGATAACTCGGATGAGAAGGTTTTCTTGATCGATGGTGCCATAAAGGAATCAGGTTCGTCTAATGGAATTTTTTTTCACATTGTTTAGATGATGAAGTTCGTAGGCTAAATATCAAAGGTTATGAACCCTTCAAATAATTCTGCGCCGAAATGTCTGCTTTTGTGGTTCAGTTCACTTCTTGATTTCCTTGAGCTCAGAAATAAGACATGGATTTAACCTAACGATCCAAAGATCTGCGGTTTGATCTTTGAGGGAGCAGGACTTTTTTCGGCTACCGAGATAAATTTATATAAAATCCCTCTCTATTGATTTTACTCGGTCAAAGGTTATTATAGACGTAGTCCATGAAAGATGTACCACAAAAACTAAATCATTCTCATTCTATCTCACATCTTTTATTGTGATAAAAACCACAGCCTCTCGTCTCAGTAGATTTAGTCAAAGGTCAGAACTCCACATCAGTATGAAATTATATAGTTAATGTATGTTTTATCATTTCTCGAAACGAATCACTGTTGGGGGAATATGAATCGATCTATCGGTTCTTTTTCATCAGATTTCAACCTTTCGTTGACTAGAAAAGGACGCCGAGGGGTCAAAATGCTACACAGAGTTAACGGAAACATAGAGAGGCTCTCGTACCTTTACGATCATTTTTAGAAAAAAAACAATCATTGTATTTTGTATCCGCGGAGACTTTTTAACATGATGGATTGTTCTAGTTCAATAAAACGGTTGATCTCATACAAGTGAACTTGTAAAGTTTAAAAAAATTGAGAAGGAACCAAGAGAAGTTGAGTTTTTAGTTTATTGTTCAGCTCTTTTAAATACTAAATTCAGTGAGGATGATTAGGTACTAGGTTGTAGTACCACGACAACATGTGACTGAAAATCAATCTCAGCTTTCTCTGACACTGTTGTTCACATATGTATCGTCATTGCATAGATCTGTTCGGACTATCATGCAGTAGTTTTTCATTTTTAATCTTTGGTTTTTTGCTACTTTCTGGCAGGACTAGGAGCTAGGAGGGAAAAAAAATAACGTGATGTGATATAGTGAGAGGCGACTGAGGCGAAGCGCAACCTGTCTAGCCCGCGTCTCGTCCCAATCTCTTCTCTTGCAATGTTTTTGCTCTCTCTCAAGAAGAAACTTGATTGCTGCTATAATTTACCCTAGATAGGTGGTAGATATCGACAAAACCCGTCCATAGCTTCTTTCCCTGTAGATGGCTTGTCGAGGTTTAAGTTTTGTGTGAATTTAATAACATTAACTTTCCTGTGCAGGTACCATACCTCAGGAAGCACTGGAACTTGCCACTAAGCCAGCAAAACTCACAGCTCGTCGAAGTCGTACTAAGTTTACTACTCATCAAAAGCGAGAGCTGGAGAAGACATTTAGCTGCTCGCCCTTCCTTTCAATGCAGAATTACCACAGGTTGACACAAGAACTGGGGATTTCTGAGAAAATCATTAAGGTATTTCTGAGTTTATATTGGCATACAAGGAAACATTGATTCAAGGCATACTGTTTAAAATTAACAAGGTTGCACATTTTTCAGACCTGGTTCAAAAACAGACGGGTCAAATGGCGCAAAGACTCGCAAAGGACTAGAACGAATACAACATCGACTTCTGGTCCCTCAAGGAATACCTGCTGTCTCCGTTTTGATCACTTGTCCTACTCAGCAAGTAATCTGGAGGATGAGTGATGCCTGAATGTCGTGTAATTCAAATAGCGCTTGTGATGCACACGAACCTGACCAATATGATTGCAGTCCATCCACAAGTGTTGTTTCAACTATTTAAGCAAAAACTTCTCCCTAAACTATTTACATGCAAGATAGTATTGATAAATCTATGGCTACTTTATGCAGTGTTTGATGAGTTACCTGCTTCTGGTCAGTTCAAGACTTCGACCTTATCGAACCTAAATCACAAGTTAAGACCTTAAAACATGAGATTATTTGCCTTAGATTTTAGATCCTGACTTCTAAATTTCATACAACCCGTACGGCCCAAGTCTGCATCTTTTGAAAAACATTCCCTAAAAATCCTCGAGAGGGGGCCGTACGGGATAGCTTGAGCAGAGCCGAGAAAAGTTGTATGGCCCCGTATGATGCGAGTTAAAACAAGGAAGAAAAAAAAAAAGGGAAAGAGCGATGGTCATAAGATAAAATGTTTATTGACTGAGGTAAGTCCAGCCGGCCGGGAAAATGTTCGTCTCTCGATCGTGACGCAAGGACCTTGCTGCACGCATTCTGTACGTTATAACCTCAAGCCAAATATTTTTCCATCCGGCCCTCCCTCTCAGTCAATTAGTACATAATGTGTCAAGCTTCCGAAATTTCTTTTAACATGTATCTTATGTCATATTTATCTATAGATTGTTGTTCACGTAAATCTACTCTTCATATCATTAAGTATGTTAACAATGCGACAGGAAACTCAAACCCACAACTTTCCTGTTGTTCCAATACAAATTTATTTCAGTGTCAATATAACAAGTGTTATTGTGTAAAACATGTAACTAAATATATCTTCGGTTTTGACGTGCGTGGAGTTTTTTTTTTTTTTTTTGCTATCACAGTTGTAAACAATCGCCGGCTAATTGATTTCGTACAAAGGTTAAATAACTTATGTAACTTGAGAAGAAACGTTATTGTAATATTATGACTTGTGTTGGAAGCCGTTTATCAATAACTCTAAAAACAAAAATGAAACACACCTATATCGCGATAACCGTTCGAAAGATGCAACGCTACTTTCTATTTTCTGTAGCAGAATTCATCCCAACTTCCCCCTCAATCTTGAGATGTGTTCATTGTGAAATGAGAAACGGACTTTGCCGGTTACAGAGATCTCGATATACAGACTGGAACTTTTCACACACAAACACTTACGTCCAGCCCTGTTACTGGGTTGAAACTTAAAGATCGCATCGACCCTTTTTCATTTTGGGAGCTAGGCTTTGGTTACCATTACCGTCGGGACCTGTATCAGAAACCCCTATAAATTTCGTATATTAAAGTTCTGTCGGCATTGTGGGCTATCTTATGGAGACGGGGTTCGTTTGAACACCCATTCTACAGGTGGTACTGGTGACTCAGGGACTCTCAGATACCGACACTTGCCTGTTCGGTCTTGATAATACCACGATCTGTCCTGAGTCACTATGTTTGAACTTGGACACGTATCCGTGTTAACAACAATTCTTTCATAGCTTCTTCTTTCTCGTAATTTATTCGCTGGATGGAGAGGTCTCTTGTGCTTTGAGGCTTTAACTTTCAAAGATCCATGACTGGCCTTTGGCTGGTGTTTCCGTAAAAAGGCTTTGACTTTAAGGTCGATTAACTCGTCCTCAGGGTTTGAAACCGTAAACAGTGCGTCAACAGCGGTTGAGTCGTGTTTCTGAGGAGGAATCCTACTCCTAGGTCTGTGGTCGACTTTCACCTTACTGTTAAATGTTATTTTACGCCGCGGCGAGCGCCCCTGAGAATGCCGTTTCTTTCCCTCGCAAGCGACGTCGTTGGGCTTCTCCACCAAGCCAATCTGAGATTTAACAAGATCAACACTTTCACTTCCTCCCTTGCTCTCCCTGTCTTCTTTAGCTTTCCACGATGAATAATCACCGACCAGATCTATTGGGGCTGGAAAAGTTGTCTTGGTTTCCTTGTTTTCAAATCGAGTGGGCTGAACGATCTTATCATAATTTTCCATTTCGTACCGATCATCATCGCCCCTTTCCAAGGTCGGTGTTTTCGGTGTGGTCGCTCGTCTTTCCGGAATAATCTTAGCTTCAAGAAGCCCTTGAGTACGATCCGTGGACTTGTCAGAGCTTACACTTTGTGGAGACCATTTGCTGGTCTTTATTACAATCTTCCTTCCCTCGTCTAAAGATCTGCTTCTCTTCATGTGATCTTCCGTCGTCAAAGTTTCGAGGGATTTGGTAATTTTCGGCAATGAATCGCTTGATTCTTTTCCGGTTTCCGAGGGGTATTTCGTTTGCGTGATAACTTGTTTTGTTTGTCGTTCGAGTGCTGTCACAATTCTTTTTGAACCAGATATTTGTTCATTGGCAGAGCTGCCTATAATTATTCCTGGAGAGGACATTCGCCTTCCAGAGATCGATGCTGAATTGTTTATAAATTGGCTCTGCTTTGTTGTGTTGATTTCCTGAGGCAAACGATGCCTTGTGACGCTCACTCCAATATCATAGCAGGGACTCTGATCTGATCTTTTGACGAAGAGGGTTCGTGGTAAAGACCGTGCTTGGATCGATCTTTTGGCGACTGTCCCATCTTTTAAATCTTCAGAACTGTTAGCGACTACATCTTCTTTATGGTCCACTTTCGATCTGTCTCTAGCTTTGTGCTCGTTAATATTCTTTCCGATAACACCATTATCCTGAGCGCTAAAATGGTCAACGGACAGAAAATCATTCGGCCTTGGTTCACATTTTAAAGTAGTTAACACTGCGGCAGTAGTTCTTTTTAACCCTATTTGGCCTGTTGAAACTTTCCGACGATGCCTCTCTTTCTCCATACGATATGAAAACAAAGCAGTTCACTGTGTTACTTGTCAAGACCAATTGTTAAATTAGAATTAAAAGCGTCATATGAACCATGTGACCTTATTTACCAAAATAACACAGAGGAAATGACGGCTGGGTTGATTGACCGCTAAACGCCACCAAAGTCACGCTATCGGGCCTTTAAGTTATATTCGGGCTCCCGCGTTTACACCAAAGATAACTTCAACTGTTTGTCTTCAAATGGTAAACATTTACTGAAACAACAACGCATACAAGTGTCTGTAGATCAAAAGCAATTTTCCATCTTATTCTATGATAACATTTGACCCTTGGATTAAAAAAGAAAGTCGTCCAATGTGCTACTTTTAATTATTTCTTGTTTATCATAACAAATAAAGTCATTGATGCATAAGATGGCAAAGCGGAACTCAGCGCTGAAACGGCAATTTAAATATTGATATTGATATTGATGTTCAGTGTTTCCGTAAAGTTCGCAAACGAAAGTCGATTCAATAATGAATGAATATACATGAAAGACGCCGTCATTGCTCGTGAGCTACCTCAATATTAATTTAAATTGAGCTGATTTATTTATTTTTTAATTTAGTAAGTCAAACAGGATTAGACTAAGACGCGACTTTGGAATTTAAGTATCTCTTGGTAGCTCTTGTGCATCATGCATTACCAACATGAACGTTGTTCTAATTATCTAGTGTGACATTTCCACGAGCATAGAATGTTTCGCAATAACCATGACATAGCAAGAGATTATATTCTCCTGAACTTAGTTGATAGCTTACTTGAAAAACAATTGTATTCTACCACACAACATTCTTGAGTTACAAACACACTCGATGAGATATAAATACCATGAACGCTATTAGCCTCGGAGCGAAAAAAAAAAAAAAAAAAAAGAGAATGACTTCCCGTGTGTAAGTGATTTTCGCTAGCGTTAGCGACCAATCAGGCCGCTTTAGCGTCGCCAATTCTCACTGAGGCGTAGATTCCGCGGCAAAATGGTCAAGTTTTTGACACTTGATAATAAATATAGGAACTTCCATGTTACTCGTAAACCGAGTCAGCTAGTTCGTCTTTTGCAAATACATATGAAATAGGAGGAGTAGGAGATTCTGGAACTCTGAGATAGCGACATTTTCTTCTTTTGTCTTGATAATACCATTTTCTGTCCTTTGAAAAGTGGCTCATGAGTGGGCATGTGTCAGTATTAATAGGCACTCCTCTGAGCTGCTCCACAGCACCGCTAGTGTAAACATTCCCATTTACTTTTCTTTGCAGCTTAAAATCGGGGATTTTCTTCACTCGAAGACTTTGTGTGCTGGCCAAAGGCTGAGGCTCTTGGAGAAACTTTTTGACTTTGGATGTCAGGTCCCTTTCGAGTGATATTTCTTGTGATCCAACAGAAAGTGTTTGCTGTGCGCGATGGTCTCCCATTCTTGATTCATCGACGAAACTAACGAAATCAATGTTAGTCTCGGATTCACTGCCTGATACAGCTAAAGTGTGACTAGAATTCGCCTCTTCCTTTTTAATACTCGGTAACTGAAGGAATTCTGTATTTACTTTCATGATGCCTTCAAAGCGGTCCGAGATTTCCAAGTCTAGTTTTACATCGTCATCGCCTTTGTCTTCCTTGTAGAAACCCGCTTCAGGTGTTACCTTTTCAGCTCCTTCTGGAGCACTGTGCTGTCGCCTACGGTTCAAAAGAGTTTTTCTGTTCCCTTTGTTGTCGTCTTGAGCGAGATATGATGCCTGAGCTTCAAACCTTGGCAAGTTTTCGTTGGCGTTGTTTTTTTGATGAAACTTCATCTTCAGTGCCTCCACTTGGTCTCGCTTCGTATCGTCAGGCAAATAAAATAGAGTTTCATCCTCGTCTGATGAATGTTTGCTGTTGAGGTGATCTGAATCTTCCTTTCCGATTTGGAAATTAGCAGTGGGTTTCCTGTAAGAGCTCATGTTGTAATCACTATCATACACAACACTCCCAAATGTAGACACAGGCGGATCTGCGTTGAAAATATGACTTTTCAAATATGGTCGTTGTCCTCTTTGATTCTCTGATGGCCTTGCGGAAATTAAGGGTAGACTTCTTCGGCGAGTTGAATTCATATAACCTGACATTATTAAATCATATTCCCATGCGAATGATTATTTCTTAAACCCCTCGCCAGATGAAGCCAGACCGAATAACTCGTCATGTATGAATCCACCCGTAAATGAAAAAAAAATAAGATACATTAAGATGCACATAAACGGTAATTATGTATAATTAACTTGTCACTATATGATTTGGACTGACGTGCCCACTCGCAAATTTTTCCCAGTCAACTGTAACGGTTTGCGTCGTTAGCACTCCAGTGGGTAATTAAGACGTGTGGGTGGGTGGGTGGGGGATGTACTGCCAAAAGCCTTCAAACACTGACCCTCCTAGTTAATGCTTTACACTCTAACATCAGTATGCATATTCTCCATACTGTTCTCTACACATTTCCTTAGGTGCTAACAAGGAGAATTTGTTTAACAGTCAAGAGCTTCTTTAGTCGGTGATCATTTCCTTTATTCTCGTGGCCTTAAAGTCTTTTTCAGGGGTGATAATCCAGTTGCAGGCTCTTCTCGTCGCATGAATACGAGCCTGCTCATACATATGGAAGAGCAGCGCCATAGGTCACTTCAAGTACATGACCGGAATTTTTTTCTAAGGAAAGATGCTCGATTTACGATCGAACTGCAGGGGACCTGTTATATCACCGGCCCTTAGTACGGCGAGCCTTTTAATTATTTGCCAGATTATGTTCATCTGAAATGAAACTGTAACCACTCGAGATATATCTGCTGTTTTGTGTGGCCAACAAAACAGTGCTAAATCGGTAAGCATCCTATGCATTCACGTCCTCTCCACACTCGAACTTTTTTGCTAGAAAAAGTGAAAATCGCACATTGAATAGCCAAAAAAATGAAAAGCATACAATAAGTAACTATGCAAACCTGATTTCAATTGCTGGCTCTCAGGGCCAGCTCATGTGTCACGCTTTTGTGAAAACTTGGCTGAAAGTGCATAGTAAACTCATTCGAGTCGACCTACTACTTTATTCCTAAGTTTTTGTTTTGTAATTGATATCTGTTGGCCCATGTTATTCCATGATCTTCCGGTGACACTTGTCATTGTCAATCATCAAATCCGACTTTGGCTGTTAACACGAACCCATTTCGCTACTAAGATCTGAAAGCCTGGCTCGCAACGGATGACAGCTGCATCTCTTTTTGTGACGTCATAAGACTGATGTTAAATCAAGATACTAAAGAAGTTAAACCTTTTTGATGGAATTATTGATCCTCATAACCAGTCTGTTTGTCAGGGCAGAAAAAACTTCGGGAGAATTTACATGATGATCAGAGTGAAATGGACACCGCATTTGTTACCCGAACCTGGCGGTGCCGTTCGTGTGAGTTCAGCTGATATCAAAGGTGTATTACGTGATACTGGCTCTCTTCTGATCACCCTCCGCGTTTAGAATCTCTCAACTCTAAGGATATCCAGGTAAACAAGAAGCAATAATGTTAATAGTAATTTAACAATTGTAGCTCAGTGGAAGATATGATGCACTCACTGGATAGTTACGCTGAGATCTTTAGGACTTGACAGTTTGTCCTTTGGGGAAGATCACCGGAGCTGCGGCGAAAGGTAAAGCCAAAAAAATTTAATTCGCGCGAAATTCCGCAAATGAAAAAAGGGAACTTCCTTCATCCACAAATTAGGATGCATTGTAAATATGGAGATCTGAAGATGGAAGGCGAATTATTTATTGATCGTTTCTACGGCCTGCACTCAATCACTAGATTTGCCTCGACAAGTACCACTGTGTAAGGCGTCATAGTAAGTAAGCATAAAGTAACATCACGCATCGACAAAGGTGACTCGGATTGTTTTACTGGTCATATGGAATGATATGGTTTCTTCAAGCAGGCTCACTGGAAAATAATGAATGCTAGATGATAGAATCTCAGTAAAATTCCGAGCGATGTACGCTAACCATCTTTATTTTCTGATCAGCCAAGTTAAAACATAAAATATAAGAACTGGAGAAAATTCTAACTATCCTTTTGACTTTGTGACGGATGTCTACCAAATTCATAGTTTGTAGGAGCTTCACCTCACCATGTAACAAAACCCTCAACTCAAAGAAGGCAACAAACTGATTGGCTCGACAAAATAGGAAAACAAAAAAAATAAGCTAGAAAGGAAAATGAAGAATAACAACAATTTAGGTTATGGATATAGAACGAAAAAAAATGCTTTATGTATAAAAACGTATATTAACTCCGAAGAACTTGCATAGCTAAAGCAAAATAAGAGTTCACGGGTAAAATTATCAAAATAAAAAGCAACTATTTAGAATGAAATCTTTCAAATACTTACTTATAAATATACAAATACTTGTAATCTAAAAGTCAATATTTACAAAGAGAATGATAAAAAAAGGGAAATTTAAAAGAATGTAAGTCTAAAATTCAATGTACATGGCACTTTCTGTTGTTTGAATGTCAATGTCAATGTTCTTAAGTTCGATTTTTTAATTTTAGGCGGCAGTTATAGAAAGATGGAAACAAAAAAGAATCCTCTATTCCTAAGATATGGATGGAGAAATTTCAGACCGGGATATCTTCAGTTTATGAACAACTCCAAATGTTTCTTGCTATTTGCCACTGCTTTCAGTATTAGTCAAGGTGCGTTTAAAATCAGAAGTCGTCTGATGAAATATTTGCTTATCATTTGAAGAAAATATTCGACATTTTTTAAAGACATGTTTATGTAATTACATACACTGTTTTGTCTCTATTGTTTGTTTTGTCCTAGAAGCATTTTGTTATGCTCTTTAAATTCAACCTTGTACTTTAAATCAGAACCGAAGATGACAGAAGAACTTTCGAAACATGTTTTTTAAAAATGTCGCATATTTTCTTAAATGCGTGCCATATCTACTGCTATCCAGACCTATCATCATTTTATAATAAAGGTTATAAGGTCTCATGTCTTAGAGCCTTAAAAGGAAGAAGTAGCGATAGAGCGGAATGAGAAATCTCTGCTTCCCTTACCTGCTTTGGAATGATGACCTATTTGATGCGATTCACCAAGTGCGAAGCAAATAGAGGATTATCCTGTATAGTAACTGGCTTTTTTCTTGACTGAGTTACACGTAAAAACCGATGGGTTTCTAAACAGTCTAGTAGTAGAGCTAAAAACCTTCCAAAGAACCCGAGTAATAATTTAAGCCTCGTTCCAAAACGCCCCGGAGCTGCCCATCTTTAGTTTCCTCAAACACATTATCATATAATGCTAGCGATTGTGCATCAAACCCCCATTTGGGGGCCTTTCCCTTTCTTCCTGGAGTTCAAAGATCCTACGAGTGATATTTTTTATGAATGATATTTTTCAGGAATGACTGTTGGTGGTATAAGCTCTGCCGTCCTCACAACCATTGAAAAGCGATTCCAGTTTACTAGCAGAGAAACAGGGTTCATCGCTGCTTCCAATGATATTTCTGCCATTCTTCTTACATTTATCGCCAGTTATTGTGGCGGCTATGGAAATAAGTCCAAATGGCTAGGATATGGAGCTCTGATAACAGGTGCACTCCTTGATTTTTGACGCCTGCCTTTCTCATAATCCATGTAATGTGTTGCCTGTTGGCAGAACTCCTGTTTCCTTCAATATTTGTTGTAGTCACAAATGTCTTTAAGGGCTTAATTAATGTGAAAACCATCCAAATCTAATCAACGGTGCAAAGGGAAGTGAAACGATCGAAATGATAAAAGCAGTTGCTAGTTGTGACTAGAGGCGGGGGGTTGGGTGGGGCTATCACGCTGCCCTAAACTAGTCTTCAACCGACGCAGAAATATATCTGAACAGACGAAAAATATACAAACGCAAAATAAAAACCTAGCATATGAAAAAAAAGGAAGCACATAATATGACTAATTAGCAAAAGGTACAAGAACGCGAAAAACTAAACTAAGCAAAAACAAACAGATGAACATGGACAATTACGTCACCCAGGCGTCTAAATTTGCTTACGTACCTGTCAGAGTTGGTAGCAATTTCAGTAACACATTCGGTTTATCACGTACCAGGATCCTACCGACAACCCCTTAGCCTTGAAAGGTCTGGGTACGAGACTAACCTTGGGTATCAGCAGGTTTCGATGTATATTTCGACTCTACAAACCTCTGTTAAGATTAGTTGACTCATTAGTCGCTAGCTCTTAAATGATCGACGGTGCAAATATAGTAAAAAGTCACCGACAAATTCATGATTATCATCTCGTTGACAGTACAGGCTGAAAAGTAACCTTAGTCCAAAAACATCTGGTAAGTTTGAGAAAGACATCTTATGAACCTTTCAGGTGTTGGATGCTTCATACATGCCCTTCCCCACGTTATAATCGGGCGATATCAACCAGAGGCTGACCACGGAGCCTCTACAGGTCAAAGGCAGCTCTTCTGTCACGTGAACACCACAAACACAACATCGGATTTAGAGGGTTCCCAGTGTTTATCGAAATACGCAAAGAACTGGTACTACCTCATGATCTTTTCGGTTGCGCAAATGGTCATGGGAGCTGGAACGTCACCCCTGTACTCACTAGCGCCCGCTTATATCGACGAGAATGTCCACCCAAAATCGTGTCCAGTCTACTTCGGTGTTTTCTTCGCAGCAGCAATTGTTGGTCCTGGTTTAGGGTTTCTTGTTGCAGGTGCGATGCTTACAAACTACGTTGATCTGGAAATGGTAAGTTCCCAGGAAATAAGCTCTTAGCGTTCTGTTACAACTTCCTTCGACAGGTTTATAAAAATAGTTCCAATTGTATGTTATTCACCAGCCGGGAGGTCCGTATTGGGAAAAACTGTGCCCGAGGTCTTTAGTACCTCCCGAGGCCTTTAGTACCACCCGAGACCGAGGACGACTTCTATTGTAACAAAATGCAATTTCGTATGTCAGAAAAAAAGTTGCTATTCACTAGCTGTATAAGTGGATTTTGCGCACCGTAGTTTTCATTTTTTGGTGCCAAGATTTATAATTCATTGACTACAAGTTTGAGGAATATTAATTCTAGAGAATTATTTAGGGAAGCCCTGGACGATCATTTCTTGTAATTTCTATTATAGTTTTAACAGTTCCTAACTTAGTGTATTTTTGTTTTAATAGGTACTATCATATATATATATATATATAAGTGAAAGAATCAAAGAGGACGCATCGATTCTCTGTTACTGTGAGTTCCGCGCCTAAGCGCTCGTCAGACAGAACTTTCTGATGTCTGTCTGACGAGCGCTTAGGCGCGAAACTCAGAGTAATAGAGAATCGATGCGTCCTCTTTGATTCTTTCACTTATATAAACTCAGCTCTGCTACCACAGCATTGAGCACTTTATGCCAAGGTAGAATCTACCCCCACATTTATATATATTATTATTATTATTATTATTATTATTATCATTATTATTATTAGGACTATTATTATTGAAACCAAAGATGCATTTTTCTTCCAGCCCAAAGGCTTTCACATCACTCCTCGGGATTCACGTTGGATAGGGGCGTGGTGGCTTGGGTACGTAATGGGTGGAAGCCTTCTCGTCCTTACTAGTGTGGCCCTTTCAGGATTTCCACGGCAGCTTCCTGGTGCCAAAGAAAGGAGGGAACAATTGTTGAAAGAAAGAGCCATTCCTTTAAAAGACCAAAACGTAATGGAGAACCTAAAAAGTATTATCCCAGCGACAAAGCAGCTTCTCAAGAATCCTGTCTTCGTTTTTAATGCTTTGGCCCTGTCGGCAACCACTTTTGGTAGCGCTGGCGTGGGGCCTTTCCTTGTGAAATTCCTTTATCTGAAGTTTAATCTAAGTTTGGCCATTGCAGGGCTGGCCGTTGGGATAGCGGTGGCTCCTGGTGCTGGAGGTAAACTCTTGTTGCTTATGTCATAAGCTGAACAGACGCACAATAACGTGGAATCTGTTCGTTATTTACTCCCCGTGAATGTGACTCTAGCTTAGTTTCCCATGTAAGAGGCGGTTTGATAAACCTGGAGCCACCTCCTAGAAGAGAAAGAGATGGCTACAAAGCTACTTATTAAGAATGTTAACTACTAGCGGATAAAGAGCAGATTTAAATTGGAAACAGGCGCAGCCCTGGCTAAAAATATTTAAACACTTTGAAGACAAGGGTGCGCAAATGACGTAGTTTCGCAAGGACTTAGGAAGCACTCATTATTTATCCCGGGAGGAGGGGATGGTCGGAGGATTTTGGGAGGATCGCACTAACAGAGTTTAAAGGTGAGACTACAGAAAATTGACTGCCAATGAGAGGGGATCATCAGAATACTACTGAGCCTAATAGTAAGATCAGATAAATTGTGTCGTGACATTCCCAGAATCCTTCATCCCTCCCAACCCCCACCCCCCCTTCCCCTACTGCCCCAACGATAAATAATGATATCGGTCTCTTACGCCTTGTTTAGAGATAATTATCGAGTTTTGATTCTAAAAGGGACAATTTATTTTACTGCAACACATTATTTCCAGGTGGTGTTTTCTTGGGAGGTCTTGTTGTCCGTCGTTTCAAGTTAAAAGAGACACTCCTTATGGCAGCTAAATGCTGTTTGATTATCAAGGTTGCCACAATATTTACAAGTCTTATTTGGCTAATACCCGGATGTGACGAGGTGCAACTTGCTGGGATAGTCAAACCGTACTGGGACAGGTGGGGAGAAAGATAATAGCAATTGAAGTAGTTGAATTGATTTTGTGATTTCTGCACTTCTCCACGTGTGATAACTGGATTTCTGAGTGGTTTATAGCTCGTTTCCTGGTCATTTCGTAGACACTATCACTAAAACCCTTGTAAAGAACTAGCAAGTTGTAGATTATTTGTAGGTTGTAGGGATTATACTGGCTGGACTGTCATGTTCTATAGCTACATATTGCAAGGATTTCTTTAATGATTCATGGACTTAACTTGTTTGTCTTTCACAGCACAATGGGAGGAAATTCTTTAATTTCAACATGTAACAAAAACTGCAGTTGCCCTCTGTCCCTGATCAGACCTGTGTGTGGCTCGGACAAATTAACATACTTCTCTCCTTGTTTTGCTGGTTGCACTTCATCAAACACTAGTGGGGTAAGGTTTAAGAACAGAATCTTTCCTTGAATATGACCTATCAATAGTGATGTCAGCTAGAACAAATTCAAAATTTCCAATGATACAATACAATCTCAAGGTCGAACATGGAAATCGCCATTTAGAAGGGCCTAAATTTTTATCCTCATCAAAGAATCAACTTTTACCTACATTCAGCGCATGAGATTACCATGTATAACACGGGTGGCATGATGACTTGGGAAGAAGGAACTTTATTGTAAAGAGAAAATAACGTTGAGTTTAATAGTTTACTACCAAACATGATTGTGACATTTTTTTTTACATAAAGCACAGTTTGTAGTCAGAATGACGCGAGATTTCGAATCAGTCAAGAGACTCCTCAGAGATTTCGAAATCCTGTTCGTAAACTTACAATTTATTATTCGTCTGACCCTCGATCACAGAAAGATTCTTGAACGCAGGTCCACGAGTTACATTTATTCAACAAAAAACCCGTAAAGTACATGTACTTAATAAAAGCCGAGCCACAGATTCTGTAGCACATGTATCCAGGCCCTATTTTTACCTTCAAAGTTTACAGTGCACTGGTTAATGATGTGTTTTCGTAACAGGTTTACACTGGGTGTAACTGTGTCTCGCCACCTTTTAATGTCTCAACACCCTTGGCTTCTCGTGGATTATGTGACAGAGGCTCAGGCTGCAAAAATTACATCGTATTTTTGGTCGCTGTGCTACTTCTGGTGATGGCAGGTTTTACACTTTCTGTACCAAACAAGACTGTTGTACTTAGGTAAACACATGTAAAAGTAACAAGACTTTTCGATTTGAAAACAGCTGGTAGGCCTGTGCCCCTGAATTCTTACAACGTTGGTTGTCCACAGTTGTTTAGACAACCAACATTTGGCAGAACGCTTCACTCTCACAATGCCTCTGTCCATCCTAGAGTATAAATGGGTACTGGCGCATTGTCAGGAAAGCCTGATGAAATAATGGGGGGTAACCATGCAATGGAATAGCATCCCTTTCAGAAAATTCTCCTAGTCGCTTCCTCGTCGGAAACCGGAATAAGCTCCGGCTGAGTGGGCCACTTGGCTCCAGCGCAGACCTTGCCTTTACCTTTTTATTCTTGTACAATACTGCAAGTACTAACAATTAACTACTACTCATTTAAAACTCTTTGCTATTTACGTCTTCCATTTCCAATTCGGACTTAACTAACATTTATGACAACAAAAAGGAAATCTACAAATATCAAAAGATTTGCCATTACAATGGCAATATTATCATCTCAGCTGTGTTCAATCCTAGGTCAGTTCCTGACAACATTCGCTCCTACGCATTTGGCTTACAGTTTGTATTCCAGCGAACTCTTGGATTCATTCCCGGACCGATAATTTACGGTTGGTTGTTTGACACTCGCTGCCTCGTTTGGGCGGAAAGCTGCGGCAGAAGAGGCAATTGTCAGTTTTATGACGTACATAGTTTGTCCTATGGCATCATGCTTCTCGCCGGAAGTTCCCATGGTAATTTTGAAATAAGATTTTTGATACATTTCTATCTATTTATGTTTTATCTTTGGCATCCATCGGTCACGAGTGACCAAGGACCTCCGGTTCAGGTATATCGGAGCAGCGTCTAAGATGGATGTGCAGACCAGTGTGTCGAGAGTGACTGTTATTTCTACAGCCTCTGCACTTGCGCTCAGTGTCATGCGTCGTCGATCAATAAAGAGCTTCAACATCTCCCATTCTTCAACCACCCCCCCCCCTTCCCCCCACTCTACACACTAACCAAGCTTAAAAACGTAGACCTTGTTCACCTTTTCTTACGAGTCATTCACTCGCGAGAGTGAACTTTAACTTCAACCATAATTATAACTATCACTTCAGCAATTGTATTAAGATTTCACCGTAACTGTACTTCATTTTTCTTTCTGCAGTGTTGGCTTCTTTATTCTATTTCATTTCGTTTTGGTATTGTCGCAAACGAACTACTTCAGACGAAGCGAAGAGCGTCAGGAAAACGGTAGAATACGGCAAGAAATTAAATGATCAGGACACAAGTGTGTAAGGGAAGTCATGGGTTCCAAATCTGTTCTCGAATCCTTTTATAAAAAGTGATTAATGGACACAACTCTAATTCTCTTAGTGCTAGCTTCTTGGTGTCAACATTAACATTTTTATCATGGAGGGTGAGGTTTTTGGTCCATAGTATTAATATAACGCAACCGGAAGAATGGTTAACTGATTCATACAATAATAGTAATACGCATAATACAGTAATAGTAATACACGTTATAGAATATACAATCAGAACACGGATAATAAAAATGTTGGAAATTCTTAAATTGTGACATAGACCCATACCCCAATCTTACTTAAATTGTCACCGCAACTAGTGGAGGATGGTTTTTACGGCAAAAGATCATGATCGGTTCATATTCTCTTGTTTTACGGCTTATGGTTAATATTCTTTCCATTATGGTCACCAGAAAAAAAATTTACGGATAATTTTTTTTTACGATGAACGGTTAATTTTTGTCAATTTTTACGCCTTACGACTGAATTTTTCGGCCGTTTCTCGGCTTATGGTTGACCCCATCGAGACCCTCCCAGTTACAGAGGCCGGCTTATATAGACAGTCTGACCGTCACATTGGTTACTTAATTAAGTACAGATTTTTTCGACAAAGACTCTCCCGTCATTTCAATTTCGTTTTTAGTTTGGTCTTCGTTTACATCATCTTCATCGTAGCTTGATTTGCAAAACCAAAAGCTCAGGAAAAAGAATAACACAGCCAGACCTGAGAATTAAGAACGAAACAATAGTTAGACGAATTTAACACTTGAAGGAAAAACAGGTGTTTTAAGGCAGGCTTTAACAAAGGACAAATTTGGTCTCTTGAGTGCATTCAGATGTCAAACTTTCCCTACTTCGATACGACTTGTTGTAAGCTTTAGAATTACTCTCAGTTGCTATCGGCATTAAAAAGGGAAAAATAATAAACTACATATTCGCCTGTTACAGATATTTAAGTAAAGAATACTTGTGAGCTACAATCATGAAATTTCGATTAAAAAAAACTTGAAAGAAATACAGGCTTCGACGGAATGTGAACTCACGCCACCCATATACTAGTTGGACTACCAAGCCACATGTTGTATTTACCGTTGCATTGGTTGCTCGTGACAGCGAAAGGCTTATGGCTCCTACGAAGCACCGACCCAGGTTTCTCTGAAAGTGCCTTGTTTCCCCAAAAAATTTGCCTTCTGCCTTACTTTTTATTGGGTTTAGTGTTATTAACCTCTGATACCCCCAAGTTTCACATCTTGAAGGTGTTTTCCATAAGACTGCAAAGAATCCGGAATAGTTATGGTAATGCAAAAGTTTGAGAAAGGGCAAAGGTAAGGAATGTCATCCTTGGTGGAGGAATTCTTGGTTGGGTGGCGAAAGGTTTAAAGTTGCTTGTTTGATACAAAGTAGGTTAATGCGCATACAATTACAAATACTACGTAATAATGTACTATGCTTTTTATCTTCCATAATTGAATAAATCAGAAGCTGTCCTGTATTTACTCGATCGATGATGGCAGTAACAATGGCCTCGCTGACTGAAACCTTACCTTTCATAATACATCCCAAAACTGTTATTGCTAACGACAGCTTCTTGATATCGTATATTTGACATCGACCTCGTTTTCCGCAGCTTTCTCCCCAGAGAAGGCAAAGATAGTCAAATATCCAACCAGTCACAACGGGTCCTGGCATAAAGCCAAGAGAACGCTGGAAAATAAACTGGAAACCCAGGGAGTAGGATCTTTGATTATCCGGTACACATCTGTGGAGAGAAAAATAGAAAAGTCCATTGATGTGAGATAGCCTTAAACGCTTTTGAAACTTCGTGAATGCCTCCGGCTTTACGATCACTTCCAACTATTAACGTTTTTTTCAAGAAAATCCATCAATGTGTTATGAAGAAGAGCGTCACCAATTTCTGGAAATGTCTTTCACGAAGGCAGTGAATCAATGATGTATACTATGATAATCTCGTCTTGTTCATTGGCAATGTTGAAAACACTGAGATCGTAATACATCCGAGTGGAGAATTCCCTGTAATCAGTCTAATAAGACTACTCCCTGTGTATAATTAACCGCAAATCTACTCTCATAGACGTTTATTTGGTTCTGATGTAACTCTTATTCCCAACGAGTGGAGGCGCAGCTGCACCTCCGTGTAAATCAGTCAAATCTGATAGTCAGGGGACTATTCGCAGTGATTCGTCGGCGAATCTAGCAGTGTTAGAGACATTTTCCGTGAAAGGAAACATTTTCTTACCGTAGAGCGACGGTTTTGCTTGGTATTGCCGTTAGGAAAACGGCTAAGATTAGCAAACAAGAAACTAAGAGGAAATACAGAAAATTCTTGCAGCCTGGTCCTCGGTCGCAGTAGCGTTTGGCGGCTGTTACTTCGGTCCCGTTCCCAATAGGAGGCATACAACTACACTGGTATGCCTGAAAAAATTATTAATCTATTGTTAATACTGAACGGAAAGTTGTGAATTTTGTTGAAGCTGAGTAGCTTCACAAAGTACAGCGATCATGTTGTAACCTAATTTTTTTAAACTGAGATTACCTCGCAGTTCCTAAGGTAAACGCAATGCTGAACCGATCAGAGCGCGAAATCCCTTTTCCCTTAGAGACTATTACAACAAACATGTGTGAATTTCATACCTTAGATCCTTCCACTTTTGAACATCCAGCGTGGCAAGGCGAAAAATAACTCAAGTTATCCTCTCCGCACACGGGATCAATATTTGCGATCGAGCAACTACAGTTTGCATTGCATGGGGCTGTTACACTTCCGATTTGTGACTGGCTATTCGTGATAAACGAAAAGGTAAAGATCAAACCATTAGAGCCCCAACGATGTCAAGGACGGAGGTGAAAAAAAGCTTCTTCTTATGTAGAATGAAACACCTTAGTTGGGTGGTGTATACTTTTTGGCCCGTGGCCCCACCCAGTATAAATATAAAATAGGATTCTACTTAGTTCTACCACGACATTCATATGAAATTCTGGCCTTATTGGGATATTTTAAATTATCATTCCCACCAATACTGAAAAAACTTTCATCCTGATTTATTCATTGCAGGAAAAGCACAAAATCAAAAGTAGCTGCAATTTTCCAAGCTTATCCAATTCTTTTGACTAAAGTTCCTCTGGTTTTGCAAGTATAGTGATGCACCAGAATACTGACATGTCACCAACGCCATTTGCTTATACTCCTGAGAGTCGAGGTGTGCCTCTATAGATCACTTTAAAATTTTTTACCGAGAATGACAGAAATTTTCCACACCTTTTGTAATAGGGTTTGGTGATACCCGCCAATTCGATCTGATTGCATCCCGGGATGATAAAAGTTGCTGCTGTCCATACAGTAAAAAGTTGAAGAAAAAGGCAGCACATTGCTGACAGTCGGCACGACTTCTTCAAATTAAACCGCCTAACAATGACACCACTCAAAAAAATACCACCTGAAAGAAAAGTTAAATAGACATACGTATTAATCAAGAGACGATCAAGCTAAGAGACTCTTCCTAAAGGCCTCCTTCCAAGAGAAATCACTCTGAAGTTATTTTAGACCCATCGTATTTGTCTTCGACCGGGAGTATTATTAAATGCACGTTGTACGCTGAGTGAAAAGTTCGGAGAACTAGCATAACAGACACTGAATACGATGACCTTGTAAGCACGGTTCTCTTAGAACTCCAAGAGCACGAGACAGGCAAACAAAGGGATAGCAAAAAAGACAAGAAATTTTAACCACCTGTGGCACCTACAAGGAACACTACCCCAAGAGTAACACCAGCCAAGCCTGGGTTCGGATTAAATTTCAACTCGGCGAACTTGCTGATAAAGGCTCCCAATCCGGCCCCGAAAAACGATGCTGCAGTTGTGGCCATAGTGTTAAACATGTACGTTGGATTCTTCAAGAGCTTGATGGTGGCTGGCACGATATCTTTTAAACTGCCTTGTAATCTGTGATCACTTTTTGGCAAGTTTCCTTCTTCAATGGCTTTATCGCGCATCTCTTTTGATCCTGGTAATTCACGAGGAAATCCAAGGATTACAATAGCGCAGACAAAAATCACCACACCGGTTGCAATGTATGCTAACCACCAGGCCCCAATCCACTGTGGGTGTCTTGAGGTTAAATTAGCTCCTTCAGGCTATTGTTTAAACAAAGTATACATGTTAGTAAAAGAGAGCATCATGTTCAGCTCTGAAAATCACTTCAAATACTCTCTATGTCGGAACTAATCCAAAATTCATTTGAACGATCCCTACCACTTCTAATCCCACAAATAGATAGCTATAGACAAAATTTTTCAGAAATTAAAATAGTTACTAAGCCAAAGTGAGTGATTTCATAGACAAAAGGACCAGTCATTATCATCACCTGGGGGGTTGGGGTCGAAGAATTCTGGGGGGATTGTACAGTTTTCAGGGGAGAGCGGAGGGGGAATCAGTAGGGGAAGGGGTACTGCAGAAAACTGACTCCCCATGAAGGGGGATCAGAAGTATATTACGGAGTGTTATTGGGGGATCCGGTAAATGTTATTGTTTCACAGCCAACAAAAGGCAGCTTTAGTGATAGTTATTCTTATAATACTGAATTAATTATTAGCTAGTTTAGCTAGGAAGAATAAGATATTTTTTAATCTTAGATTGTGCTGATTGATTATACGGTGTACAAATAGAGATATCTAACCAAATCCTCCGACCCCCAACCCTCCCCTCCCAGGTGAGAAAAAATGATCGCTTTTTAACCTGTTTTATGTCTACGTAGACATTGTTCAGAATCGGTCCTCCAACCACAAATCCAAGCCCACTGCCTGCCACTGCACCCGCGAAAAATATACCGAGGTATATTGGCGATGCTTTAGGATGAACATTTTCGTCAATGTAGGCTGGTGCGAGTGAGTACAACGGCGTAGTGCCTGCACCCATGAGCAGTTGCGCCAGACAGAAAATAAACAGGTAGAACCTGTTTGACTCGTATCCGGAGAAACAGGCGTTACCAGTTGAGCTGTTGCTGTTCACCATACACTCTTCAACTCGTCTGTAAATGTCTGTGGTGTTTATCACGACAGGTTTGTACGGACTAGTTAAGGCATGAGGAAGGAAAAATACAAAACAACCAATACCTGCGGATAACCATAGCACCATTGCAAGGATATCAGTATCTGGCCATATCAGTATCAAAGCCCCCCACACACATGGAAAGACAAAGTAATTTTGGTTCACACTTTGGCGAAAAGCACACATAGGCGCAAGAACTGGCATAAGCTCAAGCGTAAAACAAAAAAAGTGCTGAAACATTAAAGTTTTTTGAGACAGATTTCTTTTGTTACCGGGGAACAAGAAACTCATAAGTTAGCTTCGCAACCAAACATGTGGCTTCGACGCTTCGTAGCTCAGTTATAAGTGACACCCATATTCAAGAGACAAGGGGTTTACTGTTGGTCAAAGGTTGAACTTTATTCAGCCTTCTTTATCTGCATCGACCATAATGGCAGTCACTTGTGAAAATCAAATCATGCTCTGGTATTCAGCTATCCAAAGGTCAATACATGATTTATGTTATATTCATTACCGACTTTGGTCAGAGCTAAAAAAGCTCCCCATAGAAATGTCACCACTATCTGCAAAACTTGTTTAAAGAAGTCTAACTTGGTTAAAAATCCTTCTGCATCAGTATACATAAGCGTTCAAGTCCCACAGATTGCTAACCCTCTAATTCTCATGAATGACCAAGAGAGAATTTCTCATCATAGTGTCAATGCAATATCAAGCGGACAAGGGTTGAGAATAAAGAAAAATAGCGATTAGGGGATTTTTAGTTGATCCAATACCAAATTCTCCAACCTAACATCATAAGAATTATATGACAGATAGGAAGGAGAATTACTGATGAGATCTTGGGAGTGAAAGAGTTAATGAGAATATCAAAAGAAACTGTTATATTCAATCAAACCTGTGACAAGTGTTCCATATCCCAGCCATCTAATCTTGTTTCCAAATTCACCGTAAAAACTGACAAAGCAGACAAGTACGATGGCAGATATGTCGTTGGAAGCAGCAATGATTCCAAGATCTTTGCTATTGAGCTGAAACCGTTTCTCTAACGTGGGCAGATTTATGGCTGTTATTCCATTTACCGTCATGCCTGTTGTAATAACGATTGCACAAAATTAACTGATGATACACCGAGTTCATGTTTGTCCATTTTTTAACAAACTCTCCTGGTCAGAAACCCATTGTATAGTAAATAAAAGAAAAGGAGCATGCGTACTTCCTGATAAGAACAAACTAGCTCAACTACCAAATCAGGAAAACAAATCTCACTGTTAACTAACTTTGCACAGTCGCAAGTATGGCGACCACGAAGAGGAAACATTTGGAGTTATTAGCAGTCTGGAGCCATCCTGGCTTAAATGAAAACCAGCCGTATTTCAGATCTTCCCTCGCAATCGTAGCCATGTCCTAGAAGATAAATCAGAAATCAGCAAAAACTACCATATGACAAGGATAACCAACCTTGCCCGTGACTTACTCTGGGTTTCATTTGTGTGACAAAGTAATCCGGGATTGCTTTAGTTTTACTTAACTTGCTCTGTGATTGGTCCAGAAAACGTGCGCCATACTCTCAACCAATCAGATGCAAAACTAAAAACAATCGCGATTTGATCACCACGTTTCCCGCGCTTCAAGCAGCTTGCTTGTTTTTACGTTGAGTTCTTATTGGCTAATGATAATTTAAACCTTTATTCTGATAGGTCGTCGGGATTATGTTGGTTTTGGTTTCACGAAATCTGCTCTGTACGTAATCCACAATTTGCTTTCGCACGAATGAAAAGTAATCGAGGAAAATTTGTAAGTAATGATATAAATCTTAAGCTAGAGCATCCGAAAAAACAAATACTTGCTATATGTTATGAGTCTTCCTTTTTTCTTTCCATGATCTCGAGGCTTGATTTGAACAAAAGTCGATCAATTTGAAAACTGTTTCTTCTTCCCTGTTTCTGATGTGATTACAAAAGGCAGTAATGCTTTTGTCCTCTTGGTGATTTCAATTCTATAGAGCAAATTTGAGGCACACTGCAATGACGAACTGAACAAAATAAAAATAATACAAATTTTTCACAAATTGGATTACCCTAACTTTACATTGCTAATGCAACAACCTACTTCTTCAGATTTTGCTTGTAATCAGTTTTTACGATAACTTCTGAAATATATGTTGAAGCATATGAGACGGTACATTTCTAAAAGATTGTATTTGTACGAATTGCGTTTCCTTGAGTTATTTTTATTATCACAGTGTGCCTTTTATCTTTAACCTAACAGCTACGTATCTAAATCGACCTCACACCGGAAGATGTTTGAATTAATTTGACAATACAGGCCCAGGCGAGAACCGATTGCAGGTGGTAAGTGCATTCCACGGCCGAAACAACATGCACTTGACGGTCATTGAGACTACTTTTATACATTTTGAAAACGATACTCTTTGACAGACGACTTGCTTTTCTTTGTTAGATCGTATTTCTTACGATAAGCTTTATTGTTCCCTTTTAGTTTCTGCGTTTTGTCGAGTTTCTTCTCCTCTGATCAGCGAGTTGTTTTCCGTACACGTGAGAATTTCATTTCTTCGCGAAGTTTACCGCTAAGAAAACGTACATCCTTAGACTCTAATGTTGCGGTCACGTATTGCTTTTTCGTGACCTAACGGGTCAAGTTAGCACTCTGTCCTCGTCTTCTTGTATCGTTTTTCTTTGTGTGAAATAATGATATTCATCATGTTCCTATTTGGCGGTGCATTAACCCATAGAGCTTATATCTTTTTTTGTCGGCCAAAAGTTAGGTAATCTGTTTTTGAATGTATACCATACATCATTCGCTTAATATGAACGCAGTTTATTAAAAAAAACAGAATCGAGAACACAAATGTCAATAGAAAGACATGCTTTAACAGTTTTTCAAAAGGAAACGTTTCAAGTATCACGCATTAACTACACTTGATAAACCTGATCTCAAACAGAATAAATCATTCAGGTAAAATATTACGACTGTTATCCTCAAAGAATATGAAAGCTAGGCTTTATAGTGATGCATGCAACCTAAAATTACTGAGTGCTCATTTATAGTATTTTTCCTTTTAAGGAACATGATTGTGCCTGAACCGTTAAAGCAGCCGGAGATTTATCGTGGCACTCCTGAATATAGAATAAACCACAGATTAATTTGTTCCAGGTACACCCTCTTGACTTGCAAGCAGAATATTTTAGGAAGTGCATGATCATGTGGCAACAAGCCGGAATATTTACCTGGATGGTGACTTTACTCCGGACGGGTCAGTGATATCGTACTATAACAGACCAAATAACCACCGAGCTTCCGGCGAATCTGACTGTGGGTCGGTATTACGTGGAATGAGTACGTGCACTGCACGCAAGCAGGACTTGATAGACTTGATATGCCTATATATGGGAGATGCTCAATCAACGTGGGGTATTTCGTGTTTGTGGGAAGCTTAACGAAAAAGAAAAACACTTCTTAATCACCTCGTGATAACAGGATGTCAGTTAACAAACTTGGCAAAAATTCAGTTTCAAAGGAGTTACGTTTCAGCAAGTTGTCCTCCTGCGAGAAGCAAAATTGCCTTAAACATGGAGGAAAACCAAACAATACTAATTAAGGAAAATAGGAAAATAGGAAAATTAGGAAAATAGGCCAAAATGAGTAGGGGTGGTTGTGGATGGAAAATATTAAGGATTGCTGACGAAAAACTGTCGATCCGTTTTTCAGCCATCTTAAATGATGGAATTTCGAATCTCGTCATTTTCAAATTTCAATTCAAAACCCGTTTCTTTTTTAGCTCGCATGTTACCATCTAATTTGGGATAGTTCCGTTTGATTTCTCTCGGTTTCGTCTGATTTTGGACAAGTTTCAATTACACATTAAGATCAACTCAAGTTGCGTTTAAGTTTTCATCATCATTTCAACTCGACGGTTTCGCCTGGTTTTGGAAGGCTGCGTCCGATTACGAATTGTTCTATCCATTTTCGAAGATTCTGTTAAATTTCGGACGGTCCCAAAGGCATATCAACAGCTCTGTATAAGCCGCCCTGGATTTGACCCTCTTCAGAGAGGGTGACGATCTGCCTCCCAGCATTCCATGCAAGACTAACACAGAACATGGCCGTGCGATTTATTGTATTTCGGATTGTTGGATTGTTTTCTTTCTTTGTTATTTTCTGGTTGGATTTTCCTTTGTTTATGCTCGGAAATTAGAAATTTGGTCATTTCTGAACGCTTTCATCGCAGCTGGAAGAGTGAACTCGACGTGGAGACAAACCAAAGCTGTTTGGATCTTGGATCGTAGTCATGATTGTGGAAATCTCAGCTTTGCCTTTGAGTCCTAGTAAGTGAATATATTGATGAGCTAAAAAGTCAAAAAGGAAGCTTTTAGGCAATATTTTGTCCAAAAAAATTTAACTGATGTTAACTTCTAAATCTAGGATGTTTTGCATCCCCGTTTGTTTTGGTCAAATCCGCGGGAAGTTTAAAATCCAGGCAAGCTACCATTTGTGATTTCAAGTTTAAAGGTCGTTAACAGGAATTATAATTGATTAAGCTCCCACGCTCTAATAAGCGTCTTCCCCTTAATAGGCGCCCACCCCCTAGGCCATTATGTTGGTAGAATGTTGAATGGCAACTAAGTAATTTCCTGCTGAAAATGAATTTTCAAAATGAATGCTTTAACCCTGCAAAGTTTGAATAGCCAATTATAACATGTTACCATAGATGACTTTAGAAGTTCTTTCTGCAGCAAAACATCCCAGTTCTTGAATTTCAATTGCATATACATCTCCTGATTTCAGTTGTATGTGGTAATCTTTCCTATCTGTCTGTGAATAAAAGTAGACTGTGAATGGAGAAAGATAAAAAGGATTAAAGTCCTGAATGAAAGTAAAAAGGAATGTCCAGAAAATCTCATCCAAACAGATAAGATCTTGTGGTCAAGATCTTCACTGCTTACACTTGACCAACAACTCAGTGTGCTTAAACTGCCTTTTAATTAATTTAAAGAAACCCAAGCATCAAAATTGCTGTAGAGGGAATTGAAATAAGGTCAGTCATGGGCAAGAGATGACTTTGCTGAGAGTCCCCTGAGACTCAGCAGGAGACCTTTGTGTTTCTACTTGCAGTTTACTAGGTCTGATTTTTGCAGGATAGCACCTTTCAATTGATTTAGTTAATGTTGATATAGTTTATAGTGGTTACACTTCGAATAACACATCAACAATTTTTTTGCAAAGGATGCTTGTAAAGATCTACCATATCCTTTTATCAATCTTAAGTTCACTTAAGTCACTATTCCCCTGAAGCACTGCTTGTTTCTCTCTTCGTGAAAAGTACAAAATGCACTTAGTTTCTTGTGGTGAATCACATGTATACAAATACAGTTAGAAAGCTGAAGTCAACTTGTACAATCTAAAAGTTGTTATGATCAGAGACTGTTTTCAAACAACAATTCCTATGTCAAGACAGTTATACTACCAATTTTACCAATTGAAGTTAAAGAAACAAATTTTGGTGTTGGACTCAGCACCAAATTGTCTTTAGATGGATCAGAAATTACTCAAACAAGCCTGGTTTCGCGGCAGTTTTTGGACAGGGATGAGTTATAGTTTGAAGGATAGTGTTTATGGTTGTGTAAAAATTACTCATGTAGGCTCTTCACTTCTCTTTTAGAATTCTTGTTATGAAAACTTTAAAACTAATTTTTGTTCCTCTTTTAGGTGGAATGAAGAGTGCAATGATGGAAAAGCCAGGTATTATGGTGAATGGACAACATCAGCAATGAATCAGAATGTGGTGTTTTTTAGTAAGGTGACAAATCATGTTTTAATGTTTGAATTATAGATAATTATAATCAAAGAAAGATGCATTGGAAACAATAGTAGACAAAACTTTGCAGACTTGTCATGAAAACAATTTTAGAGAATTACCTGTTTTTTAAAATTTGAAATTACTGCTGCTTACAGATGACATGTAACTGCTAAAAAGTCTCTGCTACCAGTCTCTAATGCAGTATAGGAAGCTGGGAAGTTCAACTGCCATTAAGTGATGGTGTGACTGACTTCATGTAATTGACTGACTTAAAGAGGTGTACATGAATTCACAGCTTGTGGATTTGAAAGCTGGCTAGGTGACTGACTGTTTGGCTGAATGATGCATGAACTTTTTGACTGACTAGTACTAAGTTGCAGACCATATGAGTGACTGATTAATGATGGACCAAGTGATGACTAAAAAATTTACTGACTGTCTGATCAAGTGAATGACAGGTGAACTGACTCACTGATTGCCCTAGTTTCCAGCCATTTATCCGCACAGTTAAGATTACTAGCACTGGCCTATAAGAGTAAAAAGAAATTCTAACTAACTGAATAGTTGACCAACAATAAATTATTGTTAAACTGATTAGATAACCAGGTAATTGGCTAATTGTGTTAACTGACTGTCTAATTAAAATTCAGGGATTCATTAACTGACTCATCAACCAACTTACCGATTGATTAGCTGACCGGACCCCAGACCGGACCCCAGACCGGACCAACACTCAGGGTCTTAAAATAACTGAGGAGAATGTGCTGCCTTTGTAATTGTACCAGCAAATGGTTAGACATTCAAGTCTTCTCAGATAAGGACTATAAACCGTAGGCCCCGTCTCCTGCATCTTCAGTGTTACATGGTCAGCAGGGGACGTTAAAGAACCCACACACTTGTCGAAAAGAGTAGGGGGCGTAGTTCCCGGTGTGGTGGTCTATCTGTTGTTTCATTGTACATTTCATGCATGGGCTGGGTGGGTGAGTGAGATCAAATATGGACTGATAGCGGCAGCCAGAGGCGCCTTTACAAGCTGACGTTCGATCTCACTCAATTAGAATTGTAAACCGCCTTGAGACAGTATGTGATATGTGCGGTATATAAATACACATTCATTCATTCATTCATTCATAGCTGACTTAGCGAGTGACTGACCATCTGATAGACTGATTGTCTGAGTAGGGACTGATAAAGGGATGGACTGACTGATTTGGAAATCAATGAACTTGTGAATAGACTGACTGACTGAATAACTGACTGACCAACTAACAGACTGACTGGCTTCTGGACAGAATGATACACTGACTGTTTGACTAACATGTGGACTTAGTGACTGACTGAATGAGTGACTGTCCAATAACAGACTAAGCAATGTATTGACTTTTTGACTGTCTGTCTGATCAATTGACTGAAAGGTGATGTGACTTGCTGACTGAATATGTGACTCTTGACAGAATGGATGGCTGGATGATTGATCAGAAAAGCAACTGGTGCTCTCACTGAAGGAGTGACTTACTGAATGACCAATCCTAGGACTTGTGGACTGACTGGTTGATTGAATCAGTGACACCCAATGCCTGAATCACTGTTGGACTAACTAAATAATTAACTGTGTGATTGAGGGACTGACTTAAATGATGGAAAAACTGATAAATGAATCAACTGACTTGTGAATAGAAAGGCTGATCAAATAACTTACTGACTAGCTGACAGACAGATGGCCAGACTGACAGACTAATGAGCAGACTTACCAACCAATCAACTGACTAATGAAGTGACTGGTGGACTGACTGACCAACTAACAGACTAATTCACTGATTGATCGATTTACGGATTATGAGACTGATTAATTGCTTTTTTGTATATCCAGAAAAATTCATCTTCATCATTGAATTATTGTTGACTTATAAATAAATTTAAGAGAGTTGCAGATTAAAATTCTGTAGATTACAAACTGCAATTTGAATGATGCAAAGTTTGGCCCAAGCTCCAGATTATTCCTCTTTGGAAGCATAACAAATTGAGGATTATGATTCCATTTATCTACATGAAAGCAATCTTTTTCATTGAAAGATTGTAATTTGACAAGAAACTTATGACTGAGTGATCTGAATCTGTTTTCAATGTTACTTTTTGCTACACTGATCCTATGATTGGCTGACTTTCAGTAATTGTTATTGAATCAAATCGTTAATTTTCAAACTTACGATAGTACTTTTTAAACACTTGTTGAAGTAACTTGTTGCTGTCACTCACATAATTATTCATGAAGAGTCAACCAGTAAGATGAAGTTAATTTGCACAGTTCTAAAGTTGTTGTGCTTGAAGACTTGGCCAAGAACAAAATATAATGAGAAAAAAGTACTGTCCCAATACTAGGTAATTTTTCCTTGGGTTGTGGGGTTCTTTTTCATTCTTTGGGGCAAATTTGAAATGGGTCAAAACCTACAATTACTCATGAGAGATGGTCTGATGGCCTGTACCTGACTGACTGACTGATCAATCAACTGACACATGGACTAACTGATGGAATGATCGGTACATTTATCTCTGATGCAAAGACTTCCAGGTCTCACAAAAAAGGAAATGCAAAGCAAAGCAGTGAGTGTGTTGAATGTTTAAGGCAATGGACTGTCTTAATGTCCTCTACAGCAAGTGGACTTTATACAAGAGAAGGGTGATTGAGAGTTGATCCATAAAGGAGTCCGTTTCACCCAACAAATCTCTCCCTTAGTCTTAATCTGAGATGTAAAGACTTGGTCCCAAAAAAACGAGGAAAAGGAAAAGCAGTGAGTGTTGAATGTTTTGGCCACTGGACTGTCTTAATGCGCTGAACAGTGAATGGACTTTGTACAAGAGTATGGGTGACTTTAGAGCTGATCCACAAAGGAGTCAGTTTCACCCAACAAATCTCTTCCTTAGTCTTAATCTGTGATGCAAAGACTTGGTCCCACAAAAAAGAGGAAAAGTAAGTGCAGTGAGTGTGTTGAATGTTTCGGCCACTGGACTGTCTTTATGTGCTGAACAGAGAGTGGACTTTGTACAAGAGTTATGGGTGACTGTAGAGCTGATCCACAAAGGAGTCAGTTTCACCCAACAAATCTCTTTCTTAGTCTTAATCTGTGATGCTAAGACTTGGTCCCACAAAAAGGAGGAAAAGTAAATGCAGTGAGTGTGTTGAATGTTTTGGCCACTGGACTGTCTTTATGTGCTGAACAGAGAGTGGACTTTGTACAAGAGTTATGGGTAACTGTAGAGCTGATCCACAAAGGAGTCAGTTTCACCCAACAAATCTCTTCCTTAGTCTTAATCTGTGATGCAAAGACTTGGTCCCACAAAAAATAGGAAAAGGAAATGCAGTGAGTGTGTTGAATGTTTCAGCCACTGGACTGTCTTTATGCACTGAACAGAGAGTGGACTTTGACATGAGGGATTTAAAGAGCTGACCCATAAAGGAGTCAGTTCCACACAAAAAAATCTCTTCCTTAGTCTTAATCTGTGATGCAAAAACTTGGTCCCACAAAAAAAGGAAATGCAGTGAGTGTGTTGAAAGTTTTGGCTACTGGACTGTTTTGATCACAGAGGCAGCTGTTGCTTAAGTAGAATGTTTTCTCTTCTTCAATCAAGCTTAACTCATGCAGCTTTGTAGGAAGAGAGTTGCTGTGGGTGAGTCTGAACATCAGTTAGTAATCCATGATAAAGCAGCTGACTGCTCTTGTAGTCTCTCACTAAAGGACTGATTTACTGACTTTTGTGGACCAAGTGATGTACTGAGTAACTGACTGACTCACTAACTCACTCACTCTCTGTGTGAATGACAGACAGACTGACTCACAGTGTGAATATCAAACTGACTGACCAACTGGCTGCATTGCTGGTTGGTTGCCTGACATTTGGACTGACTGGTCAGTTAACCAACTGGTGTACTGAGGGGCTAAGTTTCTAAAGACACTGTGGTGCTCTGTTGGTGGGGGAGTGTGACGAGATAATTTTGGTTTTATCAAATGAGTTGACAATGTAAATTGGCCACCGTAGAGAGTTTCTGGCATAGTCAGAGTGAATGATGAAGGGCTAACACTTGAAACATCAGCTTTGAAACTCTCTAAAGTGGCAAATTTACATTATCAACTCAACTGGTGTACTGTTTGGATGACTGGATGACTGATTAAATGACGTACTAAAATGAATGACCTATCAAGGGACATGTGGACTGAAGAGCTCACTGAATGATTGACTGACAGACTTTTTGAGTGATGGATACACCTAGTAGCTGGATGACTGACTGATTGATTAGTCAACTGACTGATGGAGTGGCTAGGTTACTTGATAACTGAGTGACTGCCCAGCTGGAAGGGTGGCCAGATGGCTGATTGACTAAGTCTGCATTTGATTGACTGAGTCTGCAACTGATCTATTGACCAATTTTTTGAGTGACTAACTGCTGCCTTGTTGGCCATCTGTGGACAGACTGGCCAATTGTCTCCCTGCTTCATGGAACAACAAACTGACGGAATGACTGACTGAATGACTGACTGACCAACCCACTGACAGATTGACTGACTTGTAATTGTCTGATACAATAACTGACTTTTCAACTGAATGATTTAACTTTTGGATGATAGGTTTAGAACTGAGTTATTGCCTCATCACTTGATTTTTTCTGACTGATTGACTGCAAACATCAACCATGTAATGGTGAAGAGTAGATAGGAGAATTTGATTAAGTAGAAAAATTGTTCGTTATTTGATAAGTTTTTACATTAGTCTGTTAATTACGTTCAATTTGAAAGTTAACCAGCCAGTCCATAGAGGGTGAGAAAGAGTTTATACGTAATACGCGATTAGGCCCAAAATTAATACGTGATGCATGAATTTTACAGTATTCCCTTTCGAATTCGTGGAGCGTGAAATACTGTTTAAAGTACACGTGACAACCCCCTCCCCCTCCCCCTCCCCCCTTACTATCCTCTCCATAGGTAAGTAACTTAAGCATAGTGAAAGGAAAAGAAAGAAAACGGCAGAAAAAATGACAATGTATAGTTTTAAGAGTGACGGACAGATGAATCTACGAGAATTAACTTAAATATTAGCCATTTAGAAACGCCTCTGTAGATCAATAGATATTTTATCTATTGCTAGGATTTGAAAATTTTCAAGGGGGTGGAGTGGGTGTAGGGAGGTGGGGTGAGGGAAGGGGGTGGGACAATTGTCAAGGGTAGTAGCATGGAGTACAGTTGGAGACTTATATAGTTTAGAGACTGGGTTATGTTTGTTTGAATTCCCCTTCTTTGTTATCATTTTATTTCCCTGTTGTAGATCTAGCAAATAATTGCCGTGAAGTACAAGGTGCAGCAGTCTAGTCAATTTATTAATTTTTTTTGCTCTCGAATTATTTTTTTGCAGATAAACAATTTTTCTTTGAAGACTGCAGTCATGAGGAATTGTTAGCGACGTGAACGTGTATTTGGAAGTTTCGAGCCAATTGAGTTGATGTTGTGGAACTTGTGATTACAGGTGAGAAATTTATGCATCTCTTATGTTTCATTAAGAAAACCAACATCTTCGCTTTGAAACACTTGATAGAGAATTAGTCCTTCGGCGAGATCGCGTTTTGATCATAACTGTGAAGTTAGGACGTTCCAGCTAATGAGAAGTTGATCTTAGCCCTTGTACTAAGTCAAAGTCGAACGACGAAATGTCTTTGAAAAGGTAAAAATAATCCTCCTGTTTGGCTTCGATGAAAGTCGTTGGAATTTTATCTTCCTGATTTTTTGCGTTAGTTTTTTGTCCAACCAGTTCCTCAGGAGCATGTTTTTGGTTTTTTCTTTTCTCTGTTTAAAATTTGTGGTTCAAATGAATAATTGTAATTCGATTTAAACAAATTCGTATCATGTGAATTTCACGCTATCCGACGACGACGGAAAAACACACAAAAAGATAAGAGAGAAATTAGATAAAATTCAGGAAAACTGTACATTTATTGCCTTTTGGTTGAGGATCATCCTCTCATCTACTTTACAAAAGTAGCTCTAATTTTATCAAACGTTGACTCAAATCCCTTCATTCTGGGTTTTACTGTTCTTATGATTTGACTTAGTGTGTTTATTACATGTAGTTTGTTGCCTTCTGAATAAAGTTTTCTTCTTTTACTTTTAGGAACTTCAAGTAAGTTTTGCAGCAAGGAACACAGACGTTAGTTCCCATTGTGATACGTTACAAAAAAATAAAGCATTACAAACTGTTGTTATTTAATCTTTTTAAATCACTGGAGGAACAAAAAAAATGTTAAAAATGTCCCGTCCACCATCCCCCACCACACCCACCTCTTAAAGACAGTTTCTAAGTCTTCATAGACGTTGTCTACCTTGTGGTAGTAACGTTTATTTCAAACGCATGCTTTTTAGATAACTAAATGTCTGTCTAAAGAAACATGCGTATTAGACAGATGTTGTTACCACAAGGTAGACAACTGTCATCATAACTTAAAAAATTGTTTATAAGAGGCGGGTGTGGTGGGGGACGGTGGCGGATCGACCCCCGATTTTTCGTTCTTTCTGAGGATGACAATTTTTTTTCTTGATATGGCCATTTTTCATGAAATCTGTAAAAAGATGGAGAAAGAACTAAAGATGAGCCACAATGCATCGTTAATACATAATATAACAGCAATACACATGCGTTTAAACTGAGCCTCATAAGTACTAGATTCCTCATACATAAAAAAATGTATCAAAAGCTATGACAAGAGGAAGAACAAATTAAACCGTACAATGTCTCAGTCCAAAGTCCGCGAAAGAAGAGTGTTCACCTTATTAGGTCGTTTCCATTCAACTATAATTAAACTTACCACTTATCTCCCTGGACATTCTTTTTAAACTTGTAATCTCCGCCGTACCTGAGTAAAGAAAAATACGTCCAACTTGTATAAAAACACAAAACGGTACGTTGTAGATGCAAAAGAAGACACAAAAGACAAAAACTAAGAAAATATGCCCAAATACGTTACAGGTGGCTTTGACACAACAAAAACCAAACAATCTATTGGTGATATTTCCATGTTTTTACTTTAAATAGCTGGAAAATTCTGAACGGGATTTGAATCCTACATGAATTAAAAAGCTCTAATTTTATTCATCTTCCCTACATACCAATATGCCGTGCGAGACTAACAAATTTCAATGAGCAGACAGTTGTGATTTTAAGCGTCCTAATTATCTCTCTCTTTTCATCGTTTATAGGATCTGTAGTTGTTTTGCACTGATTCCACGAATATGCTAGGTTCCCAAAATTTGATTCAGCGATTTTCTCTGGAAATCTTCCCGCTCAATTTAAACTGGCAAACTTACCGAATATTTCGGATGTTGAAAGAAATCATCACAGTAACTTGCAAGTCGGTACCAGCATCCTTTCTGACCAGCTCTCCAACTAAGTAATAGGTTTTACCTGAATAACAAAAAAATAATAGGGTAAACGAAAAGTGAGCTAAAACTCAACCTAAACGATGGTTATCAGCTGCAAGAAAATATCTATCAATCGTAAACTGCAAAAATGGTCTGTAATGAATGATAATGCTTTCCCGTACTACGTTAACTGGTAGGGGACAACCTTGTCCTACTGTAAATTTACCTGCCTTTAGCAAATTGTCAAATAATAAATATCTGCCGTTTTCAGTAAAAATTTTCTTTATCTTGGCAACGGATCTATATAGCGTATGTCTCAACCACACTAAAGGAGATAAAAAGTCAGATCTTCCCTAAAGAAGCTAATCATTATTACAATTTCATCGATTGTGATTGGTTTAAAAAACTCCTATTTCCCACGAATTCAACTGCTATTATCACACAGTTTGTTATTGGACAGTTCAATAAGCCAATCACATACAAAGTTGTAGTTTAAATCAACCTATCAATTTTAGAGCGACATTAAACAATTTACGCCTCCTTTGTCAGTCTTTTACTGCAGAGTTTCCTTTGTTCATAACCTGGCTATTCTTCTTTACTTGGAAATTGTAATTTTTATGATTAAGTGGCACTAAGACTTCGTGTCGTCCAATTCGATCAGTAATGATACTCGCGAGAAAAAAATCGGACTCCCGCTACGCGGGCGTCGAGTTTGTTATAACTCGTATGATTACAGACCAAATTGAACTCTACTCAGTCCTGTTACCATTATTTATTCATCAATAAGCGACAGTAGCGACAGGAAGACGCTATCTCGAATCAACTCATAATCCACATCCAAAATCACAAAAAAAAAACATTTCAGTGATGGAATATTTTGGTACTGTTGTATGAAGTACTGTAAAAACGAATGGGAAATGATATTAACATCATGGAAAAATAAAACTATCTTCTCTGGAATTCCATACTATCTTTTAAAAACGGCCGTGAATCAATTACCGTTTCTTGATAAATTTTGCCTTCAATTTCTCTGAAACCTGGCTTAGTCTTCTTTAGCCTTTTCTATCGTTGTTTCTAATTGGTTGGCATTCATCACTTCAAATAAGTAGTATGTTTGGTGTCTGTCTGAGCTATTCAAGTGAAATTCTGTCGTTTCGAGCAAATTAGAGACAATTTTGTGCCCCACAGAAACACGATTCAAAATACTATGACGATGCTCCTTGATTTAAATTGTAGCAGAGGCGATCCATTAATGGAACTCGCTGAAAAAAATGAACCCAAGGGAAGGCACCTCCAAGTACTTTGTTGGTGGAAGTGAATTAAGTTGACTTTGCGAAGACTGAGGTGGTGCATTTTTCGTATAACAACGACAAAGTTGAGTGGAATGTGAAAATATACGATCCCCGAAAAACACAGCTGATCATTGGCAAATCCTTCAAAACTCCCTACAGCTGTAGCTCTATCAATTACTCTTTATCTTAATCGCCTGGTGTGTCAGCGGTCTGTAGCAGTGCGTGACCTTTCAGGTAGTGTAATCAATGAGGAATACGAAGGTAAAGTAAGCCTCATAAAAATACGAGATCTGTTTCTGGAAACATTAATTCGAGCAGCCCAAAAAATATTCTTTCAATATGACGGAAAATAGTTTTGTGTAACTAACACGAGGAAAGTAAAGCATCACTCGTACAAAAGTAGCGCCGCTGTTTGGTTTTTCGCTTGTAAGCATCATTCTACGATGTGAAATTTTTCCCCTAAGCCATTTGCTTATGAAAGTAAATTACCCCAAAAACTCCTCCATATTTATAAGTCAACACTAGTATTCCGCTGGTTTAAATTCCTCACCCTACCCAGGCAAGGTTCGAATTCCCCACATCCGGAACATGGACAACAGTCAAGTGCCCGTGGGTTGCCGTGGAGGATGTTGAAGCTTCAAACTGATCGGAACCTAAATTAGGACTAGTTAAGCCTTAGTTAATGTTTCCTAGATTTTGGTCAGTTCCAGGGGCAATTACCAAAAATTAATGAAAAATGCCCACTGTCACAGCTAATCAGCATTTAGTAATTTTGCCCTCTACACCTGTTTGTTATAAAGTCAAAAATAAGAAGTAACCTGACAAATACTTACCATTAGCATCACACGAAGTCCATCAGGGTCCCCTTGTCCGCTGAAGATTGAATACAAGCGATATTCGCATTCTTGCTTTCTCTGTGTAAAGATTGCAAAAAACAAAAAGTAACCAGAAATACCTTTTTTCAGAGAAAATCGTAAATCAGTCTATAAGCATTAACGTATAAAGCAATGTTTAAAATGAGTTATCTTCAAATCTTTTTTGTAGTTTTTTTTGGTGAAACTAACTTTTTTGAAGGTCAGCTCATAGTCACCTACAGTGTAGTACAAAGTTTACTCTCTGTTCAGCGCATAAAGACAGTCCAGTGGCCAAAACATTCAACACACTCACTGCATTTCCTTTTCCTCTTTTTTGTGGGACCAAGTCTTTGCATCACAGACTAAGACTAAGGAAGAGATTTGTTGAGTGGCTGTGAGTCTGACTCCTTAGTGCGTCAGCTCTTAATCACCCATCTCTTGTACAAAGTCCACTCTCTGTTCAGAGCATAAAGACAGTCCAATGGCCAAAACATTCAACTCACTCACTGCATTTCCTTTTCCTCTTTTTTGTGGGACCAAGTCTTTGCATCACAGATTAAGACTAAGGAAGAGATTTGTTAAGTGAAACTGACTCCTTTGTGGATCAGCTCTAAAGTCACCCATTACTCTTGTACAAAGTCCACTCTCTGTTCAGCACATAAAGACAGTCCAGTGGCCAAAACATTCAACACACTCACTGCATTTACTTTTCCTCTTTTTTGTGGGACCAAGTCTTTGCATCACAGATTAAGACTAAGGAAGAGTTTTATTGGGTGAAACTGACTCCTTTATGGATCAGCTCCAAAGTCACCCATTACTCTTTTACAAAGTCCATTCACTGTTCAGCGCATTAAGACAGTCCAGTGGCCAAAACATTCAACACACTCACTGCATTTACTTTTCCTCTTTTTTGTGGGACCAAGTCTTTGCATCACAGATTAAGACTAAGGAAGAGATTTGTTGGGTGGCTGTGAGTCTGACTCCTTTGTGGATCAACTCTTAATCCCCCATCTCTTATACAAAGTCCACTCTCTGTTCAGCGTACAAAGACAGTCCAGTGGCCGAAACATTCAACACACTCACAGCTTTTCCTTTTCTTCTTTTTTGTGGGACCAAGTCTTTGCATCACAGACTAAGACTAAGGAAGAGATTTGTTGAGTGGCTGTGAGTCTGACTCCTTAGTGCATCAGCTCTTAATCCCCCATGTCTTGTACAAAGTCCACTCTCTGTTCAGCGCATAAAGACAGTCCAGTGGCCAAAAAATTCAGCACACTCATTGCACTTCCTTTTCTTCTTTTTTGTGGGACCAAGTCTTTACATCACAGATTAAGACTAAGAAAGAAATTTGTTGAGTGAAACTGACTCCTTGTGGATAATCAGCTCTTAGTCACCCATCTCTTGTACGAAGTCCACCCTCTGTTTAGCATATAAAGACAGTCCAGTGGCCAAAACATTCAACACACTCACAGCTTTTCCTTTTCCTCTTTTTTGTGGGACCAAGCCTTTGCATCACAGATTGAGACTAAGGAAGAGGTTTGTTGAGTAAAACTGACTCCTTTGTGGATGATCAGCTCTAATCCTTCCTTTCCCCCTTCCCCTTTCTCTCTCTACTGAAAAGTCCACTGACTACACAGGTTTCAAATGAACTGCTTAAAAACATACCAGCTGAGTTTTCAAAGAGACAAAAAGAGATTTGGAATTTTCAATTCTATGTAAAGAACACTTAATCCAGTAAAAACTTAGGTAAAAATACCTAAGGCAAACCAAAAATTTAAGTTTACTTTGAGTTGTCTAGCACAGAGTTTAAATGATACAATATACTGAATTTTTAAGAGTTGATTTGCATTCTAACTATTATTTTTTTTAGAGAAGATTGAGGGAGACTCAAATAGTTTAGAGGTACAGGCGCACTAAATTGGTTAAATGAATAAGTCAGCTTACAGTGTACAGGTGTATATAGCTACTGAAAGATCAACTCTGCTGACATGAACACTTGCAGCTTACAAACATATGTTCATACAAAATTGTAGGCTCCTTACTGTACTACAAATACATGTGTCATTCACCTGAGAAAAGTTTTTTTTCCTGAATGATGTTTATTCAATTTGTCCCTCTTTTGGTTCACAGTTTTCACAGAGTGTACATGTCTTCTGAAATTTGTTCATCAATACTTGAGGTGTACTGTTTTGGGTCTACATGTATACTTAGATAAGCAAATTGTTTCATTGCTTTGCAATTGAGTTCCAAGGTGACATATTTGTCATGGGACACTTCACAGAAGAGTTGTGCTCAAGCCATAACATGAACTTGCAGCACAAACAAATTGCTTTGACAAATGATTGTGCTTATCTTTCTGTTTTATTCCCTGCCCCCCCCCCCCTTAAAAAATTACCTTTAAATTCTGATTGACCAGTCCCACTCTGTAATAAACCCAGCTTTATCAAATACATAAAAAGATGCATCTATGTTGTTTGCTTCTACTTAAATAGGATGCACAAAGCAATTTGACACTAACAAAATACTTAACATTGGCACCATATAAATTAGATCAGGGTCCACAGATCCACTGAGAGCCAAGATGTTTGAATAGAAATAATCTTCACATTCTTGCTTACAGGCACAGTGCTGTTCCAGTAAAGATGAAAACAAACAAACATTAAGAGTATCTTTTTTCCACGAAAGTTCTAAATGAGTCGGTTAGTATTGATGTACAGTGCAAGAAGCAATACATGTATGTCTTTAAAATGAGTTTTCCTTGAATATTTTTTGAATGTGATTTTTCTGGGTGGAAATAACTCCCTTGTGGATCAAGCTTTAGTCACCCTTTATGGGTCAGCTCTTCCATCTCCTGTACAAAGTCCACTCTCTGTTCAGCACATAAAGACAGTCCCTCTTTTGGTTCACAGTTAATAAAATGTACTTGTAAGTCTTCTGAAATTTGTTCCTCAGTAAGAGGTGTACTGTTTTGAGTCTACACGTATACTTTTTTTTTAACTCTCCCATGAGACTAATAGGCAAACTGTTTCATTCTTTTGCAATTGAGATCCAAGTTGACGTGTTTGATGTGGGAAATTTTAGAGAAGAGTTGTCCTTATCAGCCATAGTTATATGAACTCACAGCATAAACAAATTGCTTCAAATGATTGTGCTTATCTTTCTGCATAAGACAGTCCAGTGGCTGAGAATTCAACACATTCACTGCTTTTCCCTATCCTTTTTTTTGTGGGACCAGGTCTTTGCATCACAGATTAAGGTTAAGGAAGAGATTTATTGAATGAAACTGATTCCTTTGTGGGTCAGCTCTTGTTAATCACCCATCTCCTGTACAAAGTCCATTCTCTATTCAGCGCTTTAAGACAGTCCAGTTTCTGAAACAGCTTTTAATGAATATGTTTGATGCTTTAGTTGCACATGCTTCATAAAGTTGCATAACTTACTATCAAATTCACAGAGGCTCTGATCGAAAAATAACAAACAAAATTCACAGGAAAACCTTTCATGTTTGCCACATAACTACCAGTTAAAAAGACCACAAAGAGAATTCTCTTGTCTTTCCCATGGCACCCTTCATGGAAATGACTGCAAAATTTAGTTTTGTAGCAAATTGCACAGAAATACCTGTAATGCTCTCTGTATTAGGGAAATATCATCAAAGAGCTTGAATCTATGCCCAGACTTACACTTGAATTGTTGAGGAAACTTCATTTGTTCATATTGTTCGCATTACTTTTGGACAATAGTTCTAACCAAAGAAAAGCCAAGTTGAAATTTAGATCAGGCATCAACTCATTTGTCTAGAGATTTATTATTTGCAATATCTGAATCAAGAGAAAAAAGTAAATTTTCAGAAGCCAATACTAAATTGGGTAGAACAGTTTTCCCATTTTGGGATTTACTGCCTCACACCATGTAACTCTGTAAAATATTTAGAGCTATTATTCTGTTGTGTCAAAGGCAAAGTGAATATTGTTGAATAATCCCCCAAGTGGAAGTTGAGAGGAATATTCAACAATGGTCAACAAGGCTGAGGCAAATAATTGTTTTAGTATGCACTGTAACCCTAAGCTTTCAAATTATGTTGTAAATTCTGTTAATAAAGAAAACATTGTGCATATTTTTATTTACAATTGTGGTGATTACTCATATCAAGACAGGTGAAGAGTTTATTCAATTAAATCAGTAACAAACTTAATATCTTTCTTTAGAAAAGTGTTTCACCAAACTCAGTCGCAAATTCTTTTGTGCTCTTCAAAATTGACTTTTCTGCTATTGCACTTATCACTTCCATGTAAACATTTAAAAAAGGTGAGACAGCCACTTTGAAATTTAGTGCCCCTGCTATAATCACCTTGTACAAGGTGATTATAGCAAGATACATGTATGATGCAATCCTCAACCAATCAAGGCACTGGTATGCATTTCCATAATCACCAGAGCAATTGTACTATAAGAATATCATTTCTACCAACAGGCTACTGATTTAATGGGGTATCTACATCGAAACAATTTAAAAAAAGGCTCTCCTTCATAGGTATAAAAAGTACTAGGAGAAAATTATTTGTATGTTCACTGACTACTGTTCTTTCATACATGTAGCTGCTCAATTTCACTTCAAAATGGTAATTTTCAACTAACTTCGGTTGCATTTTGGGGAAACTTCTAAGTGTTCATTTGAAAATTCTGATAATTTTGAACTGATCAAAAATTATGAAACATACACGAATTTTTGAGTAAGTAAAAGAGTATTTCAATGATAAAAAAAATATATTTCAACATTTCTTATCACTGTTCTTTTCTCCACTTGTGGAGAATGTGGCGACAAACCAACAGCATTACATTAAATGAACTTATTTTCCATATTTCGGAAAGATTTCCGTTTAACCGCGCCCCATATCATTTTAAAACAAAGTCTTCGTCTCAAAGGTAGTCTATCGTATTCGCCATTGTTTACTTTCATCAAAGAGCTGATGCATAATGAGGTGTGGGGTTATACTGAAATCTAACCGAGTTTTAATAAGCTAAAGACTTCACCCCAAAAGCGAGTTTTCGTTTTTCGTACAAGACATCACCTTACCTCGAACAAGCTGCTTACAAGCAAACTTCCCAACAAGAGATGAGTTCACGTGCGCCTTTCGCCATTCCTTGTCTAATTGTAACATCCTGTAACCATGATTTCTTCTTCATAGTAAATGTATCCAAAGCGAAAAAACACTTGCTCTCAAAGTCAAGAGAAGCTGAAGGCCATTTTCGTTCCCTTTTTCACGGCCCACAGATACTAACCGATAATAAATTTTCCCCTAATTTTTTCAAAACAGGCCGCCATGTTGCATTCCTAATTTGATCCCAATCCCCCTTCGACATGTGAACCAATCAACAACCGCCGGAAAATAGACGCAAGTTTCCGAAAATTGAACGGAAATGTTCGAAAAAGAACGAGCTAAAGTAGATAAACGGAACTCCGCGAAAAGGGATGAAAGTGTCCAAAATCAGCCAGGACAGGGGACCATCCGATAAGGGACGCAATATTCCGAGATCGGTGCCCGGACAGAAATGTGGGAGATCTGACAAGTTCCGTAATGGGGGAACAATTTATTCTGATACTAAAGCGGGGACGGCGGACGAAACCTTCAAACCTTCGTACAACGGTGTTATTCAATTTCCTGGTTACTTTATTAACAATTGTAATGCATTACAGATATTTCCAAAGTTGTGCTAAATAAATTAGATCGATACACGCTCTTCCACTCTCCAGCGTCACTGGAACCTCACCAAACCATAACATCATCGATTCTTTTACACTAAACACCATGCACATTCTTCAACGGGAGGGCTGACCTAAAATGCATTCATTAAAAAGACACTCATATCTCAAACATAACCCTTTAACCCTGACTACCATCTCAATTCTCCCTAAAATATTACCCTTGAATCACACATTTAGGTCACGAGAATAAAGGAAATGATCACCAGATAAGGAGACTCTTGATTATAAAACAAATTCTCCTTGTCACTACATAAGTAAACGTATAGGGAACTGTATGGAGAATATGCACACTGATGCTGGGGAGTAAAGGGTTAAAGGGGGTGTGTGACAACTAAGACGACAGTTAAGTAAAAATTAAAAAAAAAAACGAATTAAATCAGTCACAAAAATAAATTACCCGTTCATTTTTTGCCGGGATAAATTTTATCTCAGCATCTTCCGCAAGACTTTCGGCAAATTTTGAGGACTTCAGGAAAGCTACAAAGTCCAAGATCTATGTACCTTTCACATGAAGAACTCACGTCCAGACAAGGTGCTTAAAGAAAGAGATAAAAATGAAAACAAATTACTGTCATTGTGAACTGTGTGCGGACGCCAAAAACACCGTGCATAATAAAATTCAAGTAGAACACCTCCAATACAGTTATCCGTTTTTCCTCTAACGAGGCTAAGTACACAAACATTGGAGAACCAGTTCACTGGCTCAGAAATCAGGTTAAATTAAAGAATGTAAGGGGCCAGTCGGGCCGGAGGTTTTTGATTGTACCACGAAAAAATCTACCCGATTCTCCCACAAGGCTCTGTAATATGCTTTGACCGCCCCCCTCTTGGCAATAAATTGACACTGAGTCCATTGTCTATAATCACCCTGGTGACAGCTGATTCCCCCTCTGTCCCCCTTAAAATCTTGTGATCCAAACTCCTCCCCACCCCTCCACCCCTCAAGGCGACAAATAATTACTGTTCCCTGACTCAAAATAATGAGGTGAAATGAAATGAATCACATAGCGGGATCTTCAGTCTTACCAGGACAAGAATGAGTGTTACAACTGGTTGTTTCCTCAACGTCACCGATGCAAGGATTTCCACATTTGCTCGGCGGAGGATCCGAGCATAATCTTGTTCTTTTTTGTTCCCCTTCTCCGCAACTTTTGCTGCAGGGACCCCATGTGGACCAGGGAGTAAACTTGCCATTCACTGTAATGTACAAGTATTGAGGTATCACATGGGTCTTTGCTACGTCAGTTTTACATTTATTGACAGCTTTTTAAGGCGTTCGAATCAATAGTGTCAACATCAACATCGAGTTTTATCATTGTAATTAGACCTTAATAGTTTCTTTTTTTGTTTGTTTTGATACTCCAATCTAACTGCGACCGAAAATTCAGTCAATTGCTCTTTTCTCAGAAAACTATTCCCTCTCGATACCTGGGTCAATACATAACTGATTCACTTTTACTGATCGGTCATCACTAGCATAAACTACGATAACAAAGTTGCCATACCTGGATCAATGATTTTGTAGACATAATTCGACTGGCTAGCCCCTGTGCAAGCTTCACTTGAATCATCTTTACATGGTTGTAATTGTAACTCGTTATCAACTGCCGAAACACACCGGTCACTTTTCCCATCCCTTGCATACGTTAGAGAGGCATTTTCTCCACTCCAACATTCGCCGTAAAATTGAAGACCGAATATTGTAAAGCCTCTCTGAGAAGCTGCATCGGCGCACTGTGACACTCCGCTGAAATACAATTAAAGGTGCACTAAAAATTAGGTTCCCTTACAGGTTTCACAATTTTTGATAGATCGACACGCGAATTTTCCTTTGATGTTAGAGTCAGATTTATCGGCAAACTTGTTTTAGAATAAATGACAAAATCGACTTGTTTGAGATTGACCAAAAAATGGACATCGCTCACATTGATGTGTTAAAACAGTCCTGAAGAAGTTGAACTCTTTTCAATATAAATTAACGTTGAGCAGGTATGGCGTAGGATAAAATGCACTCTATATATCGAAGAGTCTGCATTGCAAAGCGTTGCTTTCAAAAGACGAAAGCGAGGCCGGTGTAAGCGAATCCTGAATAGGATGACTGAGGAGTTGAGATGATAAAAATGGAAGTCAGTGTACATGTAATGTAAAAAGGGAAAAATACTGGAACGGTTCGTTTTATCATAAATTCATTTCCTTCTGCTATATCGGTCTCATTATTTTATTGTTATTAACATCCTCTGTCATTTATGTCAATCTCATTATTTTCCTTCATCGCTGTATAACAAGATTACACGCGTCAGGTCCCTGCAAGGACTTCAGGAAATTTCTATCTTTGGTTTTCAGTCAAACCTCGATACTATTAATGCCACTCTATTAATTACCCTGCCCTCCATTTTTTTTTCTTATTTACCTGCTTATTGACTCCTTTGGAGAATACCAATTGAAGAACGAGCGATAGTTCGCAATCAATGTTGGTAATGGGCGTGGCTTCCTCAGACTGTCTCTATAGCAACCTATTTTGATATATTCATGACAGCTCTTTACGTCATCAGCAAGCCCTGAGAATAAATGCAAACCGTTTTTTTAGCGTTAAATGTTGAATATGAAGGATATAAACAAGAAGAAAAAATATTCAAACGCCTAGAAAGTCCCTATTACGTTGATCAATCACAGAACAATATTCATCAGCATAAGACAAGTTATATTCGAAGCGATATTTCCTAAAACAGATTTTCCTCCAGGGATAGCAGAGTAAGTAAAATTCTTTTAATTTCTACTCTTCTTTATCCTTCATAAACGAAAGACAAAGGAAATTAATCACAGATTCAACCTTTGATTTTGTCCGACTGTTTTACTACATTATTTAATTTTTTTCAAAATTCATCGTTTACAGAGAAGGCTGAATTTTTATACATAATTATCAGTTTTTCCGTTTTCTATAAAATTTACTCATTCATTCGTTCATCACAGTGAAAGACTGGGTAATTGTATATGAAAGAGTTGCGATTGATGATTGCAAAACGTACCTACAATTTGTTATTTCATCCAATGGTTGTTTTATACAAGGGAAAAAGAGAAAGATGCGTCAAACATACGGCCCTGATTTTTATTATCTATCGTTTCAGAGGCGTGTAAAATGTTATTAACATCCCCTGTCATTTATGTCAAGCGGCAAAGAAAATAATGAACTACATGGGGAAGAGGACAAAATATTGTTTTAAGGTTAAGAAAACATTGACGTTACTTCTACAATCAATAATGTTACAGTTAGACAACAATTATGGCTACTGGATGAAAAAATTTGCCTTGAAATTAATTTCATTTCTTTTGTGAAAATAACGTTGATGAAGCCTGGTTAAAATTGAGGCCTCATAATCACAAATTACACAGCACAGATCAAAGGCAAAGTGGAAGTTTAATGCATATTCTATTGTTTCTGGCTTACCTTCAATAATTCCCCAACGAAGAAAAAAGAAAGAAGATGCGAAAATGAAAACTACGAATGCCGTCTTTTTCATGCCTGTTAACGATCTCGTAAAGAAAACTAAGCTTGTTACAAAATTCTAACCGCACGGCAGAAACTTTCGGTGTCTTCACCCGCGGCTTTGTATCCGTGTTGCGGTTCCACCGTCGCTGGATCTCTTTCATACTCCGTCTGTTTTATTAATGTTTCTCTCTTTCCGGAGTAAACAAATATGACACTTTTAAAGACTACTTTCATCCTGATTCCTAGATGTTTTATCCGCCCTGCTGAACATATTTCTGATAGTTCTTTGATAAAAGAATATTAACATGAACTACATAATCAAACTTTGTAACAGTCTTTGTATCCTGATTTGTTTCCGGATTAAATAAAACGCACTTTTCTGTCAAAGAAAACAATACATGAGCAGTTCATATGAACTACGCTTTTATTAGTCTTGATGGGAGGATGCAAACGTAAACCTGAACTGAAATATAATTAATACAGCTCACTGTATTATATATCAGAGGATGTGTTATCAATAATCCCTTATTGATGTTTTATGTCATTCACGTAGGTTTCTTCGCCTGACGTGGCGCGTAGGAAAGTTTAAGTCTTCTTGATTGTTCTATTCAAAGAAATAATGTATCCTGTTTACTTTCCTGTTGTGTCAGATGTAGCAAGATTCTATTAAGTCAATATGAGGTACAACCGCGTGGTTTAATAGCAAACCAAAAAAGTCTCACCTGCTTAAACAAGACCATGAGGAAAGCTTGAAAGTAAAACAAGTCGTAAAAGATTCTTTGTGCTTCAACTCCAAAGAGAATTTATAAAACATTTTTAAAAAAACCAGCTTGTTTGGATAACCGTAATACCTCGAGGCCGTTTCAAATCGAAATTTAAGTCTAGGAGTCGTTATCCCTTCCCCGCAATACGTTTTTGAAAATATAGTCAGATAATCTGACCTACAAACACACTATAGTTCGTTGGTTATATTCGTGTAGAAGCCTTTCATTAAAACAGTTTTCATTGTCGTCCTCTTTGTTCTTTTGAAACAGTTTTTAGGTTAAAACAAAAACCGAATACGAAGGTTACCTAAAGAGTTATTTCTCAATTGAAGTGATTTTATCATCAGTTCTTTTTATTGTATGCCAAACATTTCGCGTAATTTTAGCTCGTTGAAATTTGGTGTTAGACCAAGTAAATATGTCCTAAGCTGACATATGACTTTCTTGTCATCAACTTCCTGCTTGACAATATATAAATACTTCAAAAAGAGATTACAAATCATTTACTCTTATGAGTGACATGATTCTGATATAAATTCTAACAATTACCTTTCAAATTGACTTTGGACTATAGGTGTCTGTAGTCCGAGACTTCAAATTCGTTCCGAGCCTGAACACTGGTCTCTAATCTAGTTATATCCTCTGTTACGTGTGCGGCGTCTCTTGCTGTTCGTTAAAAATCAGTCTTCGCCGCATGGGATATCTGCGATTTTTACCCGATCTTGTTGAAAACTGGAAATTATCTGCAAACCCTTTGTAACCTAGAAAGCATATCCTTAACAGTTTTTCTCTTTCTGACTTCTAGGATAAATTAAGTTCCTTGGTTTAGTCGAATGGTGAAATAGCGATACACTTCTGCAGCGCGCGACGCAAGTCAAAAGCCAAGTTGCAGCCAGAGTGCAGCGGAAATCGGCGGAAGATTCAGCTCAGCTAGACGAGTTACGAACAAAAAAAACTTGTCTTCAAAGGGGACCCGAAATCCTTAGACAAATTCGAGGTTATTTTTGAGCAAACGGTTGAATTGTTGAAAGATGATAGTTCAGGGCGGTACATTTTACGGATCTGTTCTCGAAATATGTCAGTTGGAAAGAAGGTTTTGATAAAGCTGAAAAGTAAGCTCATGTTTCACACTTTTTATTAGAAATCACTAAGACGGTATCACACATTGAGTGCACTCTAGTGCTTGTGTATTCTTATGTGGTGATTTAAACCTCAGAGAGCTGCTCATACGTGACTTTTTCTCCCTCCGATTGTCGAAGGGGAATTAATGCTCTCACGAAACAGTGCGTGCGTCGAAATGATCTTCCCTTAAGAGAATCACCATGCTGGTATTAGTTCACGTGGTCGGCGAATGGTAGATCTCAGATGGTCGATAGAGTTGATCTACATATAACGAATGAAAAGAAAATTAGATTTCGAAATATCAAAAAAATTCTAGTCCCCCTGGGTTCAGTAGGTAATATAAACGTTACCCTCGCTCATTTTACAAGTTTCTCATGTAGCTAGTTCCCATTTTTACTCCCGTATTCCGGGGAGGACTTTAAGAACTCAACACAATGACTGCACCAGGGTCGAACCCGGTCTTTTCTCGAAAAAGCTCAACACGCTAACGACTTTGCCACCGCGCCTTCAATAGAATGACATCATGGGGGAGTCCAAGTCCAAAACCTAATTCAACAGCTTCTATCTGTCAAAATATTTTTTTGTCAGCAATAAATCCTCACCAAGTCCATTCAGATTTAGGTTAAAATATTTCTTTGCCAGTCCCTCCTCAGTTTAAAAAGCCTCCGATTCACTTGCGGCTGACCTGTTAAAAAAGACATTACAATTTCAAAACTTAAGTTCAAGTGAAGAACGAAGAGGTTCATAACAACATTTTATTCACCAATACTGCTCCGACTTCGTTACAAGCTTCGTCATTGACCATGTATCTCTCGTTGGTTAGCTGTTATTAGCAGTTGGCACCGGTATACATCAAATATCAGGGGGCTTGAGCCAAAAATTTTTAAAACACAAGGAGGGGTGGGGGCAGGTAGGCAGCTAGAAATTGAGTCATTTTGTCCGTGGTGTCTACCACAGATGTTTTCTTGTTACGTTTAGTTTAAAATTCTAAAATACAAGCTTGCCAATTGGCTGGCTTCTGTCATAGTGCGACAATGATAAAATCCCACATTGTTCTTTGTAATCCAAACATGCTTTCGCTATCGACTAACCAGCATCGAGATTCCAAGTTTTGCTTTAGATTACTGTTCAAGTCGGGTAAGCAAAAAAACATCTCATGGTCTTTGAGGAAGTTATTTCGGCCGACAATTGTTTTGAAAGACTCTGAAAACGTTTTATTGTACACTTTCCTCTAATGCATTCTTTCAGGAATTTACATATAACTGCCACACAACTTACTGCATGTTGCTTCCAAAATCCCAGCAAACAAATCAGACAGTTGTTTAAAGCTGTTTACGGTGTAAACGTCTTCTCCTGCAATTTCTTCCAGTTGTCCTTCGAATTCCTCATAATTTCCAACACCAATTGCAATAATTTTAACTCCCTTTTTCTGAAATGTAAATTGTGAACAGAACAACTTAGTAATGTAGCGCTGATGACAAAGGAGACATTGTGAAATGAAAAGAAAATGAAAATTATTGGCGATATAAGAGGGTGAAATCACCGAAATGGAAATCTGAGTTGCAACAAAGGTATTTCCTGCGTTTCGTTTTCGGTTCACCCTTTCTTTTATCTCCTTCTTCATCCAGATTTACCATGCAATCATTAAAGAGGATCCTTTAAAACGACTCAAAACTAATATGAACTGCTTTTACATGAATCTAAAGTTAGCTTAGTTTTATTTTCATCTAAATCTATTTTGTGAAATAAAGGCATGAAAACTTAAAAGAGGAAGTGATTGATACACATTTTAAAGGGTTTTCAATTCAGCCAATTAGGCGAAAGGAAAATAACTTGAAGAGCCAATGAGAGTTTAAAGTAAAAATAAGTAAAACGCCTAACGCACTAGAAACGCGGGCAACTAATTCGTTATTACAATTGGTTATGGTCTCGCATTTTATTGGTTAAGGGAATGGAAATTTCAACTTTGCGACTTTTCTGGAACAATCGCAGACACTCAACACTCAACTGGAAATTGATCCATTATTATCGCCCACGTGAAAAGGGTTTGTCGCAAAACAATGAATGAAACAGTGTAATAAATTAAATAAATCATTCGTATGGAAGTAAAAGAGACAGAGAAAATCTGAAAGATAAGTCAGGGGAAAGCAAATTTCAGTCATTCCTACCTGAAGCAAAGGAATTGTAGCCGAGAAAGACTTCGATTCAGGATTTGTCTTTCCAGCCGACAAAAGAATCAAAACATTTGGAAATTCCGGCCTGTCACCTCCCCTATCAGTAAACAATTCTTCATTGGCTTTTTTCAGCGCCCTGTCAATGAACAATCGGAGCCCAAATGAGCCTTTTTCTCCCGATAGGTTATATATAAGGTGGTACAGATTTTCTTTATCGTAGAAACCACCATCTGCAAAGGTACTTATTACGTGCGCTTGTTTAGCAAACACGATAAGTCCAGTGTGTGTTTCTTCTGGTCCAATGGTCAGCGCGTCAGTCAGTTGCAGGAGGAAGCCTTTGACTAGCTTATAATTATCTATGCCAACACTTCTTGTTCGGTCGATCGCGAAAGCCAAGTCCATTCCTTGAGCCTCGCAAGGGTTTGGTGCTGGAGAATAGAATTTGATGAATACAGTTAACTCAATCATTCGCTCTGACGAAGAGCTAACGCTCGAAACTTTAGCTTTAGAAACTCTTTGCGATGGCCAATTTACAATCTTAACTCAGATGATAAAACCGAATTATCTAGTTATATCCCCCATCGATGTAGATTCATACTTTCTTTAGAAATTTATCCCCTCAACTCAATGACAGCCTGTTCCAGGCTTTAATTAAGATAATAAAACCAAGCCTGAAGGAAGACGACGCCGCGGAGCGTGAAAAGGGGAGAGGTTTGGGGCCGTTTGCATGACAAACAGCATGCATTTCGCGACTCGACTCTACTTTCGGAATGCCTGGAACAGTCAAACCCCATGAACACCAGAAATCTCAAGCTTAAGAAGACAAGTAACTCTTTGAAATAGATAATCAGAGTTTCTCTTTACCATCCAACTTCCACAGCCATTTTTAACTTCACTAATCTGATAATTGACACCTTTCTTGAGGTGTCACTATGATGTACGCAGAGATAAGTCGACCATTAAAAGTCCGTGTGCAAGACCTTACAAACCAAATACGTGTTCTTTCTGTGGTTTAAAAGACAATTCGAACAGTCTACTGTATTCTCTTTTCATGTGACCTTTCCCCAGTCCCCACGGTCCGTTTAAGGTAAGAAAGTGGGTTGGTAGGCAGTGAACAATTAGGTGACAAATTATTGGTTATTGACAATCGTTACAACACCCATTCCTCTTACCGCCATCAATGTTATGTTTTTAAGGTTATTTTAGGTTCGTTTGTTTTTAAACTGTGATATGGAGCCAACTGGAAGTACACATGCGATCGCAGGCCAGAAAAGGTGAATCTTGGGCGAAAATGTTTTGAGAAGGGGTGAAAGCCGTTTTGCCTAACTGTCCATCTCAGTTACATTAATTGAATTTTTTTTACGCACCTTTTTACGCAAATGGTTACATTGAAAATTTCGCACTACTGCTTGAAATCTCAATGAACATCTGATATTAATAGAGATGATAAATACGAAATTAAGTGCTAAGGTCTTCAAATAATTTCAGCAGAACTAGAGAACGAAAAGGGAAATTAATCAAATTATAATGATTGTAACAGCTAAACAAGCAAACTAGGACAACTGAACAGAGGGAGGTGAGATATCTGATGTTAAAGAAAACAGTTCTGTCTACATGGAAATAACAAAAACCAACAGCAACCTTCATTTTTTCATTCTTAAAATAAAAGTTGGCTCAGAGATAGCAAATGTTCATCATGGCGGGCCGGTCTTTAAAATCTAAAAAGGGTCGATAAGGTGTACTGATAGAATCCTGAAATACAATACACAAATAATTACATAAATACATAGAAAAATTGTTATTACAAAACATGAAATAAGACAAAGGAAGAACACTGGCTACCTCAGAGGACTTTCAGAGGCATTATTAATTACTTATGAGATTTTACCTTTGGAATGACCTCGTGTATGTATAGAAAGGAATTTTCCCTCTTGAAAATACTTAGCAGTAAATGCTTTATTTTAAAAATGAGTGAATGTTCGGATAGCTCCTATTGAAAGAATGGTATCTCATTTCATATTGTAACAACTTCTCTTGAGAAGGATTTTCATATACCACAAGAGTTGACGATTTCATGTAGAAAGTATCCAAAGTAAAATAGGTACCTCTTTATCGTGAATATTTGTAACTGCAAATTATGTTCTCCAACCCCGAAATTCCTCTCAGCTAAAATTCTGAACGACTTTTTCAATATTTAGAGTAGTCTTCAATAGTCTGCAATATTATTTCAGCAGATTTGCTGAAATAATATTGCAGTCTTCTTTACTCAGGGATTTTCTTTATTCAAAAGGGATTTCTCAACTTCTTTACACTTTTTTAGTCAACAACCTCGAAGTAACTTCAATGTGATCATAATTTTGACACCAGCAAACACAAATAACCGCACTTTTATTCTAAAAGTTTTTCTTTTAATTGCCTAAATGCTGTCACACCTCAGAACAATGCAAAACATCGTCGTCAATACAGCTGATGTACATCCATTCACAGTGACGAACATAAAAGAAATCGAAATGAGTCGATTGTCCTCTTTCTCCGAAACTCAGAGGTTGTTTAGTGATAATAGTTCGCTTAAAACAATATCCGTTGTACAGAGATCTTATGATGTTGTCCTGCGTTACTTTTGGTTTGTTATCTCTTTTCTCCATGACCCTAGGTGAGTGTATGACAATTCTGCTTTTCCAATATACCTCTGGGAAACATACATTTTGTTTCTGGAAATGTGTGTTCAAAATCGTGGTCCGTTTCGTTCTGTTTTCAACACTCGTCATTTGATCATTAACCATCATCAAGATTCTCAATTCGACATCTGAGTGGAAGATTTCCCATTCATTTTTGTTCCATACCTACTTAGGGTGCTTTCCACAATGCTGATCGTAGAAATATACAGTAGCTGTAGCTCAGACTGTTGAGCATCTGACTTCGAAGTCGAAATTGGCCGGAGCTCAATTCCTCACTTCCCATTGAAAGGGACCTTTTTTTTCTCTTTTTCCCACTTTCGTGACAAATGTTTCACATCTCTCCCCGTAAGGAGAAAGATCAGTTCTCTGTAGGCTTAGTGACAGAGCGGAATCAAAAGGTCTGAGGTTCCAATGCTCATGTCCTGAGTTTTTGCCAAAGCTTTTTTTTTATGTTGTTTTCTTTTTTTGGTTTTGTTTTGTTTTATTTTTGGTTTTGTTTTTCCTTATTTCAGGTTGCAGTGACTATCTAGATAACTGCCAAGTGTACGATCAAATGGGTCTATGTAACATTCCAAAATATTTCGAACTTATGAAGAAGTACTGTGAAAAGACTTGTCATCTCTGCAGTAAGTAAAGCAGATGATATAATAAAGGTCATGCTAAAACTATACTTTATTCAAACGTAGGTAATGCCAGCCGTTGTTCCATCTTAAAAAATTGTATACTATGTGTATTGTATGTGCACTGAGTTTTTATGGGGCTTTACAGCAAAAAAAAACTCGCTTGGTATTTCCCTTGCGATCCACTCCACTACTAATCAAACCAAATAAAGTATTTTTTTTTTAAATTGCAGACTGAACTTGACGAAATTCAACTAAAAAATTAATTTCCTTTTCAGATATAACTTCTCATGCGACTCCACAACCGGTGCAGCCTGGACAGCCCCTGGGTAAGTTTGAGTGGATCAGAGGAATTTTTCCATGCGTTGTCGAAGATTGTCCAATTTTAATCAGATTTTACACTACTACACACTGTGATTAGCTTAAAGAAATCACCGGCATCATTGCTTCAACTAATCAAATGCAAAAATAAACCAATTGCGATCTTATATATTTGAAACTGTGTTTTTAGTATGCGGAGGTAATACATAACAGAGTATATCAATCTCTCATACAAGCCGTATAACATTTAATAACCTGCGCTGTTAAGTCTGCTTGGATTCGGATTGAAAAGGTTTAAAATGAGAGGACACTAAAGACCCATAAAACGTTCCAGGTGAATGTGGCAGGTCTGTGGTTCCTCAGGGCCGTGTTATCGGTGGAACAGATGCGATACACGGATCGTGGCCCTGGCAAGTAGGTCTGTACGCTGGAGATGATGACTCTAAGTTCTTCTGCGGAGGGTCCCTCATCAAACCAAACTGGGTCGTCACAGCTGCCCACTGCATTAACGACAATCTGCCCGTTGCTTCATACCGCATTCGCTTGGGAGACTGGCACCGCTTCTTCCCCGACGGCACAGAACAGGTCCGCAACGCGTCCAAAGTGATTAAACACCCTAAGTACAACTACCCATCGCTCATCAATAACGACATTGCCTTAATCAAGCTCGACCACCCGGTGCTGTTGAATAGTCACGTGAACACCATCTGTCTTCCTAAGAGAGACGTAGCTGTCTCTCTAAATAGCACGTGCTATATCACAGGTAATTACTTGTCACGTTTTGCTAGCTACAGTAACGCCTATAAATGAAGAAAAATTTTAAAGGAACTCCTTTTGAAATTTTCAAGTCAAACCTGAAACGCGCAGAACTGCCTTAAAAGTAAAAAAAAAACAAGTAAAATAAAATGAAGCTTATCTGATTCAATATTGCGAAAAGTTTTGAAACATTGGTTTGGTGAGACAGGAACGATCGAGGAACAAGGATGAAAAAAAATGGGAAAGAATTGAATTCCGAACACCACACTATCCCCGCATTAATTTGGAATCGTGTTTTTACCATTCTTGCATAATCAGAAGTCGTTTTCGTACATTTGGTGTGTTTCATAAGAGCTTTGGATAAGAACGTTTTGTTTGGGAAATTTAGCAAAATATAAATGTGGTCATAAAAATCATAAATGTGATCGTGTAGTCTGATAAATGTGATCGTGTAGTCTGATAAATGTGATCGTGTAGTCCCGGCCTGAGGAGGAACATTGTCGGTAGCTGTGACTGACGTTTCGACAGCCTTAGCAAAAGCCATTATCAGACTTAAATGATGTGTTATCATATATCACGCTCGTTTCAATTAAATAAAGGATTGAATCAGCCAGTCGGCTATGTCCTTACAATTAAATGTTAAATGACTGGTGCATATCGCAGGTCAGGCTATAGCCCGAGAAGGAAGCATGACAACTTTAATGCACCATCTCAATTCAGAATATCTTTTTCCTGTAGGGTGGGGCAAGGTGAAACATCCGGGTGCTTCCTACCACAAACTTCAACAGGCCCAGCTCCCACTTGTCTCCAACGCCGAATGTTCCCAGAAACTTTCCGCTTCACCCTCGGGGGGAATACTCAACGTTACCAAACAAATGGTTTGCGCCGGAAACCTGAACCCCAATGAATCGCAGGGAGGTTGCCATGGCGACAGTGGAGGACCATTCGTCTGCAAGGACTCCGCATCCGGGAAGTTCGTCCTACAGGGAGCGGTTAGCTGGGGTTCGCCGAATTGTAACTTTGCGCAAGTCAACAAACAGTACACGGTGTTTGCCCGAATCAGCAAATTTCGCCGTTGGATAAATCTTAAAATTTCTCAAAACTGAACACTAAAGAGCCACATCTGAATGGAAGTGACATTATGATAACAATAGTCCGGAGTGACGTTTATTGGGTAAAGCCTTGCAAGAAATATGTAAAGGCTAATAAATTCGAAAATAAATGATGAAGAAATATTTGCGTTTTTTCCTTGTACCAAAAAAACCACCGTCTCAATACTACCTGCGATCATAAGCAAGTGAGAAATCTCTCTTTCAGCTCATTTCCACCGCAAATAACTCCTACGTCAACAGGTTTATGATAATTTCGAACGGAGAGTGACAAAAAGAAAGAATTCATATTGGACATTTGAAATTTTATCACTAACTACCATAATTTGAAAATTAGATTATTTCTCGTGAAAAATTAAGCCAATTTTCTTTTTTTTTTCTCATTTGATTGGCGTTGGACAGAAACATTGTACAGTAAAACAAAACTGTTCTCAGTGTAAAGGGAATAAAATTAAAAAGGAGAGCAGAGAAGGGACAATTCATAAATTTTCCCCTGGGGAGGGGGGTGGGTTAATTTTAAGGGGGTCACCTGGTTTTCAAAGGGAACGGAGGGGTAGTCAGTCGTCGCCAAAGAGCATTAGGGGAAGGCTATAGAAAATAGACTGCCCCCCCACCATAACTTCGCTAACAATAAGTAGTAATAACAGCTACAACTCACGACAGATAATATTGACGACATCGCTGAGTGCTCCGACAAGTGACCCATAGTCATGTGCTGAAAGCACGTTTTCTCCCCCGAGCTCTTTCAGCACCTTTTGATAACTTGGCTTTTGTGCGTCTGGACCGATTGCTAAAACAACCACACGGACACCTTTACTCTGAAAAAATTCATACCAAAAAACAATCAAACGGAAGAATGGGAGAAACACAGAGCTTTTTTTACCTTTTTTAGTGATAAAAGATGCGTGTATTCTGAAAAAGCATGCAGCTCTTAAAGTAAACATCACATCACACCACAATACAAACACCACAACTATGTTTGAATGAAAAAAGGGCCGTGAATAAAAAAAGGGCCGAGAGAAAATATTGAAAACAAATGGGTCCCTCACCTTAATACTTCTCAAATGTTCCTTGTACTTTTTTTTCTCCGTCTCCTTTGGGTGAGACCTTCCGTCTGTGAACAAAACCATAACACTTCGCACGCCATGTCTGTCTCCATTTTCCCTGGTGAATAGTTCTAAGTCGGCCTTCTCCAATGCCAAATCGAGACGCGTAGGTTTTGTCAGTTTGTCGATTTTTTCGTCTATCAGATTTGTAAGAGAGTTTTTTTCAAAAAATTTTGGTTCGTCAAAAAGATTGTGGATTACGCTTTTGTCACCGAATGTCTCTAGGGCTATGTGGGCTCCATCGTTTGATATATCGAATTGTTGCACGAGGTTTTTCAAAACTGTCTTCAATTCGTTGATGTTCTTTTGTTTGATACTTTGAGTTGTATCCACCACCAAACCGAGGTCAAGTTTACAACTGGAGACTGAAAAAACAAAAAGAAAAAATGGTTAATAAAATCTGTGACGTAAGAATGTGTTTTGGAACTTTTTTCTAAACAAGATCACTTTATCATATTAGGAAGACTGTCATCGTCACTTTCTGGGAACTGTCTTTGTTAGAGCAGTTTTCGATTGAGTGTCGAAAAACCAAAACCAAAGTAATCCAGGCGACTAATCAGAACAAAGGTTTGCATTATCGACCAAGAGGAACAAAGGTTTACATTATCGACCAATAGGAACAAAGGTTTACACTATCATTAGTTAATGAGAACTCAAAGTGAAAACAAGCAAACTGCTTGAAGCGCGCGAAAATGCTAATGACCAAGTCGCGATTGTTTTTAGTTTTGTATCTAATTTGTTGAGAGGATGGCGCCAGTTTTATGGACCAATCACAGTGCAAAGCTCGATAAAACTAGAGAAATGACTTTCGACACTTTATTAAAAATTGGTTCCTCATGCAACCTACGATAATTTCAGAGTGGCGGTTTCTCTTGATTCTCTACTGGTTTAGCACGCGTCGCTCCTCAACAAGTACTCGAGTAACGCTTGGTGTCTAGAATATTTTAAATGCGTTTAGGGTGAGAAGTCAGAGTTGTGATTCTAGTTTTGTACAATGTGTATGTCGGAGTCAATCTACAATAAAAGTGTTTGCTATTCACAAGTGTACGTGTCTTTGAAACGACTTAGATTGAGAGAACATTACGTAGAATAATAAGTAACAAAAAGAAATCGCAGCTGCTTGGGAAACAAAAGGTATCAGACTAAGTTTAAATTTGTTGAAATTTTAAACTGTAAAGACAAGATAAAACTAGGAGAAAAGAAGATTTAAATAGCTTCACGCGTGTCTCTTTATACTTACGTCTTGTGGTAGATGTCTTGGATTCTGAAGATAAAAAAAATGCGACGCACGTGAAAACTCGTATAAGGGTGCAGTTGAAAGAATGAGATAGTTTTTTACTTTTTTTTTTTTTTAATCAGAGCAAGAGATGGAGACATCATAATATACATCAAGAAAAAAATACCAAATATTATAATTCAAAAGATTGTTCCTTTGGAATCTATATGGCCTCTCGCATTGCGAGGAATTTGAAGAGTCTAAAGACACTGTGGTGCTTCGTCAATGGAGGGATATCACAAGAGAAAATTGGATTTGATCAAATAAGTTGATAACGTGAATTGGCCACTGAAAGGAGTTTATTAGGATGACGTTTTGAGGGTTAGCCCTTCGTCCGACCGATTAACAATAGTACATCGCCATGGATTCGCGATTGAAATTTAATGTTGAGCAGTAGAACGGAGGGCTAATCTTTACCTTTGCAACTCTCACGCATTATGGTTGGTAAGAGACTGGGCAGCTCTTTTAAATCATTGACTTCGAAAAGCCTCTTCTCGTTGTTTGACAAAATTGGAAGGAAATCCTCTTTCTGTATTGGCTTGTTCGGCAATCCGATTCCAACAGCAAGTATCTTCACACCTTTTTTCTTTAAGACCAAAAAAATGTTAAAAAGTATAAGAAGGGTCCTACTCCTGTATTCTCTGTCTACCTCACCTATCTCGTTTTTACACTATGTTCAGCTATTGGTGGATGACATATTGAGTGTGGGAAGCTGGGAACGAGAAAAGCAGTTTCTGCGGGAAAGGATCATGTCACCACATCAAGACGAATAACTCAGATTCTCATGTCTCGTTTCACGGTTCTTGATTAACACGCTCAATCACGAGGCGCCGAAAGGTTTATAAGGGTCCTAAAGTAAAGCTGATAAAGCTTCCCTGATTAATGAAATCGTTCAAACCTCTAATGCTTTCACGTAAGGCTTGTATTCGTAGACCTTCGACTTATATCCTCCATTACTCAAAATAATCAACACTTTGTCTCTACCATCCTTGGTCACTTTCCAGGTGAATAAAACGCTGTCAGCTTTCCTGAGAACCCTGTATAAACTGAATTTTGATGTTTGTTCCACACCGTCGAGCTTCTGACCAATATAAGAAAGTTCTTGCTTTCCTCCACGACTCAAATCAAAGGCCAATTCTAACTTTGCATATTCGTTGTCATTGGTAATAAGACCAAACCGTGAAGCGCCTGACTCCAAATCAATGCTCCTGGCCAGATCCATGATAAACTCCTTCGTCTTTTTAAATTGCTCCTCAGTGAAACTGGGGGACGCATCCAAAATAACTCCCATATTGACTGTGCAATTCCATGATGGAGGCACTGCAAATGGAATGTGTGAAATAAGTATTTAAAATAATACTTAATAACACCCAAATACTTCTTACATAAAATTAATTGACGAATTGGGAACTAGAAAAAGTAAGCATAAAATCAGATAACTGGGGAAAATATCTTCCTCACGTTCAGTCGAGACTTCATTAGATTTTAAAAATAACCATGAAACATTTAAAAGAAAACACTGACGGGAAATAAACTTGTACAATATTTATTTGACGCTCACTACTTGAAGTGGATTTGTCAGTTAATAACATTCAAAAGATTTTCAATGAGATAAACCAGAAAACCAAATAAAACTCCTATTTGTATTTTATTCAGAGTAAGAATATTGGTACAATGAAAATGAAAGGGATCCATATCATACAAATTTCTTATTCACTGCTTGGAGTAGTTTTTTTAGTGCTGAAAATAGAGAAGGAAAAAACTAACAGACTAATTAACTAAATGTGTATACCATATCGATTTTTAACTTAAAATTTATCACCGGCTTTTTGCAATAATGAAAAATTCAAATTGAGTATATGAAGAGCAGTAAGAGGATTGCATCGGATTGGTTAAAAAGTTTGAGAACAGTGCAGGATATCTTAGCCAGTCACAAAGCAAATAAATGCAAAGTGAACGCAGTTCCAGATTACCTCCACCTTATATTGCATGTTTCTGTTAGCCTACCCATTCTTATTGCTCTCATTACTGTCTGACATACAATTCTTACGACGTTTGTTCGGGGAATTTGTCATATTATCAACTAATAATCCCCTTATTGATCCTTTTTTCAATTTTTATCACTTCTCTGCCTAATATTGTGGTGATAGGTCACTGATGGGTGTTAATAGATGTGAGGGTAACTCCTCAGGTGACGTCAAGAAAGAAGGGAACTGAGGAATTAGCATCTTACCTTAGGAAAATAGCGGCAGTTGGTCAAACTTTGTTTTATGCTTCACGTTACATTAGCCTGAGGACACTTCACCACTATGCACTGACAAGCGAAACCCAAGGCCTGTTCCCCCTTATCTTTCCTAAATGTAAGACATGCTTTGGAATTGATATACGATTTCTCTTACCAGCAGCAGCAATTGGCAGGGTACCAAGGAAAGAGACCAACATGAATGACAATACACCCATCTTGCCTGACTTTAAAGACTGCAATGAAAAAAAAAAGCATTTATCAAGCATCTCTCAATTTTATGTCATACTTTTTTGAAACAAAACAGATGACAAATTAGGCTATATTAACCTATTTTCCGACAGCAGTTCAGAGCACAAACAAAGACACACACATGCTGCGATGATTAAGAAGTAAAAGACAACTAATTTAGTGGTACCTCACTTTACAGACTTTATTCAACATTGAAAACAATCCTTGAAGTTGTAAAGAACACGTAAACCAATTGTGATAAGCGGAACAAAAGGACATTGTTCTGGATACGATAGATTTTGAAAATAAATGAGGTTATCGAGATTTTTAATTACCCCACAGCCAACAAAAGACTTTTAGATCTCATTCTTCTGACACCGTATATTTACCACCGAGATCTCAGTGATAAGTTATTCTCCAAAGCATTTTATTATTTATGGTAGAAAGAATTTTCTGCCATGTCATCGAAATAACACCAATTTAGCATTTGCGAACTAGGTCCGGCTTTTTGCCCAATTGTATCAAAACCTCTTCGTAATTTAGGTTTGTAGTTACCTTTGCCTGTAATTCTCTTTACAAATCTCATCGAAAAATCTAAGAAAAAGTAAGTGAAAATCGTTTCCCAAGTGTTCTTGGAAACACGCAAGAAGCAAAATCGATGTACGAAAAAGCGATTACTAAATCCTAAGAAAGAAATTATCCCAACAAATTCAGCGCCTTTGACTCTGTTAACTTTTTATTCCTAAGATCTCATTAGTAATTCTCCTCATTGTCTGCTATGTACTTCTTATGTTTTTGGTTCTGAGGATTTGGTAATGGATCAACTTGTCAACTTTTCATCGCTTGTCTGCTTGATATTGTAAAGAGAAACTCTATCTTGATCACTCATGAGAGTTTCAAAAGGGTTAACAGTCCCAAGTTAGAGGCGTGTAAGGAATTTCTCTTGGCGAGGAAATCACATTTGAACGTGTTAACCATACAATTACTTTACTGCATTAGTGACAATAGGGCTTTGTGCCGTTGGAAGTAAATTAGGCCACTCGTCAAAATAGAGACAATATGTCTTCAATTTGTAGTTCATACTTTTGTCTGTTTAAGACTTTCCATAGATCAATAGGGTGATCCAGACAGTAAATTTGCATACATGGGCTATGCTGCTTCATCTGTTCACGCAAAAGGTTTCGCACAAATCGGAACCACTCCTTTTACATTACTAAAACGCACTTGTTCAAAGTCTAAATGACACAATCTTCTGAAAAATTCACTCTCCGGTAGAACCTTGGGAAAGATTTTCGTGTAACCCCATACATGTTTTGTACTATTCTAAAACAAAGCCGTAACCCAAAGGTCATCTACTGTTGTCGCCATTGTTTTCTTTATCCAAGAACTGTATGAATAATGAAGTATGGGGCTGTGCGGAAATCTTGCCGAAATTGGGCGTAAAAAATTTCTGCACTTGAAAGAAGTAATTTAGTTGGAGAGTTACTTCACCTTTCTCAGCACATCTCTCAGTTACTACGTGCGCTATGATTGGTCGATTTAGCGGGCCGTATTTCATTGTGCAACCCGCTAAATTCAAAACTTCGTTTGAGTTGAAATCTTCCCCCTCTATTTGAATCCAGAGATATACAGCTATCTTACTAAACTCGTTTTCTTGGTCTGTGCTGTAAGTCAAGAAACCTCGTTTTTTCCGCTCGGATTTATGGCCTGCGCTTTTCAGAAAAAAGAAAGAGGTTGCTGTAACCTATAAAGTACAGACCTCGATACCCGGTTGGAAAGAGGTATTCCTACGGCCGGACGACTGACTTCTTTGGAAGGCAGTGAATTTTTCCGCTTTCTGACACGTTATGAACTAATCTGACCGATAAATGGAAGACCTTTCAAGCTCTGTACATTTAGTAACTTACCAAGCTCAAGAACAGAGTCCAGCACACCTAGTGTTAGCTTTGCTTTGACCTTGTTCAGTGTCTGACCACGAAATGTGCATTCCGACAATTTCAATGACATAAGTATCTTTAATCCCTTATCATCGCATCAGCCAATCATTTTCAAATTGAACAATGTTTGTTCTAGAGTAGTCCAAAGCCTTATGTAGTTTCTGGTGATCTCGTTAATATCCTCACTGGTCTAATGCTCAATGTACTATGAGAAACGTTCGCTGATAACATTCATAGAACCTCTGAACACAACATAACGACGATAACAAATCAGTACAGGTTTTCAAGATTCAACTTTTTTCTTGTTCTGTTCTCTAAAGTACGTTCATGCCTGAAGTATCATTTCGCTTCTACTGTTAATCGTCCAATTCTTAACCTTTTTAGACGCTTCACTGAACCTTCAGGGAAAACACTCCTTTTGTGTAAGTCCATTTGACAAATAAAGTATTGCCAAGTTGAGCGATGTAGACCATGACAGTATCGACCGAAAACTCACGTTCCTACCATTTCTTCTACTGCTGCGATTCGGCTGGATTACTGATTTCTTGTAAGTTAGCCTTACCGTAAAACTATCTCTACAACGCGGGATAACGATAAATTTCGTGAAGTTACGTTTCGATGCTTTCAGCTTTTTGGACTTTCCCCTGGTAGCATCTTATACATCTTTAAAATACCATGTTGGCTAAAAAAAAGTCTGGAATTTTATTTATCGACGAGCGATAGATGTGACTCAAAAAATTCAAGGTGGCCGAATTGCCATACGAATAAAGGCGAGGATTAGGCGAAGAAAAACGATTAAGCTTTCGTTAATCTGTACGTTGCTGTTATTCACGTTCATCAGATAACCTTTTTTGCTATTTCTTCCTATGGAAGTATTTGTACCACTGTTTCCCTTAGCAATTTATGCTTTGTCTGTTTTTCAAAACGATTTCATTTTATTAATTTTTCATCGAGATGAGGGAAGTCATTCGACCGAAATTGCTCTGAAAATAAAGAGGATTCTTTCACTTGGCGCATCGCACCATTGGCCGTCCCTTCTAAAATGAGTGAGAAGTTCTGGGATCAGAGTTCGATATAGGGTTTTCTCGGCTTTTTCGTCATTTTCTCTTACATTGTACGTAAAAAACACGTCACAAGCAATTAGGAGGCATGTTTCAACCTAGTTCCCAAAGAGCAACGCCGAACGCTAAGGAAGGAGATTTAATTTTCTTTGCCAACTAGAAACTTAGATCTTAAAGCAGTTTAAACTTAGATCTTAAAGCAGTTTAAACTTAGATCTTAAAGCAGTTTAAACTTAGATCTTAAAGCAGTTTTATTAGTGAATGATCAAACACCAATCACAAAAAGACAATTTCCAAACCACACCCTACGTAACAAGAAACCCTATTTCAAATTGTAATGGCTAAAATTTTAAAGCTGCTTGGTTTAATGCTGCCCGGTTCCCATGACACTCGACTGCTGCGTGAATAACACCTGTTGGAATGCGAAAAAATAACAACACTTAGAGAAATTTATTAATCTGTGGCATTAGTAAAAGTAGCAAATTACAACCAAGAGACAATTTTATCCAATCTTGTTACAACTTGAGTAAAAAAAAAAGTCTAGATTGCATTTGCACTCCTGATCCCTGTGGTTCCCTGGGTTGATAAAGCTATCCACTGATTAAATATGTATCCATTGTACGGCTCAGTAGGTTTTGTTAAAAATTATCCCCTGGAGACGGGAGAGATTTATCCGCCCTTGGAACAACTGGACCTAAGAGCCTAGGAAGCAGTGATGGCAGAAGGGGGGAGGAGGAGGTAATCGGTCACCTGACTGAAATTTTTTTTCAAACTAGTTAGTTGTTTATCTAAACAGAGGGACTTTTCTAAACTTTTTGATAAAACGGTGGGTCATTGTGCTTGGTTTAGTTAGAGACTACAGTGCCATGGATGTATTTAGTAATTTCTCATACCCACCTCAAAAGGATTACAAACCCTCAGTAAATATTGTGATTAATTCCGCCATAGGTAGTAGTCTATGCTCATGTTATAGAGATCATGTTATTGTTCAAATTTAGAAAGGGCCACTGCAAACCATTCTCGTTTACGAATCAATTCATGTTGCTGGCGGGTTCTGACGATAAAGAAAACGCAGCCATATTGTGTGTGTGTGCGTTAATCACGCGTGCGCAGGGACGATGTACGGTGCGATACTACAGAGTAACCTCATGGAGAGCTACAAACTTAAAATCTTTTTAGTAATTACCTTATTTGTTTTGGTTTTTCCAAATCCTTCTTGTGTTGGAGAGGCTTAAACTCTGACAATATCCTCTTCGGCTGAGTAAGTCACTATGGTAATGGTGTAATAAGTTTATGAAGATAAATAAGGGACTAGGTTTGCTTTTTAAACATTCCAGTTACACAAGCATGCGCAATAATATCTGTGACATTCCTTAGCATAACAACGGCCAACCAGAGCAAATCATGATCAGTCATTTTGGAAATTATTATGCTGCCTCTTACAGAGTATTACAGAGTTTTGTTTCACGGCCAATTTCGTTACATTACAAAGATACTTGTACGACAATAAGATACTGTAAATAGACTTCTTAAATAATACAGTGAATATTCTTATTACCATCTGAACACGGCTGTTCATTACAAGGTCTGGTCTCCTTCAAAGGGCCATCACAGGTCTTCCCGTTTCCTTGGGGGGGAGGGTTGGTACAGTTTCGTGTTCTTGCCTGAACTCCACCTCCACAGCGTGCATCACATTCAGACCAGAGACTCCAGCGGGTAAAACCGCCATCTACACCTGGAAAACACGGGTACTTTGAGTGATACTCGTCATCAGATACCATGGGTGCCCGACATAGGAGCAGAGTCACGCGCGATCTCTGAGACATGAAGACTTAAAGCTAAAATTTTCAACTTGCGTGTCGACCCTTTCCCTTTGTAGCCATCACTGTTTCGTTTGGGGTTGTTTTAACCTATGTTCTGAGTGTTATGCGCGTAGGTACAGTGATTTCATTCTTAACACGGCACTGTTTTCAACATGTGTTGTCAGCTCGACAGATTGGATCTTTTAACTCGTTTGAACTAACGGACCCTAAGGGGATACACTCAGTTTACTTACTGCACGTTTCAGCCAGAATGTCACTGAACAGATCTGACAGTTTGTCGAAGTTGCTTGCGTTGTGAACGTTTTCCCCGGCGATTTCTTCCAGTTGGCCTTGGAAATCTTCATACTGACCAATTCCTACTGCAACAATACGGACGTCTTTTGCCTTTGAAGGGAAGGAAAATTGGGAATCTAGGCCACTTTAAAAAAGTTTTGTAAAGAGTCTATATTCAGGATTTGGCTGGTCATTCACCGAATGACCTTAAACGAAGATGACATTTTCTCAATTATTTTCTGACCTGGTGCTATCAGAAGTCGCATAAAATTCTTTTGCATATGACATCCGCGTTTCCAAGAAAATAAATGGCGCTAAAAGGAACAGGTGAACAAAAAGGAGTAAATTGTAATAGCGTGGGATTCTAACCTCCAGAAGAGGGATGATCGTAGAGAAGGGTTTTGATGCTGGATTGGTTCTTCCGTCCGTCAAGATGATCAGAACATTTGGAAAATCTGGTCTGTCACCTCCCTCCTCAGTAAACAGTTTTCCTGCGGCGGCCATTAGAGCTTTATCTGTGAAAGTACGGTCACCAAGGACGACGGAAATCTTAGCCAAGAAGTCGTGTACAGCTTCGTTACTGTACAGCCCGCTATTTGCAAAATCGCTGAGGACCTTAGGTTTCCTGCTGAAAGTGATTATACCAGTGTGTGTAGCGTCTGGACCGATGTTCAACGCGGCAACGAGCTCGAGAAGGAAACCTCTGAGCAGCAAAAAGTTCGGCACTCCCAGGCTGCTGGTTTTGTCTATTATAAATGCCACGTCCATTCCCTTTGAGTTCTCGCAAGGATCAGGTGCTGCAGGAAATTATAAGAATGAAACAGAGCTTACGGTAGCCTGCACAATTTTACTGAGTTCTCCTTCGGGATCGCTTTGGCCGGGGATTCCGATCGGGATCTCGCCGATAGGATAGTGTCGCCATTCCGTCATCTAATACTCAAAACTTGCTCACAAGCGGATTGATTTTATCATTTTTTTAAGTCAAGAATAACACACACCAGTAACATACCATGTACTTATTGACTGCGCGTTAAGGCCGGACGGGAAATATTTTGCTTGAGGTCCGGACTAAGTCACGCCATACCAAGTCAAGAAATAAAGTTGTAAAAGAATATTAAGGAAATAGGTATATGTCAGGAGACTATAATTATATACTCACGACAGATCAAAGTTAAAATATCATTAGTTGCATCGTCGAGGCTTTTATAGTCGTCCACAAAAAATAGATTTTTGCCTCCAATGTAGTCAAGGACTTGGCGATATTTAGGTTTCCTGGCGTCAGGGCCGATACCGACCACGATTATACGGACACCTCTCATCTTAAAAATAAAATAGAGAGAACTACTTTTGTAGATCAAGTAAATCGTTTAGTGAAGTAAAGGAATATCTGTTTAAGAGGTTACAGAGCTTAACGCTCAACCAGAGGAATGGTTGGGAATTGGCCTCTCTTTCTATCGGTTTTAACGTCGATCTGCCATGCGAGCAGCCCCCTTAGTAAAGTTTATTCCAAGTTGCCTTTCCTTCTTTTTTACCTTAAGTGCAACAATATCCAGATAAAAGTCTTCGGTATCAGGATGTGATCTTCCATCCGTGTACAGAACCATTGCACTCCTGACGCCCGGTCTCTGTCCACTGGCCTCTTTAAACATTTCGTCTTTAGCAAGCCTGAGTGCTTTGTCCAGTCGAGTGGGTTGGGCGAGGTTGTTGACGCTGTTTGATATCAATTCAAGTATGGCGTCCTCACCGTGATATTGCTCGTCGTTGAATTTATTGTGAAGCGTAGCCTGCTTGGAGAATGTCTCCAAAGACACGTGGGTTCCATCGCCGGTAATGTCAAACTTTTGAACAAGGTGTTTAAGTGCTGCTACCAGTTTTGGTATGTTTACTTCTTTAATACTTTTTGTCGTATCAACCAACAAACCAAGATCCAGTTTACACCTGGATTTCTCTAAAAAAACGGAAAAAAGCAGGAGGCTTCAGCTCTTTAAAAGATCAGCAACAGAGAAATACTTCAGTTCTGTAGATTCATCAGCAACACAGACATAACTGGGTTTGCACAAGAAAAAGAAAATAACAGCTGTCATGTTCGCCTTCGTTGTGAAATCTCCTTCAAAAGGGTTCCTTCTGCAAGAGTATCACAAAACATTTGTGAGCCTCGATTGACAGTATCAAAAGAAAGTAGTTTCTCGAATCTTAAGGCAAAATGGTCACCGTGCACAGCGAATTATCTTTAAAATATTTGAAATCCATCATTTCCATCGACTCAAGGGCATCGAAGGAATGACATGTTTCATTCGTTGACCGACCTAAAATTTACTATCTCTTTCAATCGATTGATGTATCCCATACGAGAAACGTCTCGCCGAACAAAATATACAATAACAGAATTTAAGTATCACTAGACATTTTTCGTTGTAAGCTATGGAAATGAGAAAACAAATGTCAGGTGAGATTTTTTCTTAGTTCCAGTTGTACGAACGTTTGTCCCCTTGAGCAAGGTGGTTCCAAAGGAGAGCTTTCGCTTAAAATTACAATGGAATATTAAAAGATTCTCGGTTGAGTAAAGTGTATTGAGCGTTTCACCTACCCTCAGCAGTTGCCAGGGAAATTGAAAGCAGAATAATAACAAATTTCAGAACAGTCATCCTAGTTCAGCTGAAAAATAAACAAGGAAAACTCTTTGAATTAAAACTCGGGTTAGGTATTAACATTTGTAACAAATTAAGCTGTCTGCGAAGACACCAAACCGCACGATTTACAGCAAAATGGTTATTGTCTCAACTTGACAGTAAATTGTTAAAGCTTGGAAATACATTGAGCCCGTGATAGTATAAATGATGGAACCGAATCAACAGTGGACTTTCTTGGGGAGAACACAACTAATTAAGATAAAAGATGAAAATAAAAAATAAGCTATTAAACAGAAAAGAAGCCAGAAATTAAAACAAAATCTGAGAGAAGAAGCAAAAAAAGATAGATTTGAATGTCAAAGGTAAAAGTGAATTATTCTCGGAATGCTGGGAAACTGCTGCATTCTCGAGTAATAGACATTGAAGAGGCTAATGAGTGTTTCCCCTTTTTTCTTTTTCTTAAAGAATCACTACGACAGCAACACACTGGCGGAAAAATGAATCACTGATGAACAATAACCCCTTCGAACGTTTTTTGTTTAGTTTTTACTTTAGCCCCAACCCTATATTATAAAAGACAGACTTCTTAGACCTTCTTACTGAGGATTACCTACCTGAAGTGACGAGAAGCAACTGTTCATATATCGTGGGGCTGTGGAGTTGTAAGTTTTAGAAAGTAAAAGTCATACTCTAATAAAAGCCTTTAAACAATGAATGACCTTTCTTGAGTAATGTTTTGGTAGCCCCCTGTCCTGTTCACTCCCACAAGTGGTTTAGTTATTTGTTGAGTTTGACATCTAATTACAACCGTACAAGGCTATTATTTACGGAGATGCTCTTCCTTAAAATCGTTTAGCTGAATATCATCAAATTAAATAGTATCCTTGCCTGATTCTTAAACTTTCTATTCTTCATACCTGAAAGCTATTTCTTCTGATTGATGATCTTGCATTTCTTTGTTAGCTACTCTAAAAAATTCAGGATTATATCAACAGATTATCGTCTCGCAAAGTATTGTTTTCAAACTCTTATCACGTATCTATAAAAAAAAAAACAAAATTGTAATAAGAACATAGAGACTGGTCACTGCTGGGTGTCAAATGTGTGAGTTGGAAAGTATAGCCACACTGTGAATTACTCGATAGACGTTTTTCTTTTTATTTATAACGACCGTGTTTCTCAATACGTTCCACTCATCACGTTTCAGGAGAGATTGGTAAAAAGCACACCAGCCTATTGACTTGGAAACAAGGCAGTTTTCTCAAGACTCACCTTGAAGAAAATTCTCGAAGGCCAATGTGGTTAACATATAAATATTTGGTCATTCAACCTTTAAGTCGACATAGAGACAAAATTGCAATAGCACTGGAGAAAAATGAGGAATTGTCTGAATGTGTGAATTTAATAGTGACCCTCAACAATGTTATTATAATGGTTTCCTTAGTATTTTCTCTTGAAATTCTCTCCGTCGGCATAAAGACAAAATAGAACTGAAGAAAAATGAGGAATTGTCTGAATGTGTGAATTTAATAGTGACCCTCAACGATGTTATTATAATGGCCGCCTTAGTATTTTCTCTTGAAATTCTTTCCGTCGGCATAAAGACAAAATAGAACTGAAGAAAAATTAGGAATTGTCTGAATGTGAGAATTTAATAGTGACCCTCAACTGTGTCATTATTATGGTCTCCTTAATATTTTCTTTTGAAATAGCCTAATCGATAATTGCCTCAACGAAGAAGACTGCAAACATTCTGGATTCAAACAACACAATGTAACCATGATGACGAAACTGCTTCAAATTTGTATTGCAAGTGCTTGTGAAAGTGACGATTACTGCCATGACCACCCGGTTATATTGAAAGTTATTCCCCCTAAGTTTGTTACCATATTCATCAACAATCATAAATTACCACTTGACTCAAGGGTACATAATTCTAGCAGTGTTGCGAGGCTAGAAACCCAAACTTGACTCTATTTTTGTTTCTTCAAATGCCTTGAATCCGACATGGTAAATAGGGAATGTAAATTCGTCAAAAGAGATCAAGCGATGTCTGCTTTAATCCATCTCAAACGGACACCATGAATTATGTGTCATTAAAAATTAATTGTGCTTTTTCAGCCTACCCCCTTTATTCATTTACAAATTCATCGCTTGCGGATGAAAAGTACAATTGTTTTTAAGCACTATACAATCAGCTTGAAAAAAAGGTGTCAACCGTGCTAAAATTAAAAATAAATTAGTTATATGACAGGGTCGTTAAGAGAAAGAGAGATAATCAATAAGCTTTTACGTTTGGAATAGATTTTATTTTCTTGCATATTCGGCTTTCAATATCAATCTAGCGAGGATACTTTCGATTAGTACATAGTATATAGTATTTATAGAAATTTACTGGCATTAACCCATTACGCTCTAACATCAGTATGCATCTTCTCCATACTGTTCTCATTGTATTTCTTTAGGTTCCGATAAGGAGAATTTGTTTTACAAGCATGAGCTTCTTAGGCTGGTGATCATTTCCTTTCTTCACCATAGTTACCGACGTATCTTCACGGTTTTCTACGTCACAGCTATGTAACATGGTCGTTTTGGTCGCGTGCCTAATGGGGACACTTTTTGGCTGCCGAACCGTACCTTCAGTGCACACAAAAATGGTTAAGGATAACTTGCTTAGCGCTAACGTCAAGTATTTCTAATTTTAAATACAGCTATCAACCAGAAAATGCCAAAAAAAAAAAAATTCGTGTCATATGCACTTTAATGAAAAGACGTTTCTATGACGAAAAACAATGGATGTAGCAGAGGCTAAAATTATTAATCTTACTCTTTTGAGTCTTATGTCTAGGTCGCGTAGTGATATTGTAAACGCAATCCGTATATTACCTCATAGTTGTGCCCTATATTTCTAATTTATTTGAAAAAGCAAAGATATCTCCCAACAACGAATTCGTACTTTTGTGTTTTCTGTTTTAAAGTTTGTTCATTTAAAGGCAAGAAAGAGATAAACACACAAGGATTTTGTTTCCAATATAAGTAGTATAATATTCTGTAATAAAACGCTGAGTTTCAGGCAATATAAAATGTGGTTTTTTATCCCTAACAAAGGCCAGTCTTTACGACAGAAACCCTTTCAGTTAATAGATATCTATTACTCATCAATCAGTAAAATTAATATATTTTTAACGGGCATGGTATTTTAGAATTATGAAAGCCACGCACAACGAGGTTGATGCTTGTCACTAGAAAGGAAAGGAAAATGTCTATATTCATTACCTAGATGCATTGAATCGCAACTTCACGGAAATTTTTTTGTTATCAACCGTTTAAGTTGCAGTTTTAGGATTAAACGCCAGTACAATAATTCGAGAATTTAATAATCTAACCGAATCGCAACTGTGTAAAAATGATAGTTCCGTGATTTTTCGGTGGATACTGGCATGATCAGCTGGATCGCTCAACTTGACAACACGTGCTCCATTGAATGAGCGTTTTTCTTAAACGTTCAGTGAAGCATTCCGAACAGTAATGAATTGGACATTTGCTATTCAAAGAGATTAGCAGAGATTAAATAGACGCTCTATGCATGAAAGTACTTTAGATAACAAAAAAGAATATACCACTAAATTTCAAAAACCTGTACTGATTTTGTCGAGTTCGAGGTTGTACAGGTGTTATCAGCGTGTTATCTCCTGGTACATTTAAAAATTGCAAGGAACCTAATGACGGAATTTGAATAACACTTAAGTGGAGCTTTACAGTGAAAATAGTGTTTTAAGGCTGTTAAATAACAATAATATAAACAGAAAAGTTGAAGAACAGGACAGACTCACGGTACCCCACTTTTTCTTCAAACATCAAGTTACGCGCTTTCCTTTGAAGCTGACGTTTCGAGCGTTAAGCTTTTTTTCTGACAAAGGGTTAACGCTCGACATGTCAGCTTTTAAACCCTTTACGGTGGCCAATTTACGTTATCATTCGGTTAATAATACTAAATTACCCTGTTACACTTTCCTACCGACGCAGCACCATAGTTTCTTAAGAAAGTTACCCCCTTTATTCATTTGCATATTCATCGCTTGCGGATGAAAAGTACAATTGATTTCAAGCACAATACAATCAGCTTGAAAATTTTGAAAAACAAAAGTGTTAACCGTGCTTTAATTAAAAATAAAGGAGTTGTAATAGAGGGTCGGTTAGAGAAAGAGAGCTATTTTAGCTGAATAGCGTCTGATGCGTAAATTTTTTTCATTCATATTTCCAACACCTCAACAAGCTAAAATGACATATTTAGAATATTCCTGCTTAATAACAATTTTTTTTCTGTTAACAAAAGGGAAGAGCACAAAGCGTAAGAGACCTTCGTTTAGAAACTGGGTGAGGAGAGCGGTGTCCACTAATTGATTATTACATAGTCCATTAGAATTCAGCGTTTGCATCATGTATAATGTTTTTTTGCTTGTTTTTTTTCAATGAAAATCCTGAGAAGAAAAATCTAGAAGTCCCAAAGACCAGAATGTTTATAAATTCAGTGCAGAGGATAAAAATCATAATTTGTTTACACGCACAATCAGCTTAAAAGAAGAAATTGTAAACCGAGCTGAATTCAAAATAAAGTGGTTGTTTTCTAAACGTGATTGTGTTTTTCGACCGAAGTTAATGACAGCTTGTTCTGAGTATTTTGTAAAGTTTAATACACCTTTATCTCGCAATAAGAAAAGTTATCGTTTTGTCGCTTTTATGTCTTCGCTGACTGAAAAAGCTTGCGACATAGATTTTATTTTTGTTCGTATTTCCTTCATCTTAATGAGCTAGGATGACATACCTTGTAAATTCTTGCTTGAAAAGAATTTTTGTTTTTTTAAAAAAAATGAAAAATAGGACAATAACCATTGTAAGGGAATTAGCCAAGATTAATATCATGTTTTGGCCATGAAACACTTTACAGAACAGATCAGGGAAAAAAAAGGATTTTGTAGACCTCTACTCATTTGTTGTTGTAGTCAGTATGATGCGCTAGGTTGTATGTATGTCATCAGTGAAAGTTTCTAAGGTGCAGCATTTAAACATCAATCTAGCGAGTATATCATGTACATCAGAATAAACAAAAGACTCTCAATTAGTACATAGTAAACATAGTTTACAAAGTAGGTGATTGGCTGAAGCGACAACAATAGATAAAAGAAATTTACTGGAATCAACCCTTTAAACCTAACATCAGTATGCATCTTCTCTATACTGTTCTCTTTACATTTCTTTAGGTGCTGGAAAACATGAGCTTTTAAGGTTGGTGATCATCGCCTTTATTGTCGTGTCCTTTGTTATTATTTATCCTTTAGGGAGAAATTAGATGCTGGTCACTCTCAAGAAAAAAGGTTAAAGCCGCCGGGATGCCCAGCTCGCGGTCAATTACAGAACAAGGTCCAACTCAACCCTGTTATTGAGCCTGGTAAGTCGCTACGTGTTCAAGGTTTGTTGTGAACAATATTTCTTATTCACTGAACTAGTACGTTTTAACTTTTATCGGTAAATTGAGTGTTTCTTGTCTGCCCTTAAAAAAAGCCAGCTGTGAAAATTCCCCGCCGATAGCGTTCGCCTGGACATATATGAGCGACGAAAGTCGCGCCCAATAATTTATTTCAATTTGACAAATCTTACGCCAAAGTTAGACCGGAAAGTGACTTTCTTAGATTCCATTTCACATAGTACTGAATTAAATACATAACGACACCAGCCCGCAAAAGGGCAAAAGCTATTCTAAGTGTGTAGTGGATAAAACTATTTACCTTGTCAAGTAAATCTAGTTATGAGTGTTACATATATAACATTTAAAAAGACGCGTCATTTTGTTACTGTGAATAAGTGCTCCCTAGCAAATGCGCAAGGAGTGGTTCCGATTCGTGAAAACATCTTCACTCCTTAAAAGAAACAGATACACAGATGAAGGCATGCAGCCAATGTATGTAAATTTACTTTCTGGATCAGTACACCGACTCGTTGAAAAGTATCTAAGGGACAAGTGTTTACCTCAAATTGAAAACGTCTTGTCTGTCTTTAAACAATCGGCCTAATTGGCTTTCAAGGCCACTAGGTCCTATTGTTATTAATGCAATAAAGTAATTGCATGGTTAGTAAGTGTCCTGAAGCAAGACATCCCATTATGTTCTTCTAAACGACGCGAATTCCTGTCACAAGATGACAGAATTTGAGAAACGAACTAGCCATGACGCGTACTGACCAATTACACACACATTCGAGAATTTTTTGGAGTTATGATTAAGCAACAGAAGGAAACGACGATTTTTTTTTAATTTAAGTGATCATTTCTTCAGAAATCATTTTGCATAGGCCCTATTGTAGTTTGTGCGATATAGACATTCGTTTTCTTTCGCTACCTTTGAAGCTGTTAACAAAACAGACTTGAAAGTCGTAGAAACCAATCGGAGAATAACATACTTACTTTAATTTTGACGATATAGTTCATCATTTAGTTTCATTACATTCTGCCCTATTTTTTTAGTTTTTTTTTGCTTGTCCTTTTTTTTTTTTTTTTTTTTTTTTTTTTTTTTTTTTTTTTACCTCAAATTTTACTTTTTTCACTTTCTTCCTTTCCTGAGTTGTATTTGTCCCAAGGGAGTCTACTCCTGACTCGGTCCATTACTTTTATTACTCAAATGTAGATCTTCATGAAGGTATTAGCAATTTACTGCCATTTTAGGACAGTAGTATTTTTCACTGCTACAAATCGGGCGGTTTAGCGTCCACGTATGTCACATAGCGTCTTCACTGACAACAAACACTTCCTGGGCGTATATGGTTTTGCGTAATGTACGACGATATGGCGTCTTCGACGATATGTCCTCTTGCTTAATTTCCAACCCACGATCCTACCCCGGGGTATAATCAAAAGATTTTTCCTTGTCTGCTTTTCAGGTGAACCAAGATGACTGTTTCAAGTTTTTTTGTTATTTTCGTTGCAATTTCATTGGCAACCGCTTACCACGGTAGGTGAAACACTGCAAACGCTTTAACTTCTAGAAATCTTTCAACATTTCATTGCAACTCTAATACCCCATTAAGTTTCACCCGGTGAAACTTAATGAAAAATCAGAAATAGAGAACTGAAAAACTGAATTTTCCTTAGGATTCTAGTAATCGCTACCTTGCATTTTCAATGTGCGACTTTGCTTCGCGGATGGGTAAATATCCACCACTATTTTCCTACACTTCGATGATTAATTATTGGATATTTCTCAGTCAATACGTTTCCTTTTCTTACGCAACCTCAGTTACGTCCGTGTTGTTGATGAAAACCAAATTTAGAACGCACTTAAACTGAGAGTCGTAAGGTAAAAATCAACCACAGTTACCGCTAGTAGAAAGACAAACTTTACAAGGAGCGAATGACAACCTAAACACTGTAGTGAGCCTGAAGGGCGGGAAATCGCGGGTGACCAAGTTACCGTTTTCGGTTTTGGGCGAAAATTTGATTGGTTGATGGGAGGAACTGAGTTTTCTGGATAATCAAATGAAATCCTGCATATCGCTGGGAACACATATGCAAATTGTAAAGGACGGATTGCATATCTTTTCGGCCTATCTGTTTGTGAGGCACGCGGTTCAATTTTTCCCTACAATAATACTGCCAAATGAACATAAGAATAAAAGAAAATGATTGCCAACCTAAGAGGCTCTGATTGTGAACCAATTTCTACCCGTCAGTACCAGAGAAAAGTATAGCAAGGAGTATAGGAAAAAATGGATACTGATGTTAGTGTGTAAAGAGGTTGGCCAAGTAGAATCACAACATCAGCTATGTTTAAAAGATGCCTTCTCCATATTCCTGCGCAAGAAGAATTTTTAAAGAGCTCTGAATACTTTTTGTGACGGTTTCTTTCCCCCATTGTTTTCTTTCCTCTTGTTTTTAGAGAAACGAAAATGTAAGATGGATCTTGGTTTGATAGTTGATACAACAAAAAGTATCAAAGAAGTAAACATACCCATACTGCAAAACGCGCTTAAACACCTCATCGAAGAATTTGACATCGGAAGCGATAAAACTCACGTGTCTTTGGAGACATTCTCCAATGAGGCTACACTTCACAATAAATTCAGCGACGAGCAATATCACAATGAAGCTGCCCTACTGGAATTGATAACAAACAGCGTCAATGACCTCGCCCAACCGACTCGACTGGACAAAGCACTCGTGCTTTCCAAAGATGAAATGTTTTCAGAAGAGAATGGATTGAGGTCGGATGCTCAAACTGTGGTGGTTCTCTACACAGATGGAAGATCGCATCCCGATACCGAGGATTTTTTTCTGGATATTATAGCACTTAAGGTAAACAAGAAGAAAAGGCAATCTGGAATAAACGTAACTAAGAGGGCTGATCGCTTATTAGATATCTGGTCCCTTAATAGCCCTGCTAACTTTAACTCCGTTATTTAACCCTTTGCAACCTAATATCAGTATCCGTATTCTCCTTACTGTTCTCAAAACACTTCCCAAGGGGATGACAGGGATAGCTTATTTAGCATACACAAAGCATCTTTATTTAGTGATCATTTCCTATATTCTCGTAACTTTTAAGGATCCTAGTCAACCACGCTTTTGTTTTTGTTTACGTGTGGGAAACTGTGGGGAAAAAATCGTTCAAAGGTTAAAGGAGGGAAGAGAAGATACCCAATGAAGTTCTGGAGAAATATATGTCTGGAGTTATCTGCTCCGGTAGAGAAGGGTCAAGTAAAACCAAGAAAACAGCACACAGAAAAAAATTATTACATTTTGTAACGTAATATCATGGCCGGCTCTGACCTCAAGAACTTTCTAATAGGACCTCATAATGGAAATGGCACCAACGCACTTAATCACATCGCCAAGGAAAGTAATTAACTCTTTCACCCCTAAAAGTGACCAGCATCTAATTTCTCCTTACCATACAGCCCTAAATCAAACATTTAGGTCATGAGAATAAAGGAGATGATCACCAACTAAAGAAACTCTTGATTGTTGAACAAATTCTCCTTTTCAGAACCCTAGGAAATGTCCAGGGAGTTGTATGGAGAATATGCATACTGATGATTAGGAATAAAGGGTTAAAATATATCCTGGTTAGAGCTTATCTCTGAAAGCCAAAGTTTAAAGTCGCTGGCAGGAGTCGTACAAGCCCGTCGATACTTTTTAATTTCTCATTTGCTTCTTGTGATCTGCACCTCGTGCGAAGCTTTTCGATACTTTAATGCTGCATGATCTCTGCACATTGGCTGTAGGCCTTCCATGGACTTCCATGTGAAGGAACGCGAAATGCCATCGACGGTACCAGTTACAAACAAAAATTTATCAAGAAATTTCCCGGCAAGAAAACCACTAAAATAACTATCCAAAATAAACCACTGATAATTTTAGAAGACGGAGGTCTACGACAATTTAAGACCTCAATATATTTAAATCGCACGGATACCCTCGCATAATAGACCATAAGGGGAATTTCACTGATAAAGATGGCATAAAAGATGGCGCACTGGGCGCGTGATTTCTTGTAGTTGACTAAGATCCTTTAATGTGTGATTCAGGGGTAATGTTGCGATGAGAACTTTTGTGCTTGACACTCTTAAGGGTTAGAGGGGTAAGTTTAGTATTGATACTTACAAAATTCCCAGACACTCATTCCACGCTTCCTTTCTCTGATTCTACCACTTGAGGAGAACGTGGGTTGTTCGGGCGATACAGCAACCGAAAGAGCGGTCAATTGCTAACTTCTTTTTCAGCAGTTTAGCCTAAAGTTCTGTAAACTCTTAGACAGACTTTCCTTTCTTTCTTAAATAACTTACTTGATTTACAACAGTAGCTCTCTTCATTTTATTTTTAAGAGGAAAGGTGCCCGTATTGTCGTCGTCGGTATCGGCCCAGACGCCCAGAAACTAAAGTATCGTCAAGTCCTTGACTACATTGGAGGCTCACATTTGTTTTTCGTGGACGACTATAAAAATCTCGACGAAGCAACCCACGACATTGGAAAACTGATCTGTCGTGAGTATACATAGCCTACAGGGATTTTCTTCCTTTGTAATATTTTTCTTAAAATTTAGCAGAGATAAATTTACGGAAATCATTGGTGGCTAATATTTCGAGGATTCTTAAGAGTATGGCAAAAAAACAAGATTTGCAAGCTTTTTGTAGGATATTTTTTCCACTTTAACTCTGGGCTCTATTTTTAATTGATATTACGTCCAATATTTTTCTCTTTGATCTGTTTGTTTGTTTGTTTTTTTTAAGTTGTTGTTTCTGTTTTTTTGCTTCTTTGTAATTTTAGCGATTTGAAGATTTTCTAACATTTCTGAGAAATATAACAAGTATACTACTATAGAAAATGGATACTTAAAATACATTTTATGTTTCACGCGTGTGTCACACTTCGATAAAAAAAACTTTTAGGGAAATCACATGCGAATAGAATCAAAGAGCTTGTGGGTCAAATTGCAGGTGTTTGTAGCTTAAAATCGGTAACTGGCCGGCGAATCAGCGTACAATCCCATCAGGGAAATTCCGGTAAAAAACCCGGTGCAAGCGTGCAGGCTACAGCTAGCTCCTCATAATTCTGATTATTTCCCGCAGCACCGGATCCCTGTGAGAAATCTAAAGGGATGGACGTAGCATTTGTGATAGACAAGACCAAAAGTCTAGGGGTGCCGAATCTCTTGCTGCTCAAAGGCTTCGTCATTGAGCTCATTGATGCGTTACACATTGGTCCAAACAACACACACGTTGGCGTGATTACATTTAACAGGAAACCAAAGGTCCTCACCACCTTCGCAGATGAAAATCTGTACAGCAACAAAGCCGCACACGACTTCATTGCTGGGATGTCTATCGCCCTTGGTGACCTTACCTTCATAGACAAAGCTCTGAACGCTGCCGCACAAAAGCTTTTTACTGAAGAGGGAGGAGACAGACCGAATTTTCCAAACGTTCTGATCCTCTTGTCGGACGGAAGAACAAATATAAAGTCAAAACCCTTCTCCACAATCATCCCTCTTCTAGAGGTTAGCATTCCAGACTATAACAATTTCTTCCCTTACTGATCATCTTTAGCGCCCTTGTAAGTTCTTACACGGCATGCAAAATATCGTGTGCATAATTCAGAAGAATCAAATGTGACCGTTTGAAGCACCACGTCAGGAGGGCCAAAGTAACAAGAAAAAATAAGATAAGATTTATTTGAAAATCACTTGTATCGTACCTGCTTGACTAACCGCCGCACTCAATGTGGCGTTTATTCCAAATTATGAAAAATGATATCAAGTAGAGAACAACTCGGTAACCTAAGCTATCCCTGGAGATTTCCATTCTTCACTGAAACTCAGGGCGCCCAAGTGGCTCATATTTTCCCGTCCCTTCCCTTCACAGGAAAAAAAAGTCCACATTGCTGCCGTTGGAATTGGTGCATATGAAGATTTCGAAGGCCAACTGGAGGAAATCGCAGGAAAAAACGTTTACAATGCCAGCAACTTTGACAATCTGTCGGATCTGTTCGAAAACATTCTGGCTGAAACGTGCAGTAAGTGTACCGAGCGAATCTGTATAGGGTATTCGAGTTCGAATCAGTTCAAAGATCCCATGTGTCGCGCCGGCTGACAAACGCGCTGAAAACAATGCCATGCTAAGAATGAAGTCACTTTCAAATGACACTACCCTAAGTGCGCACACAACTCCGGAATATAGGTGACAACAACCCAAAACAAAACACTGAGGTTTCGAGAGGAGACGGTCAACACGGAATTGCAATTTTAGACAAAAGTCTTTACATCGCAGAGACCACGAGGAGCTCTGCGCCTCATGTCAAGTAGGCACACCTCACTATGTGTTCGTGGTTAATTATTGTTGACATGAGACGAACAAAATCTGAGGGTTATGAATGATATTTAAAGCTCTGAATATTGCATATCTAAATTATATATCGGTCTGAATATCTCAAAAAAAGGTGAATGAAATGTTACTCGATGCATTTGTGGTAATTTTTCGCCTTCACGGGCCGTTTGAAGCGTCTTTTAACGAAATTACTTTTGACCGGAGGCCGTTAGAAGTAATTTCGTAAAATGGTCGCAAAAATAAATATTCAAATAAACGATTCAGTAAAAAAACGATGATTGTTTAGAACACAGTTTTGTGAAACTACGGTTTTTCTTCTTTCAAATATCCGGCCCCTTGTGTTTAACAGGTGTGGATGGCCATCTTTCCCGCTGGAGCTTGTGGTCTGAATGTGATGCGCGTTGTGGTGGTGGAGTTCAGACAAGAACACGAACCTGTACAAACCCTTCCCGCGAGGGACGCGGAAAGACCTGTAAGGGTCCTCTGGAGGAGACCAGAGCTTGTAATGAGCAGCCGTGTTCAGATGGTAAGAATAATTTTCACTGTATTCATTAAGAAGTCCATTTTCGGCAAATTTGGCTGTGAAATAGTGCTGGGTAATACTCTGTAGTTAGCAACATAATAATTCCAAAATGACTGATTCGCTCTGATTGGCCTATACCTGGGGATCGTTCTAACCAGAGAATTTAAACCAGTTAACTCATGGTGTGAATCTTTATTAGATTGGTCTGTGTTGCCTTTTGACAACAATAACGAAGAGCTTCGTGTAGCCATTCAACACACCTACAGTCCAAAATTCTTTGCATTTCCTGCCTTCTCACAAAGGCTTCTACTAATTTCAGCAAATGCAAGCGTAATCGTGCGAAGGAGTCCTACAGATATCAGTGCGCATGCCCGTGTGGCTGGCAGAGCTAGAAAGCAAACCCATTCCCCTAAATCTCTCCATCAACTTCTCACATCATTATCACTGAACTCTTTTCAGCCGTAGAGGATGACATCAGAGAGTTCATGCGTCTCCACCCCAAGAGGAGGGTCTTGGGAAAACAGAACAAATAAGGTAATTAAAAATATGGACTGAAGTATGTAGCTCTTGTTCAAGCCATTGCCTCGCATTGCATTAAGTACTGTCACTATGACGCGTGATCAGCGCACATACATAAAATGGCGGCGTTCACTTGATCGTCGGGGCCCGTCAGGAACATCAATCTATTCCTAATTAAGAATAGTTCGCAAGAACCTTTCTCCGTAATGACCTCATCTCTATAGTTTGAACATGGCAGAATTACACAGAATTAACGAAAACATTAATTACTAAGGGCTCACAATCCTTATCAGGTGGATATGAGGAGTTATTGTAAATATGCAAGGCAGCTGGAGAGGCATGGTGACCCGCCGTTTTATTCAAAAATTCAATAAAGTTCTTCTGAAGAAATAAAACACCAGCTGGTTTAAAAATAGCGTCAGCGCAGGTTGCATGTCAAAGGCGTGACCTTTGAGGTTCGACGTTTCAGGTGACCGATTATGCCTCCTACCCCCAGGAGTACAGACACAATCTGAATAAGCTTTTTCGATGCATAACTTTTAAATTAATATTTTAAAAAATACCACGGCTCAATGAGTTTCTCAAACTGCTGCTGTTTGTTTCGAATCTCAACAGGTGTTGCCCATGCAGCAATCGAGAGTCATGGGAACCGGGCAACATTAAGTGAAGATTTTGGCAGCTCTGACATTTTAGCTACTATAATGTGAAATACGTTTCCTTGTTAAACAAAGTGGGATTGAAAACTTTCATTTTGTAATTGGTTTTTGAGCAGTCGTGAATAAAACTACTTCAAGATCTTGCTGACGAAGACAACATAGACATATTGTACTCAGGTCTTAGATCTTCTCACTGATTTTAGAAAATTTGACAGCGGCGCGATGCGCCAAGTGAAAGAGCTCTCTTAATTTTCAGAGCAATCTTGGTCGAATGACTTCCTTTAGGCTCGATTATCAGCCGCCGTACAGGACAGCAAAGTCAGGAGGATCGAAGACTAGACTCGAGAGTACGGCGGAAATTACGCTTCGACTTAATAATAATAATAATAATAATAATAATAATGATGATGATGATGATGATGATGATGATATGATGATTGCAATGATTCAGAAGAATATCAATGACTCGTAAAATTCCCGGAAGGACCGTTTAAGTTTTTCAGTCATAATTCTTAAATTTGTTCCAAACTCCACTAAACATTTTGTTTTGAATTCACGGTCGGTTCATATCCAAGCAAGATCAGGATTATTGCTTGGCAAAACGCTGACGCGAACCGCCGCTGTCTTATTATACACCTGACCGCAGGTAAACGGCAAAATAAGAGGGGATTGCTGATTTGAAAGCGTTTCAGACGCGTTCACACCTGCGCCCTCGATATTCTTTGCTTGCGGTAAAGTCGCGTCCTTTTCGACATACTTCATTAACTTTATTTCTGGCATCGCTAAGTTCCCGCCCGTCTGTGGTATCAGACTAAGAACAACTTCACTAGTTGCCATGACACCTGTGGGTATGGACAAAACACCGTTTTTGCGTCCGTTCACGGCCCACGTGTTTGTATCGGAGTCAACATCGTACATGAGTTGTGAAGTATCAGGAGTACCTTCGTCAAATAACTTTGTAAAAGTGATGTGCCACTTGTAAGTCGAACCTGCAAAGAGTTTCCCAGAATCCTCCGCAGGCTCTACCCTTGAACTTATGGTGTATAATGTCTGGAAGGAAAAAAGGAATGCTTAGGGCTGGGACATCAGAAAAGTTATTACGGTTAATGGATTCCACAAGTTGCACAATTTTTTTTCGGTTTAAAAATTCCGTATACCATTTTCTCTGGATATGAATACATACCTAGGAGGCCCTTGCACATGGTTCACGTTCTTTTTGATACAATTTCCTTTACATCAATTATTCAACATACATCTAAATCAATGTATTTCACTGAAATCAAATGTCAGTTTGAGTTACGTTTGGTAGTTGTAGTATTAACTTTCAAGTCCACTCAGTTTAAACAGAAAGTCAGAGAAACGCCAGTGTTTACCTTAGTATTATCCACATTAAAGTCGTAAAGATAGTTTCTCTTCTCCGATGAGGAAAGAATACTGTCCTGCACAATAGAATCAGAAAAGGTCAAGATAAATTTGAAGACAAGGCGCCAAAAATAAGTAGTATAGAATGGGGGAAGAATGCCTCCTCTGGTTGAGAAAATGGAAGCGGTCGCGACAAATTTTGAGAGAGCGTATAGCCTATAGGTCAAGTCTTGCGAACCTAGCGGCCCTCAATACCTTCACATATCCTTCTTCCTATAGCATGAAGCAACTGGGAGCATTCTACCCCAACGGAACGGGATGTTAGTTTCAAGGGATGCTCTCCTTTGTATGAATTCTTCATGACCCCTACAAGACTCAAGCCATCTCCCTCCAATCACTTCTTGCTCTCGCCTCAGACTCCATCGCGCTCCCAACCGGCAGGTCACCGCAAGACCCAAACAAATGAATATTACTCGAGGAATAGCTGAGTGAAGGAAAACGTTTCTAGCAATATCTCCATTGATCTAACGCTATCTTTGACTAATTTACAATCCTACCGTAGTCTCCTTTGGTGAAAACGAAGTCCTAAACTCGCACTCGAGCGCCGACGCTGAACCTGTCGAAAGAAATAACACTCGGCTTGCATTTCCGTAGTTTTCTTCTGAAATCTTAAATAATAGGGCGCTAATATGACATGTTTACCAAGCTCAACATATTTTGCATCCGATCATTGCAACTATAACCAGTCAAACCGTTTGTCTCCTCGTTCAAACGACATTACTTGTCATCAGACTAAGAGCACATTTCTAAGACAGAAAAGGGAATCGAACTTCCTTATCTAATAAGAATTCGCGAGATAACAAAAGCATAAGTGTACTGCACGATGTTTCCTTTTAAACCAATTAAAACAAAAGAACGAAAGGCGATTTTTACATTCAAGAGAACTGTAGAAATCGACAGCAAGCGTAGTATTGGAGCTACTGGAAAAGTTGACATTAATCCCTGGGATAAAGCCGGCATTATCTAATTCCCTGGGAGATTTTTCCCAAGTGGAATCCCAAAGTTTAACCATCATAACTGACACTATACGCAACTTATCTTGTTGGATTGTTTCTTATCTTATAAGATTATTCAAATTGAGAAAAAGTTACCTTCCTTACAATCGACTTTCCAGAGGAAGGATACCTCTTGGTTGTTGACGATTATCTAAAAGATATAAAATCAAAGATAAATAGCAAGAAAAAGGAAATGCAAATACTGAGAATGTGTAGTAATTGAAACACTCACATATTCCACAGAGCTGTGCAGAGGTGTGACCTTCACCGAAGAGCAGTTGGTGATGATCAACTGAGGAGCTGAGATGACAAGATCAATAGGATTGATTCCACTTACTATCACTTGAACAAATCGGCTGAAAAAAGAATTTAAAAAACCGCATCAAGTTAAAAAGTAGTGCCAGCAGTCCCTTTTTCAAACTAATTCCATTTGTGTACACTAAGAAGTCTTCTTCAGGTATACGCAAATGGCCAATCAGGAGAAAGGGAAAAACCTTATAAAGCCAAGTAGAACTCCAGGGGAAAATAAGCAAATAGCCTAAAGCGCGGGAAAACGCGGGCGACCAAGTCGTGATTGGTTTTAGTTTTGCATCTGATTGGTTGAGAGTGTGGCTTGAGAGTTTTCCGGACCAACCACAAAGCCAAAAATAAAGCCATCCACTCGGGATTAGTTCAAAAGGCCCTAGATCAAACTCACTTGCTTTCAGACGAGAGAAGCACGTGACGAATGGAAAACGGACGGTGAAACAAGCATGACAGCTCTGCGGTGACCACTGGAGACAGCCACTTACAACTGAACACAAGCTGAAAAGAAAACATGAACATATACTAATTTTCATCTTTAACTTTGATCGTCACCCTAAGAAAAAATGCTAGTCTTTCTCAATTCCTGTCCGAACCTTGTGTTCTGTGATTTCCTCCTGAATACTTTGCTTCTCCAAACTTGCACGCAGCTTCAAGTTAAAATCGATTCTAGCGTAGGGTCCTAAGGCTGGAAGGGTAACCATGGCAACAGAGCTGCCAGGGACACCATCATCTTCAGGAATCATGTTGACGGCTACATTGTAGGGAGCTGTTTTTCTCTCCTCTTTACCCATTAAGCAATTTATAATAGCGTGTCCGGACTGCACAGGTTCGAAGGTAAGACCAGCGTTTGTAGAGATTTCCAGCACTGACCCGTCTGCAATGGATCCAGAATCGACAGACACACTGAGAGTAACTTGTTGTAGCAGGCCAGATAACAGATGATGGTCTAAGGGGAAAAAATCGGGAAAAGATAGCTATAAATGCTAAGTTTTTTCGTTTGTCTCACGATGTAGTCACGTGGGATGTAGATCTACATCACACGTGACTACATCGTGACACAAACGAAAAAACTTAGCGTTTATTGTTATTCACGATGAATAACCACGACCTCTTTTACGAAAAGATAACTAGTTGCATACCACCAACATTAAGGTAAAAGACAATAGATTACAAAATCTTGTTGAGCCTGTTGAGCCTTGGCATATAAAATTACATAGAGGCCGAATATTTGCACTACGGAAAAAAGTCCAGGAAAAAAAAGCAGCAAAATGATTTGCAGTACCACTTATGGGGGAGATAATATGAGCAATTATACATTGTGAAAGAACAAGGATATTCGCTTGCCTCTACCAATCTGCTGAGTATGCAATTGTTCTTTGGAGCACGCTATGTAATCTGGATATTCCAGAAAGACAAGCTAACATAACCAGCCAACAGTCATGGCGTTGTAATTACAAGGTTCTAGAATTGCCAATTAACAACAGTCTCCTTATAAAATAAAAAGAAGGACAAACCCCTTTCGTGAGTCCAGTTTATTTGTGGAGGATCGCACACGATGGCAAATCCTCTGGACTGCCTTGATAGAGATAACTGTGGCCAAACAAAGTCCAGACGACCAATCTCCACACAAAGCTGCCTTAGGAAATAGTTACCTGGTTCGGACAGCTGCAGAGAGGATTTCAAACTGGTAAGAATAATGAACTGAGCTCAAACCGTATCATCTTTCTTACCCCATCTTTAACCAGAACGCTCCTGATATTACTAATCCTTGCTGAATGCAGGTCACTTTTTACATATAGACTTACACTCCGTCTCTAGAAGAACGTTTACAACGTTCTTTCGTCCCTCTTCCCCTTCCAATGCTGTTCATTTCCAGTGTCTTCGTTGCATCGGCCAACAATGAGAGGGGCAAGCGGAGGCAGTAAGTGTTCAGACAAACGTTGGCAGGAGTATGGTATAACGATTAGCTAGATACTGAGTCCTCTGTTAATCAGCTGTTCAGCCATCCGATCGCCAGGTTTCAACTTCATAAAGGGTTTTTGGGTACTGCTACGCCCAGAGGATAGATGCAAGGCCATCACTAGCAAACTCCCTCCCTCCCTCCCCCACACCCCAGATTATACTCGTAGTGTTTGACCATTCACGTACGTCACGTTAGGTTTGTACCATCACCACTCATTACGTGGGTCACTCTACTTTCTAAAGAGTAAAAGGGTCAAATTGTTCGAAAAGCGGACAACGCTATCCACTGGATAAATCTCTATCCAGTGGGTAGCGCAGCGCGTATGAGACCTCTTATCCCCTGGATAGCGATCCATCCGTTAGATAGAGTTGTCCGCCAATTGAACGACTTCACCTTGATTCCAACAATGAATAAGAAAGCCAACCTGTGCAGTGAGGTTATACTCGTTGACCCCATATTTCAAGGGAACATTGAAGCATTGTAGACAGCAGTCTGAGTCACCTCCATCTGTTAAAACATTCAACTCTTCTACACTCTTCACCTCTGGTAATAATGGCGGTCGAGGGGGCAGCGGACGAGATTTTTCTACTCTGTCAACTTCAGAGAGCGCTTCTCCGTCTGAAATGGGAAGAGCACATCAAAAACCCAAAGAAAACGATAAGGATAAACCTTTTAACACCCTAACATCAGTATGCATATTCTCTATACTGTTCTCTCTATATATTTACCATTGTACTGACAAAGATAATCTGCTTATGAATCATGAGCCTCTTTAGTTAGCGTCTTGGTAATCATTTCGTCTATTCTCACAATACAGTATCATTGCGGAATCAAACATGAAGTTGACTCCGCAATGATACTGAGGCTAGAGGTTAAGGATGGCGAAGATTTTGCTGGATCGCCAGGCGCCAAACTGAAGGTTAAATTATTCAAAACCTACAAACTTTGGCGTATTTAGTCCGGGAAACAAATTACCTAAGTTTCAAAATTCTCTCCACCTCTCTTCGGGTAATTATACTTAGATTTAGTTAATTTCTCCTTCAAGTAAAATCTTAGTGTGATTCTAAGACACTGCGTCACACGGAGTCATTGTGTGATATAGGTAAATGCTACAAATCATTCGCCACGGTATCGAAAGCATTAATATTTATTTATCCAAATGAATGTATATGGAGGTGTAATTTAACCGAAAACAAATAAAAACAATTATCTAACCAGATAATATACCGAAACGACTAAAAGAAACAAAACTAGGACGCTAATAAAACATATATAGATTATGAGAACGAAAAACTACTAGCACGAAAATCAACTAAATGACAAGTGCTGGCGAGTGAAGCAAACAAATACTGATGAGAGAAAAATTGTTTACCTTTACGTAATCCTTGCGTAACCTCACGCAAAAACGCAAATAAAATAAAATAAAAAATTATTTAGCAATTATTTTTGAAATACTAGTTGCTACACGCGATATCATAACAAAAATCAAAGTAACGGTAAGTCGTACCGGCTGCTTGATCCTCTGTGACAGGTTTATCTGACAAGTCTTCTTCAGAGAGCGCAGCTGAAGACAGCCTATTCTCTGCAACTTCTGGCGGAGACGTAGCTCGGTTTCTCTTACTTGAACGAATGCTACCCACACGCTTAAGATCATTTGTCTGAATACTGAAGCTGATCCGTCCACAAGTAACCTCCTTTGAGGGAAACAAAGAAAAGCAGCTTTGTCCCTCTGGACTAATTTTTTCTAAATTGTACGAGTATATCATTCGCAAACAGTTTCAATCCTTTTAACCACTCCTGGGGGACCTTGTCAACGATTAATTCCACGTATTACCATTGAGGCAACTCGCTGACACCTACAGGGACTCAATACATCAGTGCTTTGCTCCTTTAACACAATACACCCTTGTATTAGTTTGCATATTTTCCATAATGTTCTCTCTACACCTCCTTTGATGTTGACAGGGAGAATTCGTTTAAAAATCAACAACCTCTTAAGTTGGTGATCATTCCCTTAATACTCATGACCTTAATGTGTGATTCGGTGGTGATACCATAGAGTGAGATTAGTTGCTAGTTACTCTTTGGAGTTAAGAGGTTAAAAAACAGTCCAAGTATATAACATTGAAAAGGAGTTAGAGAATCATTTTGTCAACAAAAATACTGAAGCAAGCATCACCTCCTCCAGAGCGCTGAACAGCTTGAGTTTGACATTAATACTCTCTCCAACGCTACCAATACCCTTCATCAGATCAATTTGTACATCTTCTACTCGTAGTAATGGTTCAGCTCGTACAATGATGGCTTGCGCTAGAACATAACATGGAGAATACGAAATTGAAGGTAAATGAATACAGTGCGACGCAAGGTGCACCTCAACACCTTTGATCTCAGCTCAACACCTATTCAATTGTTTAAAACGATATAATCTTTAGAGTCTGACAATGACTGCCACTCGGGTTGCTGACTCGCTACAAACTAAGTTGTGCATAAGTTGAGACTGATTTCGTATCCCATGTCTAGAAAGATGTGAGGGAAGGCACCAATCATCGCATGGGGAAAGCCTCTAAGAAGAGAGGAGTAAGGGGTTATGTTCCCTTAAAGAGATTTTAAAACAGACTTAAAAATTCTTATTTTAACTTGAAGTAGAGGGGGGCTGAAGACAGCTGAGAATTTGATACAACATTTGAGAACTTTCGAGGGTTGTATAATTTTCGTGAATTATTCCATCGACCCGACTTTTCCAAAGCTGTGAATACCTGAATCCATTGTGTCTCGCATGACTTGCAACAACTCCTGAGTGTAGTGGGACCTCCTCTCGGATGGCAAACTCTGCTCACAAGCCAAAATCGAACAGGAGGCAGCATATCTCATGGGTTAAGGATGGCTTTCAATCCTGCTAGTAGTCCTTCAAATAGTAGTAATTTAAGACTGATCTTACGCCGTTTGGGAATCAAGATCCCCGCTTTCTAATTTCAATATGGAGATCAAAACATTCCAGTTCTGATCAAATTTCTAAAGGATACTTGTCAAGATGTTTGAGCTGCTTTTGACAGCGAGCCAGTTTGACCAAACACTGTGTTGCAAGCAGAATCCACCTCTCGTGTTTGTACATCTTGTATGCATCAACAAGCAGAGGCTCTGCTCGGTAAAACTCTCCACGGGAACTAAAAATCAACACAAACATGGGCATAACCAACAGCGGGCTCTTTAACCCTCTACCCCCTGACATCAGTATCCATATTCTCCATACTGTTCACTATACATTCCCCAAGGTGCTGGCAAAGAGAATTTGTTTAATAATCAAGAGCTGCTTAAGTTGGTGAGCATTTCCTCTATTCTCATGACCTTAATGTTTGATTCGAGGGTGATATTGTAAGGAGAAATTAGATACTGGTCACTCCTAAGGGTTAAAAAAAGGTTAATTCTACACTCAAGCTTACTAGCTTGTACTGTCGGAGCTTTTCACGGTGTGCGTAACATGAAGGGACTGGAAATATTGCTACCTCCCCTTGAAGGAGAGGGATGCTCATCCATAGCAGGTCACCCCCCCACCCCACCCCACCCCCTCCACTTCATTTTGTCTGATTTTCCTGACAGTTCGCCAAGGCCCCATGTATACCTATGGGTAGAGTGGGTGGAGGGAGGGGAAGCACCATGAGGGTTAAGTATTTTTCCCAAGAACACAACAAAATGACCCAGCCAGATCTCGAACCCAGATCTCTAGACCTGAAGTCCAGAGCACCAACCGTTAAGCGACCACGTTTCTTACAAGTTTGCTCTTCACTGCGACCAATTTTGATCTTAAAAGATTTAATTGACCATCGAAAGTAATTTTGTACTACACTGGCTGTGCTTCATTACAATCTGAAATTGATCCGACTCTCTCTGGTCTCTGATTTCAGAAATTCAAGCTTGAGCGAAAGGAATTTTTTAGCTGATAAACCTCCTCATTAGGACACAAATAAAAGTCAGTAAATTCCTTATAGATTCATGAAGAAGAGAATGGTGAAGTTTTACACATTTGAAAAAATAACCAGTCTGAAACAGTACGCACATTGCAGCAAAGCCAGGTCATTTGAATATATAAAATGTCCAAGAGTATACCAGGGTAAAATAATAATGATGAGAATAAAAATATATATATTTATCACTGGTTTAAACAAACAGATTTATCATATTGGTATATTTCGCACTCACAAGTAAAACTGTGCCAGGTCCACACCTAGAACCTTAGCAGCTCGAGCTCTACCGATGTTCTTAAAGACTTCGATTGCTCGCTCTGTCAAATCCTGTTGAGATGTAAGTAGGGTACGGCTGTCAATCAATACAATCAATACGGTTGTACATTGCTTTTCCTACACCTCACTCAGTAATTGGCTCAAAGAATCACAGCATCTTTTAAGGAAATCAGATGCATAAACTCCAAACTATTCCGCGCTTGAGAGGCTTTTCATAAAAAAAAATTCAGTTCTCACTGTCTCTGAGAAATGTTCAGCTTTGTTCTGTAAGGTCGTTGGAAATACACCAGAAATGTTCAGCTTTGTTCTGTAAGGTCGCTGGAAATACACCGCATGGAAAACTTCAAAACTAGGTGGAAAACTCTGACTCGTGGTTTCGAACGCACAAAAACCCTACGCATACATCCTCTTAAAAGCAAAGTGTTCTCTCAAACGAACACTTCTTCTGTTCCAAGGGTAGCAATTTAACAAAGCTGGACTGGATTGTTTAAACCAGATATAATCCAACTTGGATTAACCCCATGCATACACTGTATGCTGGCATGGTAAATCTGATTTGGTACTAAAATATAACGAACAACTTGGCCTATTCTTCTCACCAGGTATAGTGCTTGAAAGGCATTTTTCGACGACAGAGCCTTCTGGAGTCTTGTTGATGGACTGTTGGGTTGAAGATCTCCTGCAAAACAACAAGGGAAAGGTGTTTTACACCTATAAAAAGACTAGCGATTGCTCGTCCGTTTACCAATATTTCACAATACACTTAGTGATTTGATTATTCGCAAAATTAGACGAATACCTAAAAGGCTCAGCCTAGTGGTATATATTCCGTTTAAGGCAGAAAAACGGCACACAAAAATTGCACCGTCAATCCTTTCCTATCCTATCCGTATTGACCAGACTACCTGTACCAAGTATCTTATCTGTCTCTCCAGATGTTCCGATCTTCCGTAGCATTCGCAAGATGCACAAGAGCGAGCAAAAGAAATATATCAAAAAAAAGACTAACACTATCCGACCGGTTACCACCTGGCGTACTGTTGATGCGGTTAGTGGAGGAAATGGTAGACTCTACCAATGTTAAACAGACTCGCACAATTATGAACACATAAAAATTAAGGTGAACCTACCATCGGATTGTGTTTTAGCTATCCCGGAGAGCAGGGTATCAGTAATCTGTTGAGCAATTTCTGTTGGAGTGGTATCAGGCAAAAGGCCACAAAGAGATCCCAATTCATCCAGCTAAAAAAAAAAATGTAACAATACGCAGTTAGAAACGTTTTGTGCGAAAACCTCTACTTCTTAATTTTGACACGAGCAAAATCTTATTTGGCATTCATGCGCACCTTAGTAGAGACAAGATGCAGCAAATTTTTCAGCAATTTTAACAGTCTGAAAAAACAAATCAGCTTCAAAACTAAAACCGACCGCGTCTTGGTCACCTGCGTTTTCCCGGGCTTTCATTTTCCCGCTCTTCAGGCAGTTTACCTCATTTTATTTTGAGTTTTTATTGGCTCCTTTCTTGATTACTTTGATTTTAGATTTACGACACCAAAGAAAATGCGTGATGAATGATACCTTTTGTTTAGCATACTGGTATAGAAGAGCAAAATGCAAACTGTAAATCATATCTTCCCGAAAACATTGTTCCTCACAAGCTTTTAACACCTCCAGGCTCGTTAAGATGATACAGCACGATGCTCCACCAGTCGGCATGGAGATCTTGAAGAAAAAAATTAAGCCAAGAAAAGTAACAGATTATACCTTGTGAGTTTCAAGTGCTAGAGGTCATCGCAATAACAAGAATATGAAGCTGATAGGAGCATTGATACTCCCTAGGATAGGATGATACGCCGTGAACTTCATCACAGGTAACGTCCTGGTAGTAAGTCAAGTTTCCCTGAGAATCCGCCAGTACTCAAACAGCCTCCCGGGTGGGAGGAATTATTTTGAAAATAAAATATCTTGCCCGATAATATGACACAAAGAACCTGAACCACAGCTGGTGACCCTTATCCTATTAACAGGAGTATGATCATTATCCTCCTGAGTGGGAAGAAGTACTTTAAAAATTCAGCGTCTTCCTCAATAACACGACACTAAGCCCTTAGTTAGGGCTTGGACCTTGATCTGTTGTCACACAGTCCTTCTCTCCTTCATAACAGATGTCTTTCTTTGGCGTGGTTCAGGCGAGAGAAGGCAAACGCGAGGCAAACGTGAGGGAAAAGACACGCGCGAGGGGAGGCACTCCTCTTGCTATCCTCGCGCATTCTTCGTGTTTTCCAAGCGTTCTCCACGCGCTTTCCTAGCGTTTGCCTCGCGCTCGACCCCGCTCCTCTGAGAAACGCAAGAACATTACGTTTGAGTTAAGAATTCCAACCTCTGAGCCGCCAAATCTCGCCAAATGGAACTTCATGATATCTCAGACAAATATATTTGTGGATCCCAAGCAGTTTTGAGATCATCTATTTCCAATTTGAAGAAAACTTCTCAAAAATTACTCTGATACCTTAAGTTCATCCATTGCCAGTTCATGAACAAGATTGTGTAAGAACTCCAACAAACGTTGAGCAATTTCCCATGCACGTCGCTTCAACTTCAACAGAAGGATGCATTGTCGGGAAAAAAGGTAATTTCGCAGGTCAACATAGCTGGCTTCCTGAGTCTTGATGAGTTGTCGCAAGAAGTCTTGAGAACTCTTAGCTAACAATACTCCATCAAAACATTTACAGTCTCGCATGAAGACATCGATGCAGTCAAGGGGCTCTTGGTGAGGAAAAAAAGGTAAATATAAGTCAGAGTTTACACACTTTCCTTTTTTAAGGAAAGTTAAGCAATACAAATACATCAAAGAAGATTCCTGATTTGATAATAATCTACACTTCATTTAAATACTTGTAGAAAAAAAATGGCTGTTCGGACAAGGAAGCCCCCAGCCATAAGATGATTGCCAATGTGAAAATCAACCATGTGAACTTGTGAAAACCTCTGGTCTAACTGATCTTTGAGAAGAAGGAGAAAAATAAAACACATATAACTGTTCCCTCCCAATACCTTTATATTTAGAGTTGATGACCAGCTGAGTTAGAAGGGCATCTATTTCATCATATTGAATCAGAGCTTCTTCATAGAGACCCAGCATCTCAAACACAAAGGACAATTCCTCCTGAATATTAAAACAAAATAATATCTCAGAGGTGTATTTCAAACAGCAGCCCAGTTTAACAAGTGGTTTTAACCCCCTTACTACCAAAACCTAAATAGCAATATTCCCACAAATATCTGCCCCAAATTTCACACGTTTTGCTCTAAGAATTTGGTTTAAATCAAACATACCCCTAGTTCATCTTATCCCATTTTCTCATCACTTTTCTGTTTCACGATCAAAATTGTCTTTAGTTCACTCCTAGGAGTGGAAAGGTCATACCAACACAAAGACGAGATACAGTGAGTATGCAACCTACTATCAGTAGATTTAAGAGATTTAGAATCAAATCTTTTATCTTGCACAGAGAAGTGTTGTGTTTGAACTCTGCCCTTTTACTACTAAATTTGAGTCTAATACTTTTCCTTGAAAATCATCCTTTCCTCAGAGTTTGTAAAGACCTCCATTAAGAGGGATGGGCATATTTTCATGTGGACAAACCTCTGATATCAAAATTACATCTTACATGCAATAAGAAGTATGTAGTAAAGCTCCATTGTGGTTCAGTCCGTCTCTCCCTTAGTGACCTGACTTGATCTTCAAACTTCCCTAAGTGTCGATTGAATGACTGTAATAACAACTGCCGTAGTTTGGTGACCAAGTTCTGCCATGATTCTGCAGATCGTGTTGCCTGGCTCTCTTTGAAAGGTTCCCAAAGTTGTATTATTCTAGGATGGAAAAAGGTAAAATAATGGCTGGTTGAACAACACTGACCCTTTTACCCTTTACACTCTAAAATCAGTATGCACATTCTCCATAAATTTCCTTGGGTGCTGACAAGGAGACTACATGTATGTTTAACAATCAAGAGCTAGCTTCTTCAGTTGGTGATCATTTCTGTTATTGTTGTGACCTTTAAAAATGCATCATTAGGGGGGTGATTTTGTACAAAAAATAGATTCTAGATACTCTAAGAAATCAGAGGATTATTAAATGAAAGAATTAAATTTCACTTCCAACTAACAGTACAGGATAATCAAAGGATGCACATTTGTGTAATGTGCAGCTTACTGGTTGAGGTTTTAACATTTGCCTAAGAATGCATATGAAAACAATTTTTCTTTTCATACTGTTGTAAAACAAATTGTTTGAAATGTATCACTCCAAAGTTTGAGATATTTTCCATAATAGTTGTCAATTTTACAAGAGCTCAAAATTAGCTTATTTTGTACAGGCTGCTTCCACATAAGAAGATTTTCATGTGGTTTTCACAACAGTGTTACTGTTTACTTAAATCAAAAGTTGACTTGAAACAACAATATGACAAACAAGCATTTTTTTCATTTCTTGCAGCTAAACAATCTGTAATCTCAGACAGTAGATTTACCTTTCACTGTTCTTGCCACCAAAGTCACTTTTGATTTTGTCAAACACTGTGCTGCGAGGAAGTGTCAACTTTGGTTTGTTTCCCCTAAGTGAGTCCTGAGCCACAACTTGGATAATCATCCAGTCCACAATATTTCTTTCACGTAGCTTTTTCATCCAATCTGTGATGCTGTCTTTTACCCCACTTTTAAACTCATCTGCATCCTTTTACAACAAAATTATAAACAATTTTCAAGGACCTACTGACAGTAGTTGCAGCTAACTTACTATACAATGCAAGTAAAACAAATTTCAAAAACCATATCAATCTTACCTTGTGGTCACAACTTTATTTTCAACAAAAAATATTAAAAGAAGAAAAAGCCAAAAACAACCATTACAACAAACAGCTTTTGAGGATTTCCCACCCAGAATGCAAAACACAATGAAAAAACTTTTAATTAAAAGAATGACTTGGACCAAAACATTTCAAATGAAAAGATCCCATGATTTGTAGGAGAAACTGGATGACATTTAACTTACTTTACTTTTGTTAACTCTGTGATTAACATGTAACTTCTCCCTATAATATCCATACAATATCCAGCAAGCAGGTAATGAGAATACTCAAACTTATTAGGTTAAAGTTGATATCTAGATCTAACACCAAATTCTCCCAGCTACTTTACAAGGAAATGTGTAGCAGCTAGAGGAGAGAATTAATAATCAGATCAAGGGAGTTAAAGGGTTAATATGTTACATATTACTTTCAAAGCCACTTTGTAAAACAATGCATGTAAGTAAACTAAGATGTTGGGAAAAAAACAAAGAAAATCCTTTTGGATTGCTTGTATTAGAGAATGATACCTTGGGGTAAAAGACTATGCAACAAAGTTGTTTTCCAAAACAATTTCCCTTTACAGTTAACTGTTCATATTGTTGACAATCTGACTGCCTTAATTACTGGTACTCACAATATTATGCAAAACATTGGTATTGTCAGTACAAATGCCATACATTACATTGTCCACTGATGAGGAAGATAATTCGAAGATACAATAACTAAAGCTTGGAGAGAGGAGACAAGGCAAAATCTAGCCTAAAACTGCCATTTTAATGCAGTTTCTGTGAGGTATTTTATCACTTGGAAAAGTTTTGATTTACATGTCATTACATGAGCTTATGTGATCATCTAACAAGTTTATCAAAAGCTGAAATATATATGTATTTTGATTGGTTGTTACTTATGATATATTCCTATATCATAGATGACATCACCATTAACAGTATTTTACTTTTTATCATATAAAATGAATAGAATCCACATTGTTGTGGGTCTTTATAGTAAAGGGTCACAGAAGATGTCAAAATTTTGGTAAGTACATAAGTGGAAAAATCAGCTGGGCCTTTCTTGCCACTTTTTAGTTCTTACCACATTTTGATATCATCTGTGATCTAATACTAAACAGACATATAGCAACATGGAATCTATTTGTCAAGTTTCTACCTGACAATCAGTCCAATAAATATGAAAGAATGGCTGTTTGTGAAGACTTGAAGCACTACTAACACTACTGACATCCATCAGCATACCCTCAGACAAACGCACAAAATTTGCCTTCAGTTTTACAGTCTTGGCAGGTCTTCCATAAGATCTAAAATAAAATCCATCAATCTTGTTAACCAAGAAACATTTATTAAAAAATAATCTGCACAACTTCCATTTACACTTTTTACATCCCTGAAAATAATACTGAGATACTTGTCCACAATTAAATGTTATTTGCAAAAGGAGTACTAATGAAATATTCATGGCATCTTTACCATTTCACCCAACCAAAGAATGTCTCCTTTTCCACCCCTCCCTAACTGCTTCTAATAGCAACAGGGGTTAACAAACTTTTCATTAAGAAATGGAATAAGAGTAGAACAACACAAACCCTTTCACTCCAAGTTCCTATTAGTAATTCTCTTTTCTGTCTGCTATACAATTCTTCTGCTATACAATTCTTCTGCTATACAATTCTTGTGTATTAATTTGAAAAATTTAGCATCGAGCCAACTAATAATCCCCCAATTGATATTTTTCGTTATTCTGATCACTTGTCTGCTTGATATTGTAATGAGAAATTCTTCTTGGTAACTCATAGGAGCTAAGGGATAAAGTAACAAGGAATGTTTGTATGAATTAAAAAAAAAGAAATAAAATTAGGCCATAGAAATTTTGCCAGAGAATTCTGCAATCTCTGATGCCTAGTGACCACCCTAGGTCAGAGGGTAAGAAAAATGTGTCTTCTATTTTTTTCTAGACCTGAAATCATGATATTCATCTTTCTCACCTTCTCCATTCTGTAGATTCTATTGGTAGTCTCTTCGCAAGTTCTGGGTTAAGTTTATTATACACATCTTTGTCACCATGACCTGTAATTCAAACATGTCTTTGCATATCAAATTAATCTGCTTCTGACGTGTCTGTTACTATGAACATCTTGAAAAAGCTGATAACTTTAAAATACCCAACAAGTAATGGAGAAAGTAAAAAGTACACTACCATAGCTTAAAATGTGAGTAATAACAAAATTAATGAGGTTAGAGAAAAGGGATCCTTGCTCTTTCTGAAAGCAATTTTGGGTCCATTACTCATTAAAGCTAAAATTCTCCCTTCCTATTTTCAAAAAATTAAACATCATCCAACTTCTTGTGTAACATTTTGATTCCCAGCTTGCAACTCTTACATTTTTCACTTCCAATGACAGCTCTAATAGGCCCCTGGGAAACTCAATGATTCACAAGGACTTTCATTAAAGGGGGCAGGAAAGCTTATAAAGGAGGAGGACTTAAAAAGAACTCTCCAAGAGCTAAAATGCAATTCAATATTTTCTCCTGAATGTTTACCTTGATCTAATTAATATCATACACAATTTACACTTTTCTTTAATAGAAAACCAACCATATTCAAAATGGAAACAGATTAAGTCTTTCAAATACAATGATAATTTGAAATGACATGCTATCCAGCCAAATGGAATAACAATACAACTACTCCTTAGGACTTATTTATCAGGAGAGAGGGAGCTCACCAGAAATTTCAGGTCGTAGACAAAAAGCTTGTCAGGGAGAGACTTTATAAAAAGGGGAGCTTGTGACATTGTTTATGGTGGGTTATTTAGTGTTGTATAAGGCACAAACAATTTGAATCCTAGAAAAAATGCCTTTTTCCTTAGTATTGTAAGGGAGGGTCAACACTATCGTGGGTATTTCACAGTGGGGAGGGGTTAAGAATACTCTCCTGGTTTGAAATATCCAGAAATTGGCATCCCTGGAAACGCCCAAAAAAGGCGAAGAGAAAACCAACAAAATAAATATAAATTTAGTGTACATTTAAATTCTTCTAATCATAACACATGAAACAGAAAGATTCTAAATCACAATGATCCCAACTGATGATGCCACCGAAAAAGATATCCCTTCCAATCTGGTACTCACAGGTTATTTTTGGTTTTAGGTCCATGCCAGCTTTCTTAAATCCTAAGTGAGTCCATGCATGAGACAAACGTCAACGTCAATATGCAGATGCGGGATTTAAAGGCAAGAGAGATGACAACCTGTATTTCTAAGGTTCCGGCAAGCCGCCATTTTGGAAATTAAAAAGTTCTGTTCTTGTGTTGAAAAAGGTATCTGCTGACAAAAACGAGCCTGCAGTTTTCAAAACAATTCTGTGAGGTACACATCACACGTTTGACCAGGGTTTCCGTTGTAAGAAGCAAATGCATTCTGATCTATATTATCTCTCAAAACTACACAAAGACATAACACTGGTAAAAAATGTTTCCACTTCGCATCCTGAGAAGGCGCCGAGTTCTATATGTTGCCGTCCTGGTACTCTTTCTTCTTGGATGTTTAGCAACCTTCAAAGTGATTTCATCTTCTGAGAAAAGTAGGGATGTCTCGCCAAAAGTATTGAATCCACGAGAACGTGAAGAAGATCTGAAGCTGAAAACATCTGACGATGCATTGCCTTCGGAGACCAATCAAATGAATCAAGAAGTTAACCATGATGAGGACGATAAGGAAACAATGGAAATGAATCATATAAATCATGCGACAGAAGAAAAACTTAACACTCCAAACAAAGAACATTTACACCAGGAAGATTTGCTTCCTGAACCTAACTACAATATACACATATTTTATTATGCGTGGTATGGAAACCCAGAGCATGACGGAAAATACGTTCATTGGAATCACAGATTCCTTCCTCATTGGAATCCTGATATAGCTAAGCGTTATAGAAAAGGTTCTCATACCCCTCCTGATGACATTGGTTCCAATTTCTATCCTGCATTAGGCCCTTACAGTTCAAAAGACCCAGCTGTAATCGCAGACCACATGAGACAAATGAGAACTGCTGGGGTAGGGGTGGTTGTTCTCTCATGGTACCCCCCTGGTAAAGCAGACAATGAAGGGATCCCTAGTGATAGTCTAGTACCTACACTCTTAGATGCAGCAGATAAGTACAAGCTTAAAGTGACTTTACACATAGAGCCTTACAAAGATAGGAATGATAAAACACTTCACGATGATGTCAAATACATCATTGACACTTATGGTAAACATAAAGCTTTCTATAAATACACAGTACAAGATGGGAGAGATTTACCCATGTTGTATATCTATGACTCTTATCATACCCCAGCAGAATCATGGGCACAGTTGCTGACGCCTGAAGGATTGCACTCAGTACGTAACACAAAATATGACTGTATATTTATTGCTCTGATGGTTGAAATGAACCACAGAAAGTACGTAGACATTGGTGGGTTTGATGGTATTTATACATACTTTGCAACTGACAAATTTACATATGGATCAACTTGGAGATCCTGGCCTCAACTCAAATCTGTTTCTGAGCAAACTAAAAGCTTATTTATTCCAAGTGTAGGACCAGGGTACATAGATACTGGAGTGCGGCCTTGGAATAGTGAAAACACTCGACCAAGGAACAATGGAAATTACTACAAAAACAGCTGGAAAGCAGCCTTGCAGACTAAACCTCAAATTGTCTCAATCACCTCATTTAATGAATGGCACGAAGGAACACAAATTGAGGAAGCTATTCCAAGATCCCAAGATGGACTGGTATACAAAGATTATAAACCCAATCCACCTGACTTTTACCTTGAATTGACCAAAGAGTATGTAAAAAAGTTTGCTGCAATGCAAAATTAAACCATTTGTTGTAACCCTGTGTTTTCAAATTCATAGTAATCATGTTTCAGTTCAGCTTTATCTGAGCAGTCAGTTTTTGTGGGGGTGAGTGGAAAAGCTGAAGGAAACTAGTGGGGAGACAAGAGACTAGGAGACCAATGAAAAGGGAACAGAGGAACATGAATAAAAAACATTTCCATGTCCTCTCAGTATTTCCTTTTTTGACATCAGCCAATCTTTGCTCTTGCCCTTGTATGCTTCCCTTCACGGACTGGAAGCTTGACATAGGCTATGTTTAGTTTACCAACTTTAAAGGAGATGGTGTGGCCTAGTGGTTAGCATGTGGACTTCACACCAAAGGTGTCATTCTGTTGTAAACAGGGTCTCTTGCTTCCGGAGGCCTGAAGGACTAAATAGCCTGTGTGATCCTTGCATGAGGTAAATTGAAAGTGAACAGTCAACCAAATTGGGTTAAAATTCACAATGGCCCCCATCCATTTAATTTGGACAAATTCTTAGAAAACCAAGTCTAGTGCACAAAGTGGAGAGCTTTGGGAGAATTTCCCAGTAACAAACTGGTCTAAATTAACTTAGGAATACTTAACTTCAGATGGAAATTTTACTTTTAGAGCAGTGGTCTCCATTTTTTTAACTGGCCTGAACAAGAGGAAAATTAGTAATACTGTGACAACGTAACAGTGTGACAGCAAGTCCAAATATCATAAATCTTTGATGAGGTTGTGGATGAGCAATCCAGATTTTAAAACATAGAAGATCAAATGGACACTACACCCCAGACCAACCCCTACCAAGGAAAAGTCAGACACAACAGGCAAAGCTTCAGCTTGTGTTGTCTTTAGAAGCTGGTGGGAAGTAAAAACCCACCAGCTATCAGACCATCTTGTACCATCTACTTGGTGAAATGGGATCAATGAACTGATAACCACTATGAAATGCTCTTGAAAGAGAGAAAACTACATTTAGTGTACTTAGCATTTACTTGTTACATGGGTGAACTATTTCATACTGAACTGAATGTTAAACCTGGGCACACCATACTCATAAATTGCACAATTTTTCTATTTTCACTTCAAAATCACAGATATAGTTTGGGTTATACTAAATTTGTGTGAAGTTTCCCACAATAATTAGGACAAATTTAAATCCATGTAAAATTTTAAGCTCCTATAAGGAAGGTCAGTCAATATAAGTCATTAATATCTTATGGGTTGGGTTTCATTTGTCAACTTTTAAGGACATATGGCTATGGACTTGACCTTTTGCTTTGTCTGCTTCCTGTATCTTAACATGCTCAACAAGTCCACTTATTTGAATCATTCTAACCTTGGTTTTGAGCAGTTTATTATCTATACAATAAAAAATCATGAACATTTTTCCAGTTTCTGTTAGACTCCAACCCCCTTTTCTCCATGTCTTTTCATTCCCAGATTTTAATTAAACATATCCAGAAGGAGTGGCAATTTTAATCAAAACTATGTTTGACAACAGGCTTACAACTTCTGCCTGCTGTTTTTAACTGTTGTATTTTGCTTGCTGTCAAATTTTAGAGGATAATTTGCAAGAAGTAGATTTTCTAGTGCAACAATACCAATTTAACATCTTTTACATACACACATTACTTTCATTGTCATACACAAGCAAAATCAACCCTTTCACTGAGAAGTGTAGTTCTTCCTTACATTTATCTAAGTCAATTTTATCTATATGATTAACAAGAAAAACAGAGTGAATAATTTTAAATAGGGAAAATTGTTATCTTGAAGGTTCAAGGTGATATGCAGTACAAACAATGAAGTATATCTGAAACAACTTTGAAGCTAAAGTTTGTGCATGAAACAATATATAGGCAAACAAAAAGATTTCAAGTCCTATTGACAACATGTAGGAATACCAGCCTTGCATCTTAACTTATAGAGGACCAGTAATTGAGTGCCTATAATATTAAGCTTAACATTTCTTTACAAAAAAATATTCAAACAGTTGTATAATATTAGGTGATTTCTAATAAGAATAACAAGTGCTTATATCTCACAATCCTAATCATTTAAAGGAACACTGTTCTTCTACTGGAAGCAAGACATAATGTTCCAATAATGGTTCAGAACCATTTGATGTATCATTTTCTTAAAAACATGCTAAAATTAGTGAAGCCACTTGCAAAAGATAGCACATTTATAAAATATGATAATATGTATTTAGTATTTTCTGCTTGAGGTAATGCTATGAAAGCAAAGTAATATGGTATTCTTTTCTCTGGGTTGGTGTTTGTTGAGTTACCATTAAATCTGTGGAGTAGAAAAAAATGATAACTTCTTATTCACTGAGAACAAGGGCCATACTTGGGAATATTGGCCTGAGGACAAGGTAGCACAGCGAGGTCTGCACAAAAACAACCAAGGGCCAATATTCCCAAGGACAGCTCAAACAAGTGAGATTAATAAGTGGCTTATTAAATAATACTTAGACCAAACATATTTTGATTTTGAATTCACTAGCTTGCGCAAACAAAAAGTCACAGCTTATGACCATTTACGTGAAAACAGTCCTAGGGCAAAATCCTGACCTACATATAGTAAGAACTAATCAGGATGTTCACATATACCTAGGGACTACCTTGCCAAGTAATAATACCGTAGTTTGTAAGAGTTCCAGCACAGAGCTCTTATTTACCTCACAACTAGAGTACTGACTGTTCAGACTTGTCATGAATTGCATGTATTGACAAACAAGGTTAGAGTTATCACATATAAAATGCCTTGAAAAGGTTCTGAAGGAAAACCACACCTGGTCTGAGTTAGTGGGAGGTTTGAATTAAAGTGTTTGAGTATCAGTGTTGAGAGGAAAGGACCAGAAAATATAGGAAACAAATCTCTGTTATGTTTCTATTCATAAAGTATACATTCCCACCATTTCTGAGACAAACATGTTAAGAGTTATTATTGGTAACATTACAAACACATAGCAAATGTTCTGAAGGAAAGAGAGCAGCCTTGATTCATCTTCAAGTTTGATTTACATCATAAGTTTGAACTATCAAGAGTCCTCTTAAGCTCAACTTTAGGCACTTATCCAGGTTAAACTGATTGTCACTAAGCTAGCACAAAGTTTGAATCTCCAAGACTTATGTTGTCTGGAATCCCCTATATATAGAATTCTCAAGAGATGTTTTAGTGACCAGCTTTAAAGAAAACACTAGCCAGCAAAAATTGGAGTCTATTTTAAGACGAGACTGATTCTCACTGAGGTTGCACAAAGTTTGAATCACCAAGACTTTTGGTTATCTGGAGTCCCCTACACACAGTATTCTCAAGAGATGTTTTGGTGGTCAGCGTTACAGAAAACACTAGCCAGCAAAAAATAGAATTTATTTTAATTAGAGACAGAAATTTCACTGCTTTGCTAATTAAGGTAGCTGAACCTTCAGAAACAACATAGGCACACAAAACTGCTGCTTCAAGAGAATACTGTTGTATTATAATTTGCAAATATAATCATCTCAACAAAAACTTACTGCATCAATATCAGCATCATCTTCTCCATCATCCTCAAAATCATCAAATTGGATTTCATCTTCTTCTCCTTCTCCTCCTTGTCCAATATTTTCATTGATCTTAACTGCAAAGTGTTGAAAACAAAACAGAGGTTGCAACTTGAAGAAACAAGAGAACAATGAAAAGACAACCGGAAAAATAATTTCTTTTCATCACACTAGAACAGGTTCATTGACACTGACTGTTTGGGCCAATTCAGTCAGTCAATAAGATAAACTCTCTCATTAAGACAGTTTTAAAAGAAACTTAAAAGTATGGCACAAGAGATGGACTCTGAACATTCCTTTATACTCATTTGATACTAGTAGCATAGGTAAAGATTCTATGACTTGATACACCAATGCATCACCCACTCCAGATTAAACAATAACATCAAGATGAAGTTCCTATGCCATAGTCAGCTCAATGGTCACATAATATCACACAAAGTACCCGATTCATCTGTATCTTTTCAATCACAATAACAAGACAAAATTGAAGTATTTTGTTCCAAAATGGTTTGTTACTGTTCACATCCTCTCAGAGGGTCTAGATACTTGAAAAACAAAAATCAAATGCCTGCATTTTCTTTCACATAGAAACATTGAAATTGCTGAAGACCTGAATTTCATCACTGATGTTTGAGTGGAACACAGTTTCCCAAGATTTTTAATTTCTCCATTTCTGGAAAACAAATTGCCCAGCAAGAATCTTAGAGTTTTTATATTTTTATTCCACTATTTCTAAGAAATGACTTACTATTGTCTGGGAGCTCTCCATAGGCCTTCAAGTTCCGTGCTTCATCAGGATTGTAACGCAAAATGACATCTGCTTTGTTATCCTTTAAATTGAAACAAAGAGAATATGCTACAATGTTTCTTAAAACCTATAAAACTCAAAATGTACAGCAGCTACAGAGATTTAGTAAGGATATTAAAAAATAATACAGCATCTATGTGTCAGGACACAAAAACATTAGCCAAAGGGTGCTAATTTTGAAGCAACACCAAATTTCAAGACTACTCTGTTACTAAATATTTTTTAGTGCCCCCGAAAAAAAGTCAGGTTTTAACAATGCCTTGACCAGTCATCATCATTCTTGTCCAATTCTCATACCAACAGGGTTTCAGTGGAAACTTGCCACACACATATTCAGAGAGGTATAAACAACATTTGTTACATTGATTCAAGAATATAAAATTTTGATATGATCCATGATTCTTTCTAAGACTCTTTTCTGTATCTGTGAACTAACACCTTTTTTTTTCTCTTTACTATTTTGTACTATCTGTTTGAGAAGAGAACTACTCTTGATATTTTCAAATCTTTCTAAACCCAAAAATTCTTTTTCATGGATTGCTGACCTGGAAATTGATACAATTGTTCAGTTCCATTGCTTTTCACATTTTTTATGACCTGGGCAAACCTTGAAATCTAAAGATCTCTTTAAAATATTATAATGCTCAATAAATCTCTCTAAAAACAGTCAACTATACCTGGTAATCACGCAGTCCAAGGAGTATAATATCACCAGTATTGATCCAGACCTGCAAAATACAGAGGCTCTGATGCTTGTAAAGTTACTTAATTTAACTACATCTTTTGCCTTTTTCTCTTTCCTATAATTGATAATTACTGAGCTACCCATAGTTGAAGCACATAGGTAGGAGTGCTTACAGGGCCATAAATTACAGATATTGCAATAGATTTTATGGAGTTTAAATACCGAAAAAAATGTCAAAAAATCAAATAATCCATTCAAATAAAAAGATTCTCGACCTTTTTGCGAAGTTTTCCGCGAATATGACAAAGTCGCTTAGCCCCATCGAAACAAAGTGCCTCCAACCTTCCATTTCCTAACATCTTCAAGACTTGAGCATACTCTTTTCAAAAGTCAAAAGAAAGATAAATCAGAATAGAAACGAATCAAAAGTCAAGAAAATAGGAAAATAAAAGCCTAGAAACCTTGACCATCTTCTTTAAAGACAAGTTCACGTTTCTCTGACTCGTTCTCGTTCTTTCCCCTTCGTCGATTTTTACCACCCTTTCCTGTGTAAAAATGAGACAAACAGAGTTTAAAATACGAAGATCGTGGAATATATGACACATCCTTTTTCTCACCTTTGTTCTTCGGCATTCTAAACTTAATTTAAAGTCTTTTTCTTGAAATATCCTTCACCCACGTTCTCAACAGAGAAAAAAATGGCGTCAATTGAGCATGCTGTAGCTCGACACAGCGGTAACCAATGACGAAAAGATAGTTCTTCGTTGTGCAATCGTTTCCGCTCCCGTCAAGTCGATCAAGCAATCGACAACTTTCGTCTCATAATCGGGACTGTACCTCCTTGCACTTGTCTTTCTTGGGGTCCTCTTTCAGCCCTGTTGGATACATGATTAAAGGGACGAGCATCGATATGAAGCAAGCCTCCTACAGAAAAAGAAAGCTGCGCAGCAAGTGGGAGAATATCAAGGACAGTCACAAGGACCAAAATTGAAATAAAAGGATGTACATGCAAGAATCATCCTTGAAAAGTTAGGAAGGAAGATGCGGTTAGATCGAAACCTCGGCCTATTCCCGATTGTGCTCGGCAACTTTTGACTCCACCGATGTTAGCATTTGTTGTGAAGAACGAAAAATGAAAGTTTTTAATAAACTTTAGTCTAAAAATACAAAGAAATTCAGGTAACAACGCAGTTTGAGATTCAGGTGACAACTTTTTGGATTTTTGCCAATTTTTTATCAGTCCAATGAACAACTTTCTAGCATTTTACAAACACAATCGGGACAGGTCTATCGAAACCTATAAAAGCAATGCATTGTAAATAACAATCCCGGAAATGGGAAGCCGCGGTTCTGCCCATTCTAAATAGACACATGATTGTTTGATCGTTTGTTCCTATTTATAATCATCATGATAAAACGAGAGAGGCAAACGTTGTTCGTTCCTGGCAATCGGTTCGCGATTTCGCATTGTCAGATGTTGCCACTTGATCAAAGGGAGCAGCAGCCCACAGCATCTGACTCCCTTCCTTGTTTTCACCTCAAACAAACATTTAAAGGGGGTGGAGAGACCCCCCCCCCCCAACACAGACGTAGATAGCGTGGCGTAGTATCCATTCTCGAGATTTTTTTCACAACTTATATAATAAGAATCGTGCTTGGCGCTTTGGCGAAATAACATGCGGTGGACTATTCTTATTTTCTTTTATGTATTTTTGTTTTGAAAACTGCTTACTTGTAAACATTGTCACCAATTTCTTGCGGACTCACGATTGCATAGCCGTTTTCTAATGCCAAAGAACTACGAAAAAATCACTTTGACAACGTGTACGCGCTTGACTTTGAAGGTGATATCCTTTGCGGTTGCCGTGTTACGTGACATCGACCCCAAAGAACGGCTGCGTAGACAAAAGTGGTTGGCTAATGACACATCATCTTTATTACGACACTACCCGTCTACTGTCACCCGTTGGAATCGTTTACAAAGCTTGAATTAAAGAGCGATGGAGGAAAATCATTTTGAAAAGAACAAAGATAGACCACCATTGGTGCGATCGATTTCGATTGTTCTTTTACAAAAATTCGTACATTTTACGCTCACCGTTTCCTCAGGCCATCAGGCACGCACAGAGGCTTATGTTACTTATTTATTCACATGCTCCACAACATGCAAATTTTGTCAATTTGGGAAGAGACCAAAGTAGATACATATTGGGAATGATTCAATAACTTAATAATTTCGGTACACGCATATGCTTCGTTAAGTAATCGCTACAGACTCTTCGATTGAAAACCAACAATCTAATCCTAAAAGAATAAAACTATCGAGAAAAATTTTATTCCTTTGCTGCATGATGAAACAACACTTTGAAAACTGAAACTAATCAGTGAGTATAAGCAACGCGCTCCCATTTGTGTTCCAGTACTAGTACTGGCCTATGGCAATCTATTTCGGTTCAGCAGTTATTGTTTTCGTTTCATAAGTTTTTCACAGCTATTAAAGACATCAGGATTTTCCTCTGGTGGTCTGTTCGTTGGATATTCAAACCACTTTTCTCCGTAGACAGATACTAAATACTTTCTCCAGTTATTCTGTACGTTGAGTGGGAATCCTTCGAACGTCATCCGCCTCAAAGGATATATCGCGTTGTCCACATTTGGTGTTACAAAAATATCGACCATAAGTCCATCGTGCCACTTACAATTGTAGGTCATACAGTATTTATAACAACTGTTTCTGTCTCTGAGTCGTGGATTAAATGTCGCTTGATAGATAAAAACTACTTCATGCCTATGATAACCGCTTACATCGGACGGTCTCAGCGCACGGTCGCTGACCGAGTTCTGAAAAAACATATCGGCCGGTAACTCCTTAGCCGCAACTTGAAAAAATTTGACGTAATCATCCAAGGGCATTTCAATATCGCTATCTCCATCCCAGGGGATGAATCCATGATGTCTAGCAGCTCCGAGTAGAGTCCCGCGGCTGATCCAGTACTTGATTCCATGTTTTTGTGCGAGGATATCGAAGATGCGGAGCATTCGTGTCATGACGAGTTGAGCTTGACGCGGGCGAAATTTTGAATAGTTACGAATATCTGGGCATTGAAAAGTGTCGTCAACCAAATCACATTTTCCTCCAAGTTCAGTGTACAACTTTGGGCACATTTCACCCCATTTAAACTTGATTTTGCAGTGTTCATATGTGAGGTTTGGATTCAAATAATCGGCACGTCTCCGACTTGTTCTGGCGAGAGTAAGATTATTTGTAAACCACGAGTCGAGAGAACCACGCAAGAGTGATCCTGAATTGTCTAATTGTATAACAGTGCTCAAAAGACATATTATCCCGGTAATTAACAGAGTAAAAAGCAAAAATATTGCAAATTTGCTCATCTTTGTCTAATCACACCAGCAAAGAATGACCCCAATGCCCCCTTTTGAGCTCTTTCTGTGCTCTCCTTTAACTAGTGGAAGGAGTTGCGTGACATTTCGCAAACAACCACTAGTCGAAGGAGTTGCGTGACATTTCGCAAGCAAGTGATACATACAATACAGAATACAATACTTTATTCAAGAGAAGGAAAATAAAAATTGTAAAAGTATCTCTCGAAAGGGGATATTCTAAAGGTTAACCCTATATAAAAGATTCCCCGAATAAAAAGATCAAAACATTATATACAGATAATTAAAAACTGTTTACCATCATCTCAATCAATATTCATGTAAATGCAATATTTAAATTTATTTTTCTGAAAGAAAAGAAAAAATCATGATAAATAGGCTGATGAATGACGAGTCAAAACGTGGTGAAATTTGAGGTTTCTTTGGAGATAGATTTGAATTTAAAAAAAGGGCGATTTAAAAATTGCCGGAGTTACAGTAAGTATAGCCCGTCAGGCGTGAAACCCAGGCCTCGTCTACATTTCGATCGGCGCTACCGCCAGGAAGAGGCCAAGAACACGTTGAGCAAATCACCAATTGTTTTGAGGTGCAACATCTTTTTTCGATATATATAGGAATACACAGAAGACGGATAGACGAAAAGGTATTTTCGAACAGCTAGCTTGAATCACAAGCTAATCATCCTATTTAGGTCCATTTAACAGACTACTTATTACCTTTACTTGCTCTGAGACTTTCGTTACATTTGTACTTGTTTTTACGTGATAGTTCTGATATGGCAGCAGATCCATCTAGCTCTACTGAGGCTTCTAAATAATTCTGCGTACAGAGATGATGTTTATCAGGTCTAAACTTGGGCTCAATAAAAATAAAAATTTGCACCGCCTATCTTTCCTGAAAACATAAAAAGACTTCTGACTCAAGGTTAGTTTAAAAACGTTCTGATGGGGACTGTCTTTTTGACAAATCTTGCTGTGGATGCAGGAAAGTACAAACAATATGACGTTTCGTCCGCCATATTGGATTTCGAGACCCACAACCATTTACCTTTAAAAAAGCTCCGGCGACTTAAAACCTTAAAGAAAACACTGATCATTATGAGCAATAACAGGAAGCAGGTTTTAAAAATGTCATCTTGATAGAAAAAAGAAGTGAGACGGTGTGGGGAGTCTGCGTCTTTGTGTTCTTGGGTCTTTGTTTTCATGTTTAGAGGTCTTTGTTTTCGTGTTCAGGGGTCTTTGTTTTCATGTTTAGAGGTCTTTTTTTTCGTGGTTAGAGGTCTTTGTTTTCGTGTTTTGAACTCCTCATTTTTCTTTTTTAGGGGTCTTTGGTTTTCCATCTTCATTTTTTGTGTCTCCTCTGTCTTTCACAACGTATCCTGTGTTGTGGTGCTGGTATTTTGAGCTTCCTTGTTCCATCACCTCCCTAGCATATGATAACCACAATAATTTTTTCCTGCTAAGAAGGACATTTGCAAGTTACAGCTAAGCATTGTTTTCCAAATTGCATTAAAATTAAATACATTTTCAACCTCTATGTAAACATTCCTGATATAATTTTATAGAGAATCCGCTTTGAAAAGGAAGATGACAAAGGAAAAGAAAATTGAAGCAGATATTGTTTAGAAATATTGTAATCCACTGTATTTTGATCGGTGAATCGAAAAAAAGGCATAGGATGTTCCCACTAAATATAATTTTTTTAAGATGTACAATGGGACTTCGTGAAAACAGCAGTTTGAAAAGACATGTTGTCATTTCACGATATTTTTCGTAAGAAGTTTGCCTTTGGATACCTTAGTTGGTGTCTAGAGATATTAAACGTGGTCAGTAAAGGACCTTGCTTGACGTGATTGGTTAATATATTTGATTTATCCTCATTAGTATTTAGAGAGCACAATAAAGATCAATAGTTCAATCCAGGCTCAGCACGACCAAAATCAAAGGTAATCCGAGACTGCATTGGCTTTTCTTTACTTCGCTCTTTGATTGGTCTAAAACAGCCGAGCCACCCTCTATGCAAAAATGAACGGTAATGCAGGCCTGGTTACTCGCGTTTTCCCACCCTCTGAGCTGTTAGCTTGTTTTTTTTTCCTTTGAGCCCTTATTGTCTCCCTTACACGTGTTTCTTTACTCTTTCTGGCTGTTATGATGAATTTAATTTTTCTGGGTTACGCGACACTCAATCGAAATGCACTTCAACACAATTAATGGCATAATTATGGATTAGTGAGGGTGTTTTTTCGCTAGCAAATTTTTCCGTGGATACTCGTCATTTACTAGTTCAATGACAAACAAGACGATTCGTGTAACACTT